TTCCCTGGCCTAGTGAGATACAAGCTTCTGAGGAGCGACCTCGTCCCACCAGGAAGCAAAGTCAAGTCACCGCTCCCATCGCCGTCGAAGGAGTGGGAGATCCCGGCGCCTCACGTCGGCGAGCTACCAACAATCAACCCCGCGTATGCCTGTCGGCGGCATCGTTTCGTCTACAGCCTCATTGATCGCGGTTACAGCACTCTCTACGACGGTATTGCCAAGACGGACACGCAGACGCGGGAGGTCCTGGTGTGGAGCGGACCGACAGGCCACACACCTGGAGAGGCGATTTTTGTGCCTCGACCGAGCACCGTTGACAAGCCTTCGCGGGAGGACGACGGGGTGCTTCTGAGTGTGGTGCTTGACGGGTATAACCGGACGAGTTATTTGGTTTGCCTCGATGCGCGGACGATGGAGGAGGTAGGGCAGGCAGATTGCAATTTTGCGGTTGGCTTTGGTTTTCATGGGCAGCATATCACCGGGGTCTAGGGCCACGAATGAGCTTTCCAATGAATGACACGGACAGCGATATGACTGCTCAGCTTTCTGTATATCTTGGAGCCTCATGAAAGCAAATCGAAATGCGATTGAGAGCCACCGGTATTGTAGGGAACAGTGTCAAGTTGCATACAACAGTTCTCAAATTCTGACAACGCTGTGTCAAAGTTCGTCAGCCGATTCTCTTCTCGCTTCCCGAGGAGCGAACCTGCAGTTGGTCAATCCCACCCGGGTAGCATTCACCACTAGAGTCTTCAGCTCTTCCGCTTTCCCCTCGGTCAGTGAACTCATTCGAAAGAATGAAGTGACGAACCCCGCCTTCGAACGATCGATGGCAAGAAGCGGTCTGGCTCGTTGTCCTCCGTTCCACTCGACAATCCAATAGGATACGCAGTCGGCGTGATTCCAGCTGTCACTGGTAGGGATTGCAAGTATCCCTGGCGCTCCGTTTTCTTGGACCATCCATTCGTCGTGGTCAGGAAATAGGCCAGGGACATTTGGGTTCCAGCACGCGACATTGCTCAACGATCGATCGCCATCGTCGTAAACCCTGCCATACGTTACTGACAAGATGAAATTAGCTAGCTGAGACTTTCCATCTTTTCCTGGGCATCTCAGGAGGAACAGAAAATCCTGGAGCCGAAAGAGTCACAGGCGCGATTGTGACACATGGCAACAAGAGGTGGAGTGTGGCGACGTATGGAACTGGAACGTATTCATAGTTGGTTCTTTGGTTAACGTGAAGAAGTCGAGGAGTTCTAAGATTCGCGCTGGACAAGACGAGAAATGTGCCATAATGAACCTTACTTGACGAAGGGTCAGGTTGGGATTGAACTCCAGGCATCCACGAAACGGCCTCCTGTTCCCCACAGTTGCATCTGTGCCTCTGAACATAAAAGCGGCCAGATTGAATGTCCTATGAACAGATTTCATTTGTTACTTTAAGAGGCACGGGTTCAGAAGCAAGGCAATGAATTCCCTAGGGCCAAGCTGCCACATTCTGGCATCATGCAACCTACATGTCTGGTCGACCATGGGCTGTCAAGTGAGAGGTGTAAACATATATCTGAGGCAGAGATCTGACTGAGGACATCGAGCAAGTAAACGGCTCAATATGTAGCTCTTCTCATGGGAGCGATACAAGCAACGCGGAACGCTAAGAAGCATTGCATGTTTCCACGTGTTTCCAATTCTCGTCTTAAAGGTATCTGAACGAATGGTGCGTGTCGAGCTAAAAGTAATCATATGTGCTGAATGGCATAACAGCAGAAGATATCCTATTTCATTCAATTTGTCCCGCATTTAGGCCAGCGACTTAGGGGGCTCTCCCACTTCACGACTCTCCACCTGCTGCACATCCGGTGCATCAAGCTGCTTCGTGACAGCTGCAGCGGCCTGGTCGTAGTTTGCCTTGTCCTCAAACACTGTATCACCCGTCAGCCTGCTGCAAAAACGACACAAACATATCGTCGCCCGGGGTCCATGTAGTCACTTACAGAAGGCCAGCTCCTCAAGGGTGCGGTTGTACGTCTCGGGGTACATGAAGTAGATGAAGGCGAGCTCGAAAAAGATCCAAGCGCAGTAAATAGCAAAGTACTTCCAGTCGAGCTCAGTGAGGGCGAGGGGGTTGACGTTGGTGGAGAAGAAGCCGCCGGCCTTGCCGAAGATCTGCTGGACACCGATACCCATGGTGCGCTGAGCGTAAGGCCAGAGCTCGACGAGATAGGCTGAAAAATGTCAGTGATGTGCACAAGTTGGTCATTCGTTCCGAGAGAAAACTCACTGTAGGTCAATGCATTATTGCCCATGTTGTAGCATGGCGAGTAAGCAAAGTAAAAGAACAGAGCCGCGTATTGGGCGGATTGGTTCTTGAAACCGTTGTCCTTGGCAAAGCGGAGGCGCTCGAAGGAAATGGTCATGCTGGTGAAGACGAGGAGCATGCCTGTGGCGGAAATCATGTACATCCATCGTCTCCTAAAACGCGTGACGATGAGGGCCATGACGGTCGAGTTGATCAAACCCCAGCACTGGTTGGCAATGTTGATTCTCGACTTGGCGTAGGTGCTGGTGAAACCCATCATATCGAAAAGGAGGTTTGCATAGTACGAGAGCAGGGTGTTTCCAGACATTTGCGTGAATAAGCCAATGAAGACGGTGATGAGCACACGGCGTCGCATTCCGGCTGTTCTGAACAGGTCCCACCATGATTGTTTCGAGTGCTGCATCTCCAAGGCGATGGTAGCCTTCATTTGAGCCATCTCAGCCCTGACAAGCTCGGAGTTGACGTCACCCTCTGCGTGGTACTTGATGAGGATTGCGTAGGCTTCATCGTCTCGGTCATGACTGATGAGGTATCGCGGACTCTCGGGCAGCAGGCTGTATGTGGATAAGCAATGAACGATACACGAGCAGCTGTGTTGTCAACTCACAAAACCGTAGCAATCTGCAACACGGAGGGACAGATTTGAAGCAGCGATGGAATTCGCCAGCTCCAGTGTGATTTGATCTCAACGGTCGCCAGCGAGATGGCGCAGGCTATGATGGAACCGATGTACCAGCTCGCGTTGAAGAGGGATGTTAGGACAGGGCGCTCCTTCGGATGGCCAAGCTCGGCGATCATAGCGGCACCCGAAATGATGGCGAACACAATGCCGAGGCCGAGCAGCATGCGGGAGATGATGTACATGCCAACTGAAGAGGGAATAGTTCGTCAGCTCAGGGATTTCGCATGAAAGGGATGGCATGCATACTGTGTTGAGAGAAACCCTGTAGAAGGGCACCGATGACCATGATGATAGAACCCGTCATGATAGACCACCGCCTGCCGTACTTCTGGTTGAACCACGGGGCAATCGGCACACCCAAGATAGATCCAAGTTGGTAGCAGGACGAGATGAATCCCAACATGCTGGGTTCGATGGCAGGCTTCCCGTCCTCGTTCAGGTAGCCATCGCCAAAGTCTGCATCGGTCAGCAAGGGTTCAACCATGTTCGCGTCTTGCGGCAAGCAACTTCTTGCGCAAACGGCTTCTTGCGGTGACGTACATTTGTTGAAGTTAGGGGAAAACTGCAGCGTATTGATGAGCTGCGAGTCAAAACCAGAGGTCATCTCGACGCCCATGCAACAGAGGAACAGCCAAATGTACATGATTCGAAGGTTTGGCTTCCTCCAAAAAGGCACCTTGTCCTCGGCTACGAGCCGAGTGACAATGGGGTCGGCAGAGCTGCCGGTGTTGATCCCCATGGTGGCGGGTTCAGCAGGACAGGACGAAGATGTCAGCTCAGATCAACCTCGAGCGGACCACCAGCCAGGGCAGTGGTGTAGGAGAGGAGGTAGAGTGCGTCGAGAATGAGGGCGAGAGACACGAACTTGGGCTGATGCGATGCCCCGTCCTATTTATCATCATTGCACCGCGAACATGCAGATCGATCCCCAAGGTCTTTTTGCCTACCAGTCTTTCCCCATGTTACCCCGCGAAGCATGACAGAGCCTGACCCCAAGCAGCATCTGGAGTCAAGGCACGTCCCAAAAAGGTATGTGAGGGCACCATGCGGACCTGCAACCCGGCGCGAGCCGCAACGCTTGCAAGTTCACACTGTGGCCAGCCATGCCCATATCAGGTCAGAGTCTCGTCAAGTGCCGAGGATCTCCCGTTGTGCTCTCCTGGAATCCTTCCGGGCCAGCTTCCCATTGGAGGAATGCCGTGGTGGCATTGGACCATGAGAACTCTGCACTGTTCCGCGCCGTTTGTCTGCAGGTTTCGCATGGTCAACAGACCACGGATTGCACTGGCCAGGATCCTGCGAGGCAGGTTAGACTGCCGAGAATGGCCTGGCCTTGATGTCGTGGCTTTCATTCTCGGCACTGAGCTTGTGTCTACCGAGTTGCCAGATCGGGGAGATTCCCAGGTTCCCCAACTCGTGGCGGACCTCCGTCTTGTGCCTCCTACTTTGGTCCGTGTGAAACTCGTCGTGCTCACTGTTTTGCTTACGGTCTGCCGGACCGTACCAAGTCGTAATGGGCCCGAATAAGGAACATACCCCTGACATCTGACAGTTGGGCTTGTTCCTCACTGCTCACCTGACTGCGCAGTTTGTGTGACGCCTCAAGTACCTTAGAAACCAGGGCAGGGACAGATCGGATGCTGAGAGGATACCGCCAGTGGGCCATATGCTAGAGACACAACCAAGTGGAGAGGAATCTCCGCGGTACTCCGCACGGGTTCTCCCCCTCCCTAACATTGATTCAGGGATGCAAGAGGAGGCTAAGAAACCGTGTGGGTGGCATTGATATTGAAGCCGGTGTGGGGCCGACGCGGCGGAAACGGTGACACATTGTTCCGATCACCACCCCCCTTCCCCCGGAGCTCACTGAGGCGCCCCACACCGGCGTCATTCGTCCAACGCAGCTTCGATCTCCCCCGCCGCAGCGAAGTCTAGCTCTCGTGCCTCATCACCAAGACTGCGGCTCCAGAGCTTGTCCCAACCACACTCCCCCACACAATGGCTGACCACGGTGCCAACTATGGCGACAGCCAATCCGGCCTTCCTGTGGCCAATGCCACCAAGAATGAGGTCAAGAAGCCCAAGAAAAAGAAGGTCCTCTTGATGGGCAAGAGTGGCTCAGGGAAATCCAGCATGCGCAGCATCATCTTCAGCAACTATATCGCACGCGACACACGCAGGCTGTCAGTCTTTGCGCCAGAGTAGCTTCGGTGGACATTGTGCTGATGATTCATGTGCAGAGGCGCCACCATTGACATTGATCTCTCGCACGTCAAGTTCCTTGGAAACCTAACCCTCAACCTGTGGGACTGCGGCGGCCAAGAGGCCTTTATGGAAAACTATCTTTCGCAGCAGCGCGTCCACGTCTTCTCCAACGTCGGCGTCCTCATCTACGTTTTCGACATTGAGTCTCGCGACGTCGACCGCGACCTCGCCACCTACGTGTCCATCCTCTCCGCCCTCCTCCAGTTCTCTCCGCAAGCCCGCATCTACGTCCTCATCCACAAGATGGACCTCGTCGTCCCCGCCCACCGCGAGTCCGTCTACGACGAGCGCGTCCGCATCGTGCGCCAGAAGACGGCCGAATACGCCCATAGCATAGGCTTCTCCGCCGCCGCGGCCGACGACGCCTCCCCGACCGACACGAGCCCCCTCGCCAGCGCCGCCGCGACGCCCGATATCACCCCCTTTGCGACCTCCATCTGGGACCAGTCCCTCTACAAGGCCTGGGCCTCCATCATCCACGACCTCGTCCCCAACCTTGCGACCATTGAGCGCAACCTCGCCAACCTCGGCACCGCCATCGAGGCCGAAGAGCTGCTCCTCTTCGAGCGCACCTCCTTCCTCGCCGTCTCCTCCTGGACCTCCCCGGAGGGCCTGCGCAACCCGACCGAGGACCGCCTCGAGCGCATGTCCAACATTATGAAGCACTTCAAGCAGAGCATCAGCCGCTTCACCGGCACGCCGCGCAACGCTGAGCAGTTCGTCCGCATGGAACACAAGGCTGGCCTGCGCTTCAATCTGTTCATCCTCAAGTTCACGACCAACACGTACCTCATGGTCGTGCTGCCGCCGGGCGAGGCCCGCTTCAACGCCGCCATGCTGAACTGCCAGATTGCCATTGAGCACTTCAAGTTCCTCGACGGGCCGGCGACGCTGGCAGCGCAGGGCGTGGCTTCCTAGGGCGCGGACTTGTGGGGAAGAGACGGACTGCGTGGATGGGAAGGGATGGGATGGGATGGCGTTTGATGGATTTAAATGATACCAGTGTCACATCGTATAGATAAGAACATACAAGAAGAATAAGTTCGCCGCGAACAGTAATGCTTTCTCACGCGGCATGTGGACTGATGGGGTAAAATGGGACTATTCGTTGAGTCTATTTGCTCAACTGATCTACCTGCCCATACCGAATCGTGGCCTAGGCTGAGAGCTAACCATCAGCTGCCAGCCGCGCGAGCGTGCCGCTCAGCCTTATCAAAACGCCGTGTCAATGTCTGTCATTTCGCAATATCGTATCATGTAGTATTTAAGCCCACTTGACGACAGCTGTGCCGCCTTTCTTAAACTCGGGCATTTCGCCCAGGACTAGACTACGGTCCGTGTGCTCCTTATTGGGGAATGTTGTGGCCAGAACCCAAGGCCGTGCTGCGACGTCTGTGGAAGCACGTGAAACGAAGCCGTAGACATCGCCGAGAGTCTGGGTCGTGTTGAACCGGGCGGGGAGCCTGCTGCCGTCAGGCAACTGTATGCGCAACGTTAGAGTCGGGAGACTCTCATCGACGGTTGTCGAGGGTGCTGATGGTGTCGAGGCAGTAGCGGCAGGAGCTGGAGCAGCAGCCGCAGTAGCAGATGCGTTGCCGTCGCCGGGTACTTCACTGCCAAGCCGCTGACCGGCTCCGCCGAAAGGCTTGTAAGTCTGAGGAAGACGGCGGTAGTTCTCTTCGTGTTGGTGGAGCTTGACATCGACAGGCTGGTCATATCGAACGTTCATGAGATGGAGTGGAGCACGACCGGCGCGGATCTGCGCAAGGTCGGCCGCGTTGGCAGGGTCGTCAAAGCGGTGCAGCTCACCATCATCGATACTGAACCCATCACGCCAGAGATGGAGAGAGCGCTCTTGCGGCTCCTCGTTCGAAGCATCGTTGTCCTCAGCAGCATTGGGATCGGGAATAGTACGGCTCTCGACACCGTCACCGCCAAGCGAGCGACCGGCTCCACGGAACGTATTGGGGGCGCGAGAAGGACCGGCAGCTGCCTCAGAATTCGAGCCTGATTTGGCAGCGTTCCTGTACATTTGTCAGTATCTGCTTCGGCATACGGTCAATGGTAGTTACGTACGCCTTCGCCTTGGCTAGAATATCGTTGATGATCTTCATTGGTCCCCCGTCGCCCTGGTTCGTGGGGTCTTGAACAGCAAGGCCTGACTTCTCGCCACCAGCAAATAAATCACGCGGGTTACGGCCTTCATCGACATCATCCGTATCGCCGTCATCGTCATCGTCATCATGCTGTGCTCCGCCGCCCAACGACCCCAGGGTTGCAACACCCTTCCTCTTCTGTGTCTTCTTGGCGGGAACGGGCGCACGACGCTGGGACTCGGGAGCGGGACGTCCATCGAGGGTCCGCGGGCCCGTGTAGTTGTCAGGGACTGAGGGTGCGTTGGAGGGCTCGTCTTCACGGTCTTGGTCGAGGTAGAAGGCTTGGGCGGCCTGGCCAAAGTCCCAGTCGGCAGCTTCAAGGAGGCCGATGCACTGGGTACGTCAGATTGGGTGCTTACGGCGCAATGAGTTCGCGTCTTACCCTTTCCTCCGAGTAACCAGTCAATTGGTGTAGTTCCTGGAGAGCTTGCGCCCGCGCGGTATCGTCCTGGCCGGACATGGTGGAAGGAAACGACAGGTGGCGGTGGGGTAAGCTTAGGATGAAGCAATTCAGTCGCGCCTATACTCGAAAATGCTTTTTCTTCTTCTCGGCTGATATCGAGTTTTTGACTTGATGTTTTGATGTTCCAAAAGAGTCAATGAAAGGAAAATATATGTCGGAGGCAAGGCACCACTGTTGTGATCGATCGTACCTTCTAGATGGCCTTCACTGGAGCTCTAGGCGGGCGCGGGTGACGTGGGGAGGGAGCATGGACCCAACGACGCCATTACCCCACCATGACCCGGATCAGTCTGCCACCGAACTCCGTGATTATGTCATCCTCCATCTTCGTGGTGATGCACCTACCCCGGCTTGCGCTCGGCTTGACGAAAGAGCTTCCCGGCCACAGTCGGTCAACACGGTGCCTCCAACGACTGCCAACCACTACCATCGCGCCGACCTTCGACCTTGACTCTGTAGACTTTCCTCCCGAAACGGCCCATCATGGCGGATGAATTCGCGAATCCTCTGGCCGAGTCTGGCGTCACCATTCGATCCGACAGTGAACAGTATTCGCAGGGCGAGGACCTCTCTGCGTCCCCTCCCTCGTCTTCCTCCCCCGTTATTCTCTACAGGCCGCCCACGGTGTGGTCCCTATTGCGAGGTGCTGCCATCAACCTGTTCTTGCCGTTTATCAACGGCATGATGCTGGGTTTCGGAGAGCTGTTTGCCCACGAGGCCGCGTTTCGGTTAGGATGGGGAGGCACTAAGGTACGGATGCCCCAATCGCCCGGGAGGTATCAAGATGCACTTTGCGTCGACGATCCACAAGGAATCAACGAGAGTTTCTGGACCGATGTTAACTGTGGTGAAGGTGTTCCCCACGACGCGTCGTGCCCACGCCATTGGCCCCGGCATCGAGATCCGCGAGAAGCGCACACCGCGAACGGAGCTGGACGACCTGACGAGCCTGGAATGACTCGGTGGGTGGGAGTAAGGCAAAGATGACATCAATCAAAAGCTCATGAGCACTCGCAGCTTTGGACAGAAAGTGAAGCACACCACTGCGAGCCGCAAGGGGTGCATCGAGGCTCTTGTTATGAATATATATCTGCGAGCTGAAAGCCGCACACGGGAACACGGATGGCCAATTATGCAGTTCACCACGCCAATTAATCTGCGGGATAGATGACATGGCAGCAAGGGCGTCTTTTGTAATATTTGTAGAAGGGCAAGCCACGGCGGTAGAGACTAGTTGCTCAGAGCATCGGGCAGCTGGAAACGATCCGCTAGAACCATCCTCGGAATGCGTGTCAGGGATATATAGTCCCCCCCAAAATGATCATAAATAATTTCATTGAATGACAGACGTCAGAGTGGAATGGGTTTCTCTAAGCAGACTACCATGTCACGGCCATCATCTTGTTGGTCGTGCACCACTGGCCCATTTCCCCAGCGTCTCAGCGGCGTCGGCGACTCCACCGAGGTTCTCCCGGCGTGTTACCAAAAAAATCTGGAGCCTCGAACTCGCGAAGCCTTGACCTTGACCCTGCATCCAGCCTGACCTACGGCCTCAGATCGACAACATGTTGCCTAGCAGAGGAGCACTTCGTTCGCTCTCCACGGGAAGGGCGTATCTTCAGGCACAGACCGTGAGAGAAACCCATCAATTGATCTTCTGACGTCCTCCTGACTTGAGCAGACCTCCAGGTTATCCAATGGTCGGCAGTTTGGCACCACTTCACGCATCGCCAGCACATCATGGTCAGGGCTGAGGCCAACAGGAAAGACGTCAGGTCTTGTCCGCACCACCGTCGTCGCCGGCTCGCTTTCCTCCACCCGAACACTCTCCCTGTGGTCCCGGAGCCCCAAGACTGAGGCCACACCAGCACCGGCTACGATCCCCGAGGTCGCCGCCGTCGACACAACGGCCCCTGCCGCCACGACAGCATCGATCCCCCCTCCTGAAGCTGCCGTTGCGTCTACCACCCCTTCTTTTGCCGAGGGTGTCGCGTCGGCACCTACTCCTGTCACCGATGCCTTGACCTTCGAGCTCCTCACCGACACCACCATTGCCCAGATGCCCGAGCAGATTGGCTACCTCAAGGCCATCGGCCTCGACTTTGGCTACGGCCCCTCCAGTTGCATGCAATGGATCCTCGAGCATGTGTACATCTACACCGGTATGCCCTGGTGGGCCACGATCGGTAGCACCGTCCTCCTTCTGCGCCTGCTTCTGCTGAAGCCCACACTCAACGCCCAGCAGGGGTCAGCCAAAATGCAGCAGCTCCAGGGCAACGCCCAGTACGCGGCTCTGAAGCAAAAGATGCAGGACTCGATGAAGAGCGGCGACAAGTCGGCCATGATGGACGCCCGTCAGTCCATCAACCACATCCATAAGCGCGAGGGCGTCAACCCGTTTGCCGCTCTCTGGGGCCTCGTCCAGATCCCCTTCAGCTACGGTCTCTTCATCGTGCTCAACAACATGGCCAAGATCCCCGTTCCGTCACTGGAGAACGGCGGCCTCCTGTGGTTCAACGACCTGTCCGTGTCTGACCCCTTCTTTATTCTGCCCGTTGCCGCGCCCATTGCCATGATCGCCATGCTCAAGGTAACTTCATCGTCGCTCCCGTCTCGAGGGCCAAATAGAGGTAGCTGACATCCGAGACAGTCCGGTACAAAGTTTGCTCCCGTCCAGCAGCAGGCTCAGATGAAGCTCATGATGTACATCTTCGTCCCCCTCTCCCTCATTTTCACAATCTGGCTCCCCGCCGCCGTTCAGTTCTACTTCCTCTGCTCGACCCTCGTCGGCTGGGGCCAGAACCTTCTCTTCCAGAACCCGGCCTTCCGACGCGCTACCGGCCTCCCTGAGCTCGTCAGGCCCGTTCTCCCCGCCTCGACCTCTCGCATTAGCGGCGCTATGTTCTACCCGCCCACCAAGCGCACGGGCTCCACTGATGCCAACACCATCGATGTGACGGCCGTAGAGGAGAAGCCTAAGAACGTCTTCAGCGGCGCTGTCGCAGACCTGAAGCAGACGGTCCACGGAGCCAAGGGTGGCATGGGCTCCTTTGTCGACCAAGCTCGGCAGGAGCAGGCCGAGAAGAGCAATAAGTCATGGGAGGAGAAGCGTGCCGAAGAGGACAAGAGGCGCTTCAAGGCTGATCTGAAGAGGAGAGCGAAATAGGTTGATGACAACAGTTGCAGGCAATGTACACTACATAAGAGGAACGGGTTCTTGAGAAGATTCGCATGTACATGAGCCAACAGCGCCCGGTCATTGGCCGCTTTGGTTATCTTCGCGGAGGCTGAACAAGAAGCATTTGTACCACCAAAACGAAAACAGCAAGGTCTGGTGTTGGAATAGAATAAATAAAACATCAAAGCTGCAGCATGCATGCACACTAGCGCTCAGATCACATTGCAGGAGAAACACGCCGTCGACGACATTCACCCCAATAACTGTACGGGGCAGACTGAGGCAACAGGATCTCGGAGAGGAAACATGTGGATAGGCATGAAAATGCGTTCGCCAACCAAAGGACAACGGCTGTCCGGGTCGTGTGCTGTCCAAGCTCACTCCTGCATATCGTCTTGCATACCAAATGTCTCCAGAGCCCCGCACGAGACCTATGGCCAGGTAAGCCCGCCAGCAACAGGATGGTAAAAGATTCTGAGGATCATTCCAATCGTCAACGTAAAGTGGCGTGACAAATGAGTCGTGAACAACACGATATGTCATCTAGATGGCACGGTGACATGTCCCCTCAGCCAGATCGCGGAGTGTGGTTCAAGCTCCGAGGTTACGCTACTACATGTACCTTGGCTGGAGCCGTTCCCAGGCGAGATGTTCCGGGATGTCGTGTATGCAAGGCACTGGCCTCTGGCGCAGGCACCGGGTGTTCGTCCCTGGTCTCGATCGGTGCATCACTTGTTAAGAATCCAGTCGGTTCTCACAATCCGATCCGCTGCGCCGAATGAAGCCTCAAGGCAGTCCTCGACCGAGCAACCCGACCAGACCATGGATAGTCGGATTGCAGAATGGCCTGAGCTTGGGAGATCCCGAGCTAACAAGGCCGAAGACCCTCCTGCAATATTACTCCTGTTGGTACAGCCAACAAATGATGTCCGCACCCCGAGGTTTACTGCAGATGCATCTTGGCTCGCCCATTCAACGATGCGAAGGGCAAGACTGTTTGTTTACTTGGGAACCTGTCGTCGCAAGCCATGCACCGCTTTTTGATTGGCTTGGTTGCAGAGCATGACCTGCCGGCGATGTTCGATATATCGTTGCCATGCCCGAAGGGGCGGACCAGAAGTTGCCTAGCAGCGACCGTGGCGTTAGTAACGTCGGAGGCGACGACCGACCTGGGACTGTCATGAATCGTCTTCTGGAAGGTTGTCAACATCGAGGCCACAGGATGCTGCAGGTAGTAAGGGGTGCTCCAAGGATTCAGGATGCAGTGTACACCAGGGTACGCCTTAGCGGGCGACGGTATTCGTTGACGCTGGGCTTGAGCAGCACCAGAGACGCACTGTCTCCCGTCCCCTTGCATGTAGAGCTGCAGTGCGCCGGGGCGAACCTGGCTTGCCCCCTTTTCGATGCGACGTCGCCATGACCAGGACCATGGTGTCGGCCTTTCGATATGGCCTGTGTTCTGTGTGTCTGGTCGAGAAAGAGGGGTCAAAGAAGGGTCAAAGGCGTGGCAGGCCTGACAATGAGGGTCGTCTAAGGTCTCACACGCTTGTACTGTCTCTGAGTTGGTGGTCGGTCTTTCAAACAGAGACACGTTGCCGTTGTCGCGCTCATTGTAGAGCCTCCGAACTAGAATAAGCGATATGAAAGATTGGAAAACCTTGCGGTCCAAAGACGGACAAACGATCTCTATCTACCTGGGTACCTTACCCGAGCAGTCTCGAAAGGCGGATTGCAGGCGGGCGAGTCTACACGGGAACTCCTTCCGTGGTCCGTAATTAATTTCGCTCGGTCGCGCCAGGACAAAAATGGGACAGCTGTTGCCCACCATTTCCCCCGGCCAATGTCGACACTAATGGCGTGCGGGCTGTTTGGTGAGCCCGCAGCGCTGGCTCTTCCATGGGATTTGGTGCTGGCGTCGAGCAGCTCCGAAGACCAAGCACAAAGGCGAAGCCGGAATAGCAAAGGGAGTGGTTCAGAGCCTACTGGATGCAATTAATCCCTCCAATGTCGATTGTCGTATCAACCTACTTACCTTCGCAGAACAGTGTCTGGGATTTGAAGAAGACCAATGGATGGTAGATGCCGTGAGAGCGATGCAATCATATGCCAGTGTGTGAGGAGTACCAACCTACCTCCCTTACCTACCTTACCAAGACGGGCGTGGCTTGCCAGAGAAGCTGCACCAGAGCAGCACCTGCCACGCTGGCGGCGTGTATGTTGCAGGGAAGCTGCACCGCGCACTGCAGGAGTAGGAACCCAAGGCCCCAGGGCAATTGCCTCACATGGGCTCCCTGTCCCTTGCCTCGCCTCTTTGCAGTAAACATACCTCCCTGTCCTTCAGCAGGCGGTCTTTACCCTGCTGTTGCCGCTGCGGCTGCCGTGCCTATCGACCAGGTTCTAGGCAGTTTGGTAGGTTCGCTAGGTAGGTACCTTAGGTACCTTAGGTAGGTACTCTACGTCCTTCCTTGCTCGGTTGCAAGAGATCGAGGGGCTGTCGTTAGTGGTGTTGGACTGCTACCATTTCGTGTTGCTCTCCAGTGTCCTCATGCAAACCAACTCGCACTCTCCAATTCGCTGTCTCGTTTCTTCCCTCCATCTGCTTTTCTTTTTCCTCTTCCCCCCCAATTCCCTTGGATGGTGGTCAATTGACGTCTGCTGTCTCATCCTGCCGCAATTCGCTTGCCTTTGACCCCCAATCGTCCCTCGACCAACAGGCTTCTTCCGACAGACGCATCTTCCCGCGCTGCATTGCCCCGAGCAGAACTATTGGCTGCTCTGCGCGTGATCACCAACCAGACTCTCTTGTTCCTGGCCGATATACACAAATAGCTAGGCAGTATTTCTTCCTTCTCCGAAAGCCAAAACGATTCATCCACCCATCAACGCCCAGCGCCCAGCGCCCGATAGCCCGCTCGGGCACGTAAACTTACTCAACGGCGACGACCCCCCGCCCTAGAGGAAAATTCCGAAGGAACGAGTTCTGGACAGCGCCGGTCCATTTGTTTGGACACGCCCTGAATCGTCTTATCAATCTAGTCACGCCAGTCTACTGTGCTGCCTACGCCTAGCCGCCTGCTAGCACGCTACTTATCCCACTAGTTACAGGACGACAGACCCTTTGTCTGTTTAGTAAAGAGTCAGTTGATCGCACTAAGCACCCGCGACCCCAAATCCATTCCGCTCGACCATCCGGCGGACGGTGCAGATCAGACGGCCCAGTGCAAACTGCCGTCTCATCTGAGAGACGTCTAAGAGCAATTTCACCGGCACACATACGTCGGATCAAGCGCGCGCCTGTTTGTGTCCAACGAGATTTGCAGCTAACAGCGAACAGGCCACTCTCGAGACCCTCCGAAAAAAAAGCCAGTCTCTTTGCTTCTGCCTCGATCCCTGATCTGGATCTACGGCGGCCGTAAACTAGGGCCCGTGGACAACGACCCCCAGTTCCCCGCAGCCTTTAAAATTACCGTGTTGACCTGGCCCGACCCGGCTTGTTCTGGCCTACCCTTCGCCAGCTGAACCTCGGACGCCGTCCCTCACCCAACCCTTTTTCTTCGCTTTTCAACCATCTTCACCGAGGTTCTTGATATCGACCGAGGAGCGTTCTTCGCCCGTTCAGTCTCTGTGCAACATTCCCGTGGCCTTGGCCTGCCGACAGCACCACCACCACCACCTCGACACGGTTCCCATCAAGACCCCGCCTTACACCATCCACGTCTTATCAGCCAGCACCACCGCTGTATAACCCCCACTGCCGCCGACCTCCGACCTCAAAACCACCGCCAACCACGATGGGTCTCTTCTCCCGCAAGGAGAAAGTTCCCAGGGTGGCAGCCAACGCCAAGCCGTCGATCAACACGTCCGACGTCAGCGTTCACTCTGGCGCCTCAAGCCTTAAGTCACCGCCTGGAACCACTCGTGGCGGCTTCGGCAGAGTTTCCGGGGGCAATACCAACCCCAACACCCCCTTGACGCCTTTCTCTCCGGTGTCGATCCCCAAGATCGACCTACCGCGACCTCCCGACCCTCAATTGGATCCTGCGGGCTACCTCCGAAGCCTCGGCGCCGTGCGCGAGAGGAGCAGGATTGTCACGGACAAGGCCCTACGCAATGAACTGAACCATTTCGATGTCGACTTGAACAAGTTCCCCGACGTTGTGAGCTTTGTTTCGTGTATCATCAAGGTGCGTTGAGGACCAGCAAGAACACGACTCCGAAGCAAAACCCAGTACATCGCATGCTAACCGGACGGTGTTGTGCTGCAGCGCGACTTTGATGCACCGTTCACCTCGATCCCGAGCCACGGCCGGCACCAGCATTTCTGCGTTGGTGGCCGTGACCGTATCGCGCATCTCTTGTCCACGTTCCCTGACGACATTGACAATACGGAAAAGTGCCGACGCATGGTAGACCTTTTCCTAGTCAGCGTTTTACTCGACGCCGGCGCAGGCACGCAGTGGAGCTACAAGAGCACAGAGAACAACCGCATATACAGGCGGTCAGAAGGCATTGCCGTTGCAAGCTTGGAGATGTTCAAGAGTGGCATGTTCTCAAGCGACAAGTCCAATAAATATCAGGTGGATACGGATGGTCTTCTCACCTTGACGCCCGAGAAATTGGCGGCCGGCCTGCAATCCAAGCCCGGAAACGAGATGGCGGGCGTAGAGGGTCGTACGCAGCTTCTCATCAGACTCGCCGATGCTCTCGAGAAGAAACCAGAATTCTTCGGAAGGGACGGCCGCCCTGGCCGTATGGTTGGTATGTCAACCCGGAGAATTTGGGTCAAAGTAATGATCACTAACAATTGCTAGATTATTTGCTGTCCCATCCTTCCACTCAAGCCTCCTCCATGCCGATTGTCGCTCTACCCACGCTCTGGAACGTCCTGATGAACGGCCTAGCGCCCATCTGGCCACCTTCACGCACCGCCATCAACGGCATCTCCCTAGGCGATGCCTGGCCTTGCAGCAGCATGCCTCAAACGTCCTCTCCTACCAACACATTTTCGCCATTCCCGTCCTCGGGCCAGTCACCGACAGCAGCATGGGAGTCAATCCTACCCTTCCACAAGCTGACGCAGTGGCTGTGCTACAGTCTCATGCAGCCCATGCAGTCACTTCTCCGCATACACTTTGCGGGCGTCGAACTTCTTACCGGCCTGCCAGAGTACCGCAACGGCGGGCTCTTTGTGGATACAGGGGTGCTGATCCTGAAGCCGGACGATGCAGAGCGGGGGTTACAGAATTACGCCGACTACTGTCGCAGGACTGGGGTGAAGGGTGTTGAGGTTGCTCCCATGTTTGAGCCGAGCGACGACGTGATTGTCGAATGGCGCGGCGTGACGGTGGGACTCTTGGACAAATTGCTCATTGAGGTGAACAAGAGCCTGAGGAATGATCTCGGCGGGAACGAGTTGACCTTGGCGCAGCTACTTGAGGCCGGTAGCTGGAAGGTAGGAGAGCCCAGTTTCCCAAAACCGACAATCCATGCTAACTACGCTACAGGGGGGCCGCGAGATTGCGGAGGTCAGCAGGCCAAATACCAAGGAGCCGCCCATTCTTATCGACAGCGACGGCACCGTCTTTTAGACACGTGGAAGAGAGAGGGAATGCCTTGGACGGTGTATGAAATTTTGGGAATCACGACAATGGATGGGGGCTATCATGATGGGTTGCGTGAAAAAAAAACGGCTCACACATAATGGGACCGGGGGAGGCTGCGTTCGTTTGATTCCATAGCCTTGCTAATTCTATCACAGTACGCTTGGCTCAAAAATACCGATGCATCCATACTCCAGTCTGTATCAGTCGATTCACATTGTTTTGTTTCAGTCGGAATCGCTCTCCAGCGCCACGATAGCATCCACCTTGGCGGCACTCGCGCTCTGCGGATCGAACCTGTACCCCAACCACTCCTTGGCCAGGCGCCTCGCAAGCTCCAATCCCACGACCCTCTCGCCCATACATAGGACCTGGGCGTTGTTGCTCAAGACGGCTCGCTCAACCGAGAAACTATCGTGCGCTGTCACGGCTCGTACGCCCTTGATTTTGTTTGCTGTAATGGCGACGCCAAGCCCTGTACCACAGATGAGCAGCGCCCGATCACAGGTGCCATCAGCCACAAGCTTTGCTGCAGACGCTGCCCGGTGGGGATAAGCCGTCTTGTCATCACCTGTATAGCTTCCCACGTCTTCGATGAGCACTACACGAGGGTCTTTTTCGAAGTCTTGCTTAATCTTGTCCTTGTAGTGAACGCCAGCGTCCTGAGATTAATAATGTGAGCAATGATTCGTCTCAAATGTGCGAGTGGACTTTGGGGATCAAAAACTCACGTCGCAGCCGATGGCGATTCTCAACCTGGACTCGGACAGAACAGCCATGATAGTGGTAAGTGCTGTAGTATTGGGCGGTTTTTGTTTTGCAAGAAGCCGAAAGCGAATTCTGGGGGAAATGCGTCTCTGTCCCAATCTTTGCTCCCTGTGAGTTTCCAGAGTACGGGATATCTATCTGACATCGAGTTGTCCCGGTGTGGCTGGAAGACAGCACCATCAAGTCCAACGGATTACCGCTTTGGGAAGCCCGTTCCCCACGGCCCAGCTCGATCCTCCACACACTCTCATCCGACACCTGACCTCAAGGCTTGTCATCAACCCCGCGGATAGAATGGTCTAAGGGGGTCTAGATTGCCTTGTTGGTCCAAATTCTGGGGTTGGACGGACTAGGCCTACTCCCAACACGACCAACCTGTCGGTGCGCCAGGGGATCGCCGCCTGCGAATATTTTGCCACAAGCCGGTATCCCCAAAAGCGATGATGCGGCATTCCCGTCGTGGAAATCCCTGGTCCACTGGCCTGACTGATGCCGACAGGTTATGGCTGTCGCGGATGCCAAAATTAGGACCGCCGCTGTTCGGCACCGGATCAACCAATATAGTGTTGAGGCTCGTCGCCATCGAAGTCGGCGTTTCTCAGAAAACAAGCACTTATACAGCGGCTTGAACGCCAACTATGGTACAAATTGCTGCAGCAAAAATACTTCTTCCGTCTCGAAATCCCAGCCATTTTTCTGTCATTGTATCCTGACATGTCGAAACGTCATCTTTTCGACTCGCCGGATGGGCTTGTGAACAAAGCCCTGCGAGGCATCATCTCTTACAACCCCTTCCTGGCTCTCGACGAGGCGAACCGCGTCGTTTTCGATACCAAGTTTGACAAGTCCAAGGTCAGCGTCATCAGTGGCGGCGGCTCCGGCCACGAACCAGCCTGGTCAGGCTACGTGGGCACGAACCTGCTTTCGGCATCAGTAGCGGGCGACATCTTTGCAAGCCCAAGTACCCGGCAAATCCTATCCGCCATCGACCAAGTTCCTTCCGACAAAGGCATCATACTCGTCATCACAAACTACACTGGTGACTGCCTGCACTTTGGCCTCGCCAATGAAAAGGCGCGCGCCAGAGGCCACGACTGCCGCATGATCATCTGTGGCGACGATGTCTCGGTCGGCAAGAGGGGCAGCCTTGTCGGGCGACGCGGTCTTGCTGGCCAACTTGGCGTCCTCAAGGTCATGGGTGGTGCCGCCGGCGCAGGTGGCTCGCTAGATGAGGTGTACGACCTCGGTGTCGCCTTTTCGCAACAAATTGTCTCAATCGCGGCGTCTCTCGACCACTGTCACGTCCCCGGCCGAACGGAGCACGGTGCGCTCCTCGCCGACGAGGTCGAGATCGGCACGGGTCCCCACAACGAGCCCGGGTACCAGAAACTCTCGCCGCCGCCGTCCCCGGACGAGCTCGTGCGCAAGGTCCTCACGTACTGCCTCGACGAGTCGGACCCGGAGCGCGGCTACGTCCATTTTGCGCCGGGCGACGAGACGTTCCTGCTCGTCAGCAACTTTGGCGGCATGTCACACCTCGAGATGGGCGCCCTCGTCGATGAGCTTCTCGACCAGCTGGCAGCAGAGTGGCGCATGGAGCCCGTGCGTGTCTTTGCCGGGTTTCTCGAGACATCGCTCAACGCGCCGGCGTTTAGCGTGTCGGTCATCAACGTATCGGCCGCGGCGCGCAATTGCTCGTACAGCGTCGAACAGATCCGCGGATTCGCCGACGCGCATACGGACACGTACTGGGAGTCGATGACGGGTCTGCAGTCGCAGAGGCGGAAACGCGGCGAGCAGATTGTCACGGCGCCATCGCAGGCGGGCGAGGAGGCAAAGAGCAGGCGGGCCGCCGCCTTGGACGAGGCACAAGACGTCAAGGTTGAGCCTGCCAGGCTAGAGGCCATGCTGCGCACGGCGTGTGAGGCGCTCGTGGCGTCCGAGCCAGACCTCACGCGCTGGGACACGGTCATGGGCGACGGTGACTGTGGCGAGACGGTCATGACGGTGGCCGTGTCGCTACTAGCGGCGCTCGACGCGGGCGTGGCGCGGTCTGGGTCCGTGGGCCGCGTGCTCGCCGAGCTCGAAGATATCGTCGAGTCCAAGATTGGTGGCACGCTCGGCGGCGTACTCGGCATCTTTTTCGTGTCGCTGCGCGTCGCAATGCAGCGGGACGCGGCCATCGCGCGGACACAGGGTCAGGAGGCCCTCTGGACGGGTGCTCTGACGACGGCGCTCCAGAACCTCCGGCGGTACACGCCAGCCAAGGTGGGAGACCGCACCATCATGGACGCTCTCATTCCCTTTGCCGAGGGCATGGCCGTCGGGGGCTTCACGGCGGGCGTGGAGGGTGCTGTGGGCGGTGCCGAGTCGACCAAGGGCATGAAGCCGCGGCTGGGTAGGGCGACCTATGTCGGAGTCGGGTCTGGAGACGAGGGCAGGGAGATCCCGCCCGACCCGGGCGCGTGGGCAGCGAGGGTCACGGTGGAGGGGCTCCTCGCGGGGATGGCTTAGACTAGGCCCCTGTGGCCATGATCGGTAGCGGCGCGGCAGCGAGCATGACGATACAATTTACGCATATTCTCTCGTCATCCCGAATTGGGCAATCCCGCGTGATCGCTGCAGCTCTCTGGGTTACTATTGTGGGGAGGATGGATGGCAAGATGTGATCTGATCGGGGCGGAAAGGGGCGAAAAGGGGCGATCCGTCGGTGAGACTCGGTGGAGTTCGGTAAGCCCTCCATCCCTTCACTCACCTTGGTCCGTATCAGGACATCCGAGCCATGGGGTTCCACCTCTTCGGCTTCCTCTCTACCTGTCGGAACGTTCATCTAGCTGCTCAGCCGTCTGGGGAAATCCAGCTTCTCCTGTGTCATTGAACTGTATTTGAACACAAGCCGAGACGATCCGGCTGACGGAAGTAGCATCTTCCAGCGCGCTCCCGGTCCTGCTTTCGTCAGAGGCGGAACCCACATCAGAAGGGGCACTCATACACCCACATCCTGTCGACTCGACCACCAAAGGAACTTCAACATCCGAGGAGCATCACACGCTCTCCACACCAAGCAAGTCACCATGGCCGCCGTCACTCCCCGCCGCCGCCTCATCGGCCTCTCCACCAAGATGTACTTCTCCCCCTCCCGCACAAAAGAATACCTCGACGTACTGCTGCCCCGCCTCGCCACATGCCCAGGACCCCACGCCATCGACATTTTCCTGATCCCTGACTTTCTCTCGCTGCCCGCCGCCGTCACCCAGACCGGCACAGCCCCTCTGCTCCTCGGCGCCCAGGACTGCTACGCCGAAGACGCGGGCGCCTACACGGGCGAGGTCTCGCCCGCCTCCCTCGCCGAGCTCGGCGTCCGCATCGTCGAGCTGGGCCACGCCGAGCGCCGCCGCCTCTTTGGCGAGACGGACGCCAGCACCGCCGCCAAGGCTGCCGCCGCCGCCCGGAACGGCCTCATCCCGCTCGTGTGCGTCGGCGAGCTCGACCGGCCCCTGGCCGCTGGTGATGAGGCTGGGGCCCCGGCCGCCGCCGAGGCCCTGCGGCCGCAGGTCGAGAGCGTTCTAGCGGCCTTGCCGCCGGCGGCCGAGGTCGTGCTGGCGTACGAGCCCGTCTGGGCCATTGGCGCTGCGGAGCCGGCGGCTGCTGAGCATGTGCTTGGTGTCGTGCGGGCGGTGCGCGCGATGGCGTGCGTGCAGGGCCGGGAGGGGCGTGTGAGGATTCTGTATGGGGGCAGCGCGGGGCCGGGGACGTTTGAGAGGTTGAAGGGCGGCGTGGACGGGCTGTTCCTTGGGCGGTTTGGGCATGATGTAGACAGGTTTTGGAGGACTGTTGAGGAGGTGGCGAGTGCGTGATTGGGTCAGGGCCGGGTGACAAGCGAGGCTTCTTTTGGATGTGGATTCAATGAGTAAATGTGTAGTTGTTTATTTTCCTCTCCGAGATCTATAGATATGGTCTTCAAATGGAGGATAGCTGGATCTTCGCCAAGGTCAGATCTTTGCTGAATGGCAGCTGATCAATCACCATGGTCGTGGCAATCATATCGTCCGATGGCGTTCACCCCAGCTACACTCAACAACCTCACACTGACCCGGGAGAAACAGCATTCAGACTCGTGTCAAGTGTCGTGCGCCAGCCAGAATCTACATCATCTTACTCGAAGTGTAACCACGACCTCCACGACCTCCACGACCATGAGGCCATGATGCTCCCTGCTCAGAAAGAAATGGTGACTAAGCGAACACAAGACCAGCCCGGATGACTCATCACACTTTCCCATGATGATGGGCTCCAAGTACAGAGTCCTCGTCGAAGGCACCTGCCCGTCAGACACCAAAAGCACACTGCAACCTCGTGACCAGAACAAATACGACTTCTCACATTGCAGTCAGAAATTCAAGACCAAGGGCTGCACTTTCAAGCTTCTTCCAGCGCCATCCCACCCTCGTCTGTCGAGCCCGCCCCTCCTCCAGCACTTGAACGACCCCACGGTCCATCGCCAGGCAGGTCCCCTTGTCACATGAGACCCTGAAGCGTAGCCTTCGAGATGGCCTCTGATGAGCTCTCACAGGACACGAAGTCGGAATCCTTTGCCGAAGAGGCCGCCGACCAGGGCGAGATTCATGCCGAGATTCTGCAGCAATGTCAGTCCATCGCCGGCCGCATCTCGACGCTGATCGATGAGCTCCAGCAGCTCAAAGAGGTTGTCGACCAGCGACCAGTCGTCGGCTCCAAGCCGCTCCCATGGAATCAAGCCATCACGGGTCTCGGCGTCTTTGAACGCCTCGTGCTCTCGGAGAAGCGAAATGTCGACAATATGCTGAAGCTCTGCGAAACAGCACAGGACGACGACACGGATCTCGAGGTGCTGAACAACAAACTTCGCACCAAGCTCGATGCTTGCAATTATAAATTTCACGATCTCGTCTGGAGCACAGCCAAAAAGTGCCACAATCTTGTCGGCCTGCGGCGCGACTTCTCCCGCACCCCAGCTAATCGCAAGACCGACACGGTGATTGTCGATGCCGTCGTGAGTGGTGGTGCTGAGTGGATCAAGGTCGTCAACACGACGGAGAGGAGGCTGTTTTACGAGATGACGGATGCCGGATGGGACTGGGAAGACGACGAGGACGCCGACCCAGATGAGCCGCCATTACCGGAAGGGAGCGAGAACGACATTGAAGTGGCACGATTCGCCCGCCAGCTCGTCGCCGCCGCCTCCATCACGTACCACGATTACCGCCGACCAGCAGTCAGGATGCTCCTGACGAGGATCCGTGAAGGCGAAAACCACCATGTAGACAGGCTTCTGAACTTCATCCGAACCTTTGGAGGCGAAGTCGACCTGACACTCGAGACTGCCGCTGACACCTCTGGCCTTCTCTCCCAGCCGACACCGTCCATTGAGGATGCGCTTTCCCACCTTGTCATCACCGAACCATTCAAGGACTTCACCACAACCCTCAACGTCGACTGCTCCGTCTTCATGGCTCTGGCATCTGACTTTAGCCACATGGCCATCGGCCCCGATTCAGACCTTCTCCGGTCCGCCCAGCACCTTATCGACGCCCGCGATGAGGTTGAAAACGGTCCACGACTGCTGACGACAATGTACCCCGCCATCACCGGTCGGGATCTGGTATGCACGCAAGACGCCGCCGACACGTTCCTCAAGATTGCCTACGACATTGGTACCGAATCCGAAGTCGCACGTGCGCGCATTCTCTTTGAAGCATCGCAGGACGCACCCGTCGACGCCGATGCCAGAACAGCCGACTGTAAGCGTCGTCTTGATGAACTCCGCACGCTGTCATGCTATGCCGTCCCTGACGACCTGCGTCTGCCCATCCGCACCGTCGGCACCATCACGTGGGACAAGGCCCAGCAGCTCGTTGACGCGCACGAGCTCCCCGAGGTCGCCCTTGTCGTCGGCCAAAAGGGCTCCGGCCTCAACGCTATGAACGTTTCCTCCTTCCTCTACGGCTGGAAGGCCCACCTAACGACCATCACGTCCAACTGGGAGGCCGCCAAGCGTCTCAAGACTGTCATTGAGGCCAACAGGGTCGCCGGCGACGACGTTGTCGGCCCGCAGATTTGGCGCATTCCTTTTGCGAGGAAACTGCTGGCCAAGCCGAAGAGCTCGGGCTTGCCGCCGCTGAAGACAAGGAAGGACCGGAAGAGGGAGAAAGTTTCGTCGCTGCAGAGGTGGGCTGGCGAGGACGGGCAGACAGAAAAGGCAACGCCTGAGACGGCCGCATCATGACCCTTGCCTTCTGTTTGGGTCCCGAGGATGGGGATATGGTCTTATTTTGCATTGCGTTGGCCGGGTCCGGAGATTATGTACATGCTTTGGGGATCGTTGGGACGTCTTGATGTGCCCTGCGGTGATACCAATTCGCTCTTCGTTTGCGAGACGTAAGAGATAGAGTCTGGCACTACTGCAGTTTTCAACAATATTGAGACTGACTGCGCAAAACACTCATTCTTCCAGTCCGGTAACTCCAATGACCGGATATGCTATGGGCTTAGAAATATCCGATCTGGACAGAGGTGTGGGCGTGTAGACATGCTGTAGCAAGTTGGATCGGCCTGTGTGGGGCCCTTGGTCGAAGCCGACGAGCACTGAGCCAGACTGCCCACAAAAGAATGATCAATCTCCAAATGCCGATATAAACTGCGCTACTTTCACCTCTGCTCACCAATCCCATCATTCCGATTAGTCTAGTGGTTAGGATATCGGCTTGTCATCTTCACCAAAGGAAACATTCGCCGGGGACCGGGGTTCAATTCCCCGATCGGAAGATTCATATTTTTGTTTTGTCGTGCTGCTCGCTGGTCCCACTTCTCGAGATGAACTCCGTTCGCACAGAAATTCTCGCAAGGGTAATCAGCAATTCAGCATTATAAGAAGTGTCGGGTATCTTTCATGTCCCTGGAAACTCAAGACACTGGTGCCCTAGCTTCCTTTCCTCCACATTTGATACGTAGATCACCAGCCTGATACTCTGACCCAGACGTCCACGATCCGTTCGGCGGTCTCCTTTTCGCTGGAGTCAACCACCAGGTACCAACCGTACATGGCACCCGTGACGCAAGCATGGTTTGGATATATACGGATGCTCTGGCCAACTTCAAGGGGAATCGGATCCTGTGAATTCGACTCCCAGGCAAGAATAGAATGTTCCTGGCTGATCCTCTTCACAATCAGCCTTGTCTTGTTCCCAGGTTCAGCCGAGAATGACTTTGGCCCGATCACACCCCATCCAGAATATGCAGCGCATGGTTCCCTTCCGAGCCCGAGGGTTCCAACGGCAACGAGCGCTTCGGGTGTCTCTCTCTCGCCGTTGTTGTAGACGCTGACGACTTCGGCGACCACGGAGATGGCGACCTCATCATCAATTGCGCCAAGGAAACCCCGTGCCTGGGTCGACATTTGCTGAACATCAAGAAGCGAGTAGACTCCCGCGTGCAATTCCAATTTTGTTCGGAACCCGGCAGGAATATTCTGCGTTATTTGTTGTATCGTCTGGCGAAGATGGTCTCCGTCAGGCGACCCCGCCGCCGCTGGTCGCGTGAGGTTCTCAATTGAGGCGACTTGAGGTGAGGCCCCGACGCTGATGGTCAGCTGCTTGCCCGGTTTGAAATGCGCCGCGTTGTTCTGGAGCGCCTCGACGCAGCCCTTGATCTCATCTGCCAGATTGTCCATCGCTTGCTTCGCCGTAGAGTCGTTGTAGCTCAAACTGCTGTGGGAATAGAGACCGATGAGGTTCGCTTTACCTTCAGACTCCAGCTGAGCGATCTTCTCCAGCAGACTGTTCTTGTTGAGCCCCGCTGGTGGGAGGCCGGCGCGGTGGTAGCCCGTATCGACCTTGACGTAAATGCCTGCGGGAAACCCGGCGAGTTCGTAAAAGCGCTCCACCGCGGTCAATTGGGACGCATGGTCTATCATGACAGAGACGCTACCAGGGCCGATGCGTTGTCCGAGAACGGCCAGAGCCGCGGCCCGCGATGGTGGGAGTGGGATGCCGTAGAGGACATTGACGTTGCGGCCATTGTCCCTGCACTCCTCGAGAAGCGGCAGCACGTGCTCGAACTCCAGCAGCGTCGAGACGACAATGTTGACATCTTTGGACGTCTCGCCTATCTGGAGACGAGCAACTTCGACTGTCTATTACCAGTGTGAGCGGAAGAAGGCGGACGAATGAGGAGGATTGTATTGCTGGCACCATTCACCTTGTGTGTCTTGACATGCGCACGGAAGCCGACGCCCAGGCTGTCGACAGCATCCAGCATCGCCTTGCAGTGTCGCTTCAAGGGGGCGACATCGAGGACTGCTGCCGGCATGGGCAGCTCCGTGATGAGTTTCCCGACATAGAACCGGCGCAGTTCTTCGACGTCGGGCGTGGGTCTTTGAGGGGCGGCCATGGCGTTCAACGAGTATGCTTGAATTGAGGTATTCAGGATTCACGAACTGAGTGATTGGTATGAATGATGGTTATGTTGACCCCATACAAGTATTCTCTTCCTCTTTATACTTTGCTGGCGCCCTGGGCTCAGCACTCGATCTTACGTGTAGACTGGATTAGCAGTCTGAGGGGTTGGTTAGTCTGGCGGATAAAGACAAGTCCGCCGCAGCCCCATCGTTATAAATAAGGCGCAGACTTTCTACGAGCGACTTATCGCCAATGACACTCTTCAGTGAATCATTTGTAGAACTACGGTCGTTTCAGTCCTTTGAAAATGTCGTTCTCCGCTGTGGTGGGCTCGTTCAACGTTAGACGTGCAAATCATGGGGGCGGAGTTTACTTCGTCCGCACAGCCCCTGATAGACGGCCAGCGATCGGAGGACTATCCGCGGGGTTGTATATGGTTCCAGGAATGAATCACTGGTCGCAAATTGAGCACAAATTTAACATAATGTAGCTGAATGTATTTCTTTACTCCCACAGCACACATTGACTTTTTTTGGTTGAGAATGGCGTGATTGGATCCCTCGTCCAAAGTGGTTCATTGCGCCCGTCGTGGCGGCATTGTGAGCCTGCCCGGCTCTTTAGTCGGACAGAACCCCTGATCTCAACATACTTCTAACTAGGAAATTGAGCTGATATGAAAAGAAACGGCCTCTTGTGGACGGCCAATCACCAGGACCGTAAGCATCGATTGCCGGCAATGTTCAAATATCCCTCCTCATGCAATCAACAACAGAAAAATCGATTCCAGGGAGAGCGTGGGGCGTGCTCGTGGGAAGGAGGCTCGACGGGCGCAGTCCTCTTCAAAGCCCCCATCGTCCCATACCCATTTCTCGTCGACCTCATTGCATTATGAGGTTTGGGCTGGGATGAAAGAACGGTGTCGTCAGTGACTAGTTCTGCAGACGTAAAGCTGTCTGCTAAACTGTCCGCTAGACTGTCTGGCTGAGATGGTGTTGGTGTTGTCTGTTGCGTAATGTATATCGAGATTGGCCGTTCATCCCAAACCGATGTGTCGGTGGTACCAAATGTTGGTGAATCTGGCAACTCAGGGGGTTGAAAATTGCTACGCGGCATGTTGAGCTTTCTTTCCTCTGGAGACTGAGCTCCGTTGCGTAGCAAGATCGTTGCGGATATGCCTGCAACACCTATAGGATCTTGTTCGAGTGACTGTGCCGCCATATCGATGGCGGCTGAACGGATGCCTTGGTCAATCATGAGCTGGCCGCCTGGCTGTTCAATCATGGATCGATTGTCAATTTCCGAGAGGTTTGTATCCGCTCGTCTCGGTGACTTCGATTTCGCGATGCCGTAGGAGGGGTCGTCCCTACAAATTTGTACCAGCTTCTCAAAGAACTCAACGATCTCATGTGACTGCGCTCGCTTGTTCGGGTTCATTCGCAGCATTCTGTCTTCGATGAAGTCCAAAACATCGAGCAGCAAGTCGCTGCAGCTCTGATCTTGACGAAGAAGACGTATTTCCTAGTAAGTCACGTTTTAGCGGCCGTGAGCCTTTTATCATGAGTGTTGGACAACGCACCTGGATTACCGAGGGTTTCATTCTCGCAGTTCTAACAATCTGTCCATCAATTGATTTCACCTCCTCGTCAAAGAATGAATCGTCAAAAAGGATATCTGCAGGCGGGTTTTCAGCCCCAGGATACGCTTGTACCTCGCTCCCATTAGAGTCACGAATCCTCTTTCCAGTAAAATCGTCAGTGTGAGCCCAACCGAGGAGATACCATCCAAGAAATTCGAGGAACACGCAGCCCAGTGGCCACACGTCGTAACTTGGATTGACAGATCCATTGACTTTAATCTCGGGGGAGCGGTAGCAAAGTGAGAGACCAAACTGAGGACCAACAATCTCCTGTATGGACCGAGTTCCATGACACGCAGCCAGACCAAAGTCCGAGATCTGAAAGTTTCCGAAGGGATCGCCATTCCCCTTGAAGCAGAGAATGTTACCAGGCTTGAGGTCACCATGACGGCCATATAAAGGCTTAACCTTTCCTGGCAACTGGAGATACGGCTCCTCATCGCTCGTTGGCTGATGAACGGCATCCACACCCCTGGCAATGGCAAGCAACTGTGTCATGAGCCACAATGGGAGTGTTTCATCTTTATCCCGGAGTCGTGGCTGCGCGGAGTGGTTTTCCCAGAATGCTGTAAGGTCGCCGCCGTGGGCCCAAGGGAATAGAAAGCTGTATTCTCCGTCTTTCTCATAGCTGGCCAACATCGTGATCACGTTCGGGTTCTTGCGAACTCTTAGTAGATTGTTGCGCTCGTTCCAGAAGCGCTTTTCGTAGTCCTGCTGGGAAAGGGTTCCTTTTTGAAGACGTTTCCGGGCGAAATATAAATGTTGGTCGTCGTCCTTTCACACGGTTAACGCTCGTTCAGAAATAAAAACATAACGAGAGCGGAGGGAAAGCAAAAGGCAATATTCAAGAAATTTACCTTCTCGTGAGGATAGTTGTGATGCGCGGGATGAACCACAATCTTTTCAACCTCTCCGGAACCCCCATAGGCCTTCGCGGTACCGGAATCACGGCCAAATGGCAGTATAGTCTCGCTCCTTAACTTGAGGTGAGGACATTTATGATCAGCCATGTCGAAAAATGGAGCAGTCACCCTCCATTGATAATAATTGAAAGTGTCCAGAACCCTTCCCGTCCAGTGTTTGATAGGAAGGGGCTCCAAGACACCCCCTATCTCCCGAGAGACGACCTGTTTCGTGAAGTCGATGGCTAGAGGAAGGTGGCAGTCGTATATGCCATGCTCAATGAAGAGTTCAATATCGTCTGCCTTGTCTATAGATGCTAGGATTGCGAAGATCTTGCGCCGACACGTTTCTCTCATAGGCCGCCGCAGGCTTTTAGGCTGGCCGGGGGAGTCGCGTGGATCCGGTACTTTGTGCCTATCCAGAATGGCATCTGTGATTTCTTGCAGGTTGCTCTCAGGGTATCTGGAGGGAATCTTGCAGCTTTCGAGGTATTTCTTTACCCGCTTCTTCACCATCAATGCCCCCAGCTCATCGTAGGGCAAAAATTCCGCAAAACCTTCCAGATGCTGTGCGCGTAGGATCTGATCATCCCAATCTCCATCTGGAGAGGAAATACGACCCTCTGAGTTGCAGTCGGAGATGTCGAGAGAGCTGAAGTCGCCGTAGACATTAGGCGCGTTGTCGGTCCTAGGGTCAATACCCTTCAGAGGGTCGATCGAAGAAGAACCTCCTTTGCGGGCCGCACTAGCTTTTGTTACTGAATATTTGAGCTGAGCCTCTTCGCCGTTGTCGACGACCTCCGATAGGTTAGAGGTGATATCGCTGCGCGCAACCCCGACGTCTTTTGCGTTTGGAGCACGGTCTATGTCCTTCAACCCGACATTTTCAGCCCTCCAAACAAGAACAGAGGGCAAGTTCTGTCGCTGGAATGAAGAACTCTGCAGACAAAATCCTCATTAGCCTCTGCCTGGTATAAAGCCCCGGGAAACAGCTGAGGCGTGGATTGACACCTTCGGGATTGAATATTTACCATTGAAGCGAAGTCTACGGGCCTTTGTTTGCGTGGTGCTTGTTGGAGTTATCGGGCCCGTGAAGCAAATCACCTAAATTACACTCGTTATGGCGACGGAGCTGATAGATGTCTTTTATCGAGTTGAGACTGCCGCTTGGCAGCAAAGGCTAGACATGCCATGCGCTACCGAGCTCCAAATAGGTAGTGGCATAACTCCCCGCAATGTCCTGCATTTTGGTGTGGTTGCAGGAGGAGGGCTGCCCGCATCGAGTATTGTAAAATTAGTTTCATCACAGCCTTTCCAAGCATCAATTTGTTGACCAGGCCGCCTGGGGCAGTGCTCAAGACGAAAGGAAAGGCGTGGTCGAGTCGGCGAAAGAGGGCAGCAGCAGGCTGAATGGGTCAGCTGAGATCGTTACAGCATGAAATGGCGTGTGCTGGGTGGTGGTGGGATTTGTTTTAGGCTGTCGCCGAAGTGGACGAAGTCGCTGATGGCGCTGGCACAAACGCCCACGAGAAGCGGCCCCCATGGCCAACCTGGGGGGCCTGTCAGCTAATGGGGGCCAGACCTTGCTTCACCCATTTTCGAATACTAAGGCCGAGATAATTGCCCCCGTGGCTACCTGATGACACCGAAATCGAAGCTGTGTCTTACTCACGGAACCGCCTTGGCGCCTACTTCAGGCTGCAATCAGCACCCCATATCACGAGTGACATGTCGTCAGCAGCCTCGCAAAGCAATATCACCAAACCAAGATGCGAGTGGAGTAGTAAATTCGTGGCCCTTTGATTGGAGGCTCCAACTGGTGTTGGTTGGTTGTCTCATACGTTGATTGGCTTTCATTGCCTGCACACCGATCCTCAATCAGCACTGCCACGGACTTTTTACACTTTGCTAAAGGATTGCCACTTGTCTCCGTGGTCGGGAAGCATGTGCTAGACGCCGAGGAGCTGCACTCTTGGGGCTGTAACCGGCTTTGCCCCATGTCTGCTTCCACGGGACCCTGCAGCCTGATCCCCGAAGCCACTACATTTGCAGCTTTATGGGGCAGCATGACGCTGTGTTGGGAAGAGAAAAATTGCCTTATCTGAATTCATCAAGAGGGAGACAGAAGAACTTAAATCGTGAAAATACCCTGTCGGTTATCCCTCACGCACGAGAAGGACGGCTCCTGATCAGACAACCACATACAACGCCCAAGCGTCCTCACCCTCGGTACGAAACCGCCCAAGCGAACAACGTCTACGGCCATGTCTCAGGAAATATCAACATACTGCAGGAACCGAATTGACAGCATGCCAGTCCAAGGGACCTTGTCGACGCGGGCTACCAGTCCAGATCGCTTGTTCCGAGCACTCAGGAACAAGCTTGGGCCTGGGGGATTCGCCGTTGAGGTTCGCCACGACAAGTACAACATCAGAGCCGCATCACCGCTTGAGATCGTGAGTTTGCAGTTACCGCACATGAAGACAGATATTGTAATTCTGACGCAGATGAAGAGTTGCGAAGGGCATAACCCGATCATTAGCTGAGGGATAGAAGACGGCAGTATGGACACCCATCACCTCTAGAATTCGGCCTTTGGGATCACTTGTTTTCTTGGTGTTTATCGGCAAAGATGAAGGTTCCTGTTGCTGTGCTCTAGGTCCTTTGTTTTTCATGGCTTCGGGGAAGAAGGAAAGATTGGGGGCAGGGGTTGACTTATGGCACGAGAGATTGCGTGTGACAGGAATCCACTAACAGCCAAGAAGAATGATAAAGATATTGTTCAGCAGTGTCCCAAGCAGTCAATTTAGCACAGCTTGCAAATGAACAGAGACAACGAGCACACAGGCCATCGTCTTTCAAAACCTTCTAGATCTGCTCGTAATGTTCGATTGCCGCCAGCGACATAAGCTGCGATTGCTGTACCTGCAGACAAGTGAGCAGCTCAGGTCAGCAGCAGGAGACCGAGGGGGAGGTGCGTACCGCGTCGAGCCGCCTCGGGATTTGATACTCCCACCTGCCGCGTTTACGCTGTGTCATTGGAAGTCCGTTAATATGACCACAGGGATGAAACTGCTGGAGTGAGGCGGGGCTGGGGGCAGGGCGGGGGCTTGGGCTGTGCATCGTGATCCCTCAGGGCTGTGTGGGTGGACTTACCTTTACAGTAAAAGCACCGACACCGAACAGTCGAGAAAAGAAGCTCTCGATGTTAGACTTTTCCAGGTATGTGGCTCTGATGTACGCGACGGCCATTGCGGGATGTGCTATGCGGGCACCCTCAATCATGCACTGCGATATGGTGTTCCTAGGATAGAAGTAGGACGAAAGGTGGGAGATGAAGGATGTCCTCCTAATCACAGCGTATGGAGTACAAAGAAAAGTGAAGTGTATTTAAACCAAGAGGTTTCTACCGCATCTGGGCACAGCCTGCTGGAAGCTATATCAGGCTACGCGGTAGCGCGCGCCATTGGCGGTAGGCTGCATGGGATGGAGGCAACATCTCAGCAAGAGGGTGTGACCATGTAGCAATATACATGCACGGTGAAGTATCTTTCGCATTGGTGACCTAACTCAATTCCCGCCACTCGTAGTTGATAGGCGAACTCGTGGGCTGACCAGGCTTGCACATGTGCATTCTTGCCAGAGTGAATACGAATTCGGACACCGAAGCCCCTCTCCAAAGGACAACACAACATGAGCATAATTGGCGAGGTATGCCTCAGAGATATTTTCAGCATCCAGTATAGGCCGTGAGCAAGTCACGGTAGCTGCGCAGTATCCATCATTCTCTCACTGGGCCATGCACAAATGGATTGGGTACGGGACTTCTCTGGCTTAAGCGCCAGCGACTTGGAGCGGTGTTTCGAATACCACTGGAGCAGCAGCACAGTCGTCAAGCTCTCCAGCACCGGCAAAGTAAGTACGACGATGATTATAAACTCATGTACCTACTTTCAGGAGTTTAAATTAATTATTTAGTTGCTTACTCGGTCGTTGAGCTCGGAAAAAGACTGGCAGAAGTGGCTGGACAATGCAAGTGCTCCTACACATCCATACCATTGCTCGTTATTGACCGTAGTGCCATGAACAGGAGGTACCAGATATAGACGATAGAAATGTCGATGGAGGGTTGATTCTTATGTGAGTAAATCTTGAGAAAAGCTTCGTCAATTGACATTCATCCTAACGATCCAATTCAAGTTTGACCAGCCGATGCGATCGACCGAAACTGACTGTTGAGTCCGCGGAGCTATGTAATGAGAAAGAAATGAACGAGAAAGTCTCAATAGCAGATGACTCAACTCTGTGCAACCCAAGCCGATCAAACACGCAGAGGTCCGAGGTTGTACTTCGGGAGACAGAAGGGCAAAACGACGCAGGTTCAAGAGCAACTCGAAGCATTCGTGACTTGCCGTTTTCACGCGAAACTTTCGAGACCATCATAAGAAGATTCCACACTCACGGAACTTTGACGAGAACCATCAGCAGGGCCGATGTATCTGCATTTTCAGCAAATAATGTTTCCATGCAGTCAGCTGAAGGTGGTTCCTATCGTTCATATGGTACGTCCACTGGTACTTGTCATCATGTTGAGACAGCATGACTGATTGCAGTTCTCCTCGGATAGTCTACAATGCGCGAACATCCAATGAATGGGAGGGAGACCTCGCTATGACAGCAACTTACTTTCCATGCCGTCAACTCACGTTTGGAATTCTCTTTGGCTGTACCGAAACGATTGAAGATAAAGTGCTCAAGCGGCTGAGTCTGGTTGGGTCGGATGCCACTCATCCAATGATTCCCTTTGGCATCATGGCTGAGATTGAGCGTTCTAGGCACATAAAGCTTGTGGAGAACTCCATTGATGGCCTGGAGACGAATATTGATCAGCTCAGCGAACGCATCGAAACCCGTGGCGAGGCAAGCCAAGAAGAGTTAGACAGGCGTAGCCGCGATCGAAAAGAGGCGTGGTTAGACGCCGCCCATCTGAGGAATGTGCTCATAAACTGGCAGAACCAGCTCAAACACATGGCAAGACATGCCAGACTCCTGCAATCAGCGCCGATGATCGATGCGCCGCAGACAGTGACCACCAAAGAAAATGGGCATGGGCTCCAGGATACCCAGCACAACGGAACTTTGGAGTGCCGAGCCCTTGAGGCAAGCAGTACTCGTATAGGTGACCGACTTGAGGCCATTGTGGAGGAGTACGACGAAAAGATCCGTGACTCGGCCATGAGGTTAGATGGTATGGCCATGGCGACGCAATGGGTAAGACAGTATATTGCCGTCATCCATTAAACGCATGATATCTGGCTGACATATCTGTTGCAGTCATATTCGGACACCAACGTTGAGATCGCTCTTGCAACGACCCGCGATTCGAAGCATATGCGCTCTATTTCGCTCATCACCATGATCTTCTTACCAGGTACCTTTTTGGCTGTAAGTGGTTGCCCAGATGGCACGATGCCTTGACAACTAATCACCACCGCCTCAGACCATCTTCTCAATGACTTTTTTCGATTGGGGCGACGGAGCAGGGAAAGCGAGGGTGTCGGGCATGATATGGATATATTTCGTACTGGCCTTTGGCTTTACCGCCGTTACTCTCGGAAGCTGGTATTTTTGGACATCCCGTAGACATCGTACCAAGAACATCTGTCGTTGCTAGCGATGGTGGTCTCAATGAATCGCTCTTGGACGAGCGATCAATGTTATGTCAGAGGGTTGCAATTCGTACCGCCGTTCAATGGCGTGTCTTGATCCCTGAGACCCGCGCTGCAAATACTCCACCACGGAACCTCGTTCATCGGTCAAGCAGAGGCTGAGTAAGGTCTTTGATGACCGCGCGCTGACAGCCTGCAGCCTGCAGCCTCATGCAACTTGCTCTACAAGCGAATCCACTTTGCTGCATACATGGAAAACAAGCAGGCTGCCTCCGAGACTGACAAACCTGGCATTTTCAGCCTTTGCATATATTGGGCACCTATTTGCCTGACAATCCATCATAAGTCTGGGTTGATTCCTGTCGCTCGAATTTGACCATCAAACAAAGCAGAGCACACAATGATAAAACCATCACCCCAAGACCTATCATCGGACGATCTATGGGAACTGTTGCACGACCACAAAGTGGAAGGCCTGAAGGATGATCAGTCATATTGGCCCCTCTCCACACTCCGGAGATGCCTGACGCCGGAGGTCGTTTCGAGAAGTCTGATTGTACCCGAAGGCCCGAACAGTAAGTTGAACAGAGAATCCCTTGTTCGCCAGATATGTTACCCTGATCCTGAGAAGGGCCACACATATATTCAATTATTTGCTCTTCTCGTTATGTGCGACAAGCTCAGTGATGCAAACGTCATCTTCGACAAGCGGAGCGGCGTTTGTGACGCCGACCTCCCTCTTTATTATGACTATAAGGCCGAGAAGCCTTTGAAAAGGAAAAGTACAGAAGCCTCGTTGGAATGTTTCATTAGAAGTTCTTGGAGACGGAAAGACTCAGACGCCTTTGACAGATGGCAATGGCGTGTCTGCCCTCATGTATTTCGGCGCAGGGAAGCAGAGGCTGCACCTCACAGCAGACTGGGGACCAAACACATACTTCCCTGGATTTCTGATGGGCCAGTCAGCAAATGGCTTGCGGATGATGATACTCGGGGTGGTGCATTCGGCGACGTTTTCAAGAGAATGTTGCATCCTGGTTGCCACACTTTCGACCCGCTCCTTCAAAAGGGAAGTACCTTTGAACAAATCTAACACCCTTACTAACTAACCTTCAGCTGGACTTGAAAGCAGAATTTGTTGCAGTGAAGAAGCTCAGGGGAGGTCGTGAAGACAAGTTTCGTCAGGCGCAGCGTGAGGCTGATCAGCTACGCCTCTTTGACGGCCGACTCCATTCGCACCTGGTCACCCTACTTGCCACCTACGAGATGGACGGCGAATACTTCTTTCTTTTTCCATACGCGGAACATAACTTGGAATGTCTGTGGGACAAGGAAGTACATCCCAAAGATATGCAAGACGCAACGACTGTGCGGTGGCTTTCTCGCCAGATATGTGGACTTGTTGGAGCAATGGCTCAGATACACGAGCCACGCAAGATTGCACCTGGAAAGTATGGCCGTCACGGCGATATCAAACCCGACAACATCTTATGTTATCGTACCCATACAAGCTATGGGTGGCATCTTGTTATTTCCGATCTAGGTGTCTCCGCGCTGAACTCGGAAGACTCTCGGTCTAATGTGCCGGGGGAAGTTGTTCCAGAGATTCCCGGTTATCGTCCGCCAGAATGCGACATTCAAGGCGGCTCCATCAACAGGCTTTTCGACGTCTGGACAATGGGATGCCTCATTTTCGAGATGCTGGCGCAAGTAGTAGGTGGGATGACGCTCCGAGATGAATTCGATCACAAAAGAACCACATTTTTCATGATTGGTGGGGGTAGAACAAATGTGTTCTACGACCTCGTTGAGCTGGAAGGCGGCAGCTTCAGACAGTCCGTCAAAGCAGAAGTCCTGCAGGTGAGTAAAGTTTTGATAGGATCTTGGATGTTGCGCCCCATGCGCTGAGCCAAACCTTTGAGCTCATTCTGATATAAACGTGTCCCGTTTAGTGCTTCGACGCTTTGAGGGCTGATGACAGGTCATCGCAATACATCCGAGATGTTGTAACGGTCATCGAGGATCAGATGATGGTCATTCTCCGGAGGGACAAAACCTTGGTCAGGTCGACTTCAAGCGAGCTGGTCAAGATATTCGATCATTTGCACGACAAATGTCAACGGGACGAAGAATACTGCATTTCACTATCGAATTCAAGTCTTCCTAATGCGACCAGGGAGCCCGTTGCTGTATTGGTAGAGCTCAATAAACGGTCTCTCAGCCAACTACAAAGACGGCCTGTGCAGAAGCGTTCCGGCCGGGAAAAAGTATCCATGGATGCTAGCAAGATGAAAGAGTTAGACTTTGTTCATCCACAGGGTGGAACAGCCGGTAAGCAGTTGGGAGTTCCTGGTTAGTAGCGCCATGGGAGGTATCACCAGCGGGTTGGGTGTATGTCGGAAATGGAAAGAAGAATGATAAAGCCAAGAGATAGCAACATGTCTTTACCCGCGCAATATTGTATGATTAGGCCAGGCTAGCGGAATACCTTGTCAAGCCGCGCCACAGCGCCAAGGATTTGCTCGTGAGCATGGCCGCGTTTGGGGGGGGGAGGGGGAGGGAAGCAAACACACTCAAAGACCTTGTGTCTACGTATAACACCAAGCAAGGAGAAGAAGAGCGGCAAGAAGAGTATAGTAGAAGAGGAGTCTTTTGAGGGACTTTCCAGGCCTAAACTGCAAGATTAGAGAACTTTGATGCTTCAGAATCGAGCAGGTCGACTACCATTTGTAGTAATGGAACGCATAGGAAGGTTAGCGTATGTAGAGTTAATATCCTAGAGTAGAAGGTCGGTCCTTGAATTAGCTGCTGTAGGGCCAGATCTCATTCGAGTAGGATCCAGAAATGAGCAGTAAGGTGATTAAATAGCTTCGGGTTCCTCATTGACATTGACGAGGTGATTTGTAACTTGGACAGTTATGAATGCTTGTTTATTCGCCGGCCTGCGCTGCTTTTGGTACTTGTAGGGGTAGTCAGCATTTTCTTCCCTCTGATAGCCTGCACGAGCTGCGTGTGAGAAGATGGCCTTGAACTCCGCGACAATGCTAGAATCTCTTCTCCATACATCTTTCGCGATACCGAAAGGTAGCAAGGGCAAATCTCTGATAGACGTAAATATGATGCGAACCTGGAATCACGTCCAATATCCTTCCAGTTTCCTAAACTAGTGTTCACCAAAGGGACCTTATATCGCGGGTTACTAGCACGCCAACAACAAGAAATAAGTCTAATCCGGTAGGCTATGCAGGTCAGGAGACACAAGCCAAGTACGTCAAGGTAAAATTTTAGCAGTCGTAGTCACCCTGACACCACCTACTTATCAAGTCTCACAATAACCGCCCAGCCGTCGTGCGATCGTCAAGCGGCGGATTTACCCAGCTTACCCGCTTGGCATCAGTGGCGTGATGGGTGAGCTTTCGACACAGCTTTGACCTAATACCAGTTGCTTTAGAATGGTTATAAGAGGTCTATTATTGATTATGTCGTCCTACATACATGGTTTCGCCGCCACAAGCCGAGTGTACAGTCGAATAAAGACAAATATCGCAGCACTGCCTGTTAGAGACCAGGACAGGGTCAATAGCTAGCCAGGCCTTGGCCACCGACGCTCGCGACGGGTGTGACATCCATTTTGACAATGGGTAACGATGCATTATCCAGAATGAGAGGAGTGCCATAAAAAAGGGTTGACCGCGTGCGCTAGGTGCCGCTGTCGAGCAGGCAAATTTCATGCACATGCATTTCCAAGCGCATACAGTAGGAGCCAGATTTCCACATGGTTCTCCGTCGAACCTTGCGTACACCCATTGCGGCACAGTCGAGCACCAACCTCAGTGCACTCTGGGGTAAATCGCGATAGGTTACATCCTGTCAGGGATCAAGCACTGCATCTCGAGCAGCCCCTGTCTCGCGGGACTGGTCCGCAGTACCCTGGAAAACTCAAATGATCCGCCGGCCGGCGGAAGGCAAACGAACAACACAGGTTGGATTAGGGGCGACCTGCCGCTTGCATTTAGCCAAAAACACCCCCTTCTAGCCCATGCCATGATTAAATCACGCACTGGTGCTCAACGGCATCGTCGAGGCTTGCGGTAGATTCTTCAATGTGAGGCGTCATCCCGACAGAACTGAGGAAATTATTTTTCGAGATGTCGATTGATTGGGGTGCGGCGCTGGCACTTTTCATTGCTGCCTACGTGGCATGGTGCCTTCTTGCCTATTTGCAATCTCCCCTGCGTCGATACCCTGGGCCCTTCTTTGCCAGTAAGTGCGCGTAGGGCCGTCACGGCTCGATCTCGAAATATCGGCAGCGTGAGCGTACTATGCGTGCTGACGACGATGTAGAATTTACCAATCTCTGGCGGGTTTACCACACACTGCGTGGCGATATCCACCTAGTAAACCTGCGCACGCATCGAAAGCATGGCCCTGTGGTCAGAACAGGGCCCAATAATCTGGACCTCGATGTGCCCAGCTTGGTCAAGACCATCTACACTACAGACCACAAGTGGCTGAAAACGGAATTTTACAACCCAGCGAGCAACATCGTCAACAGAGAACCTGTACCCAATCTCTTTAGTCTCATCGACCCGGCCGAACATGCAAGGCAAAAGAAGCCTGTCGCCAAGCAGTATTCGATGACAAGTGTGCTTCAGCTGGAGCCACACTTTGATGAAGCCATTCGACTGCTGTGCTGTCAGCTTGAAGGGCGTTTTATGCACGAGTGGGTCCACGATTGCTGTGAATTTGGTTCCGAATTCGACTTGGGTCAATGGATCAAGATGTGTAAGTCACTGAGTACTGTACCATTCTCTACTCGGGTTTTCCAAGCTGACAGGCTGTGTAGACGCATGGGACGTCATTGGCCAGATCACTTTCAGCAAACGCTTTGGATACCTCGAAGCAGGCAAAGACTTCGATGGGCATCTATGGTTATCCGAGATGGGGTCTGACTACCTTGCCAGCGTTAGCCAGTTGCCCATTCTTGATCGCTGGATCGACAAGAACCCTATCATACCAATCGGCGGTGCAACAGTGCTACTGGGACCGACGCTGCAATACGTGAAAGATCGATTTCAGGGTCGAGACAAAGCCACCCACGATGAAAGCAAGCCTGACTTTCTGGACAAGTTCATTCAGGCGAGGTCTGAGAATCCTGACGTTGTCGACGGCAGGCAGATTGTCAGCTACCTTGCCATCAACATGCTTGCTGGGGCTGATACGACCGCCATTACCATCAAGGCGGTGCTTTATTACGTACTCCGTACGCCGGGTGTGCGGGCGAAATTAGAGGCCGAGATTCTGGCCACGGAGTTCTCAAAGCAGCACAATGTACCACCGCCATATTCCGAGGTCAAGTCGCTTCCGTACCTCGCAGCCATCATTCGCGAAGCAATGCGGCTGCATCCTGGGGTGGCTATGACTCTCCCGCGTTATGTCCCTGCAGAAGCCCAGGGCAGCCAACTCGTGCTGCCTGATGGGTCGACTGTTCCGCCAGGTATCAGCGTTGGGATGAACCCATTCGTACTAGGTCGCAACAAACAGACTTGGGGAGTTGACTCTGATGAGTTCCGACCTGAGAGGTGGCTTCGAGACGAAGGCGCTGATGAGACGAAGGAGGGTTTTGCTGAGAGACTGCGGGGCATGGAAAATGCCGATTTCACGTTTAGCGCAGGCTCGCGTGCATGTATCGGGAGGCACCTCGCCTTAGTCGAAGTATACAAGGTCGTTGCTACACTCTTCGCCTCATACGAGATTCAGATTATGAAGCCGGAGATCGAGTGGTGGGTACGGAACGGCTTCTTCCTCCGGCAGCAGGGACCTCGAGTAAGAATGCGTCCTCGCAGAGACATGTGAATAAATTAGGCGAGCAAAGGAGCGATAGAATCTGCAATAAGTCATGTATCCAAGATTTTATTCGAGGGCAAGATGCTCCGGCGCTTGGTCCACCAGAAATTAGGTTGGGCTACGTCTTATCATTAGCTTTATACTGTGCGGAGGAACATCTGCAGCCATAGTGCTGATGATCAGAGTTGTCCAAAGACATCCTCTTGGGTAGCGATGCTCAGGGCGTCTCAAGTCACTGGCAGGGAGAATAGCCCGGCTCATTGTAACGCCTTTACGTTTCAAGCCAAATTTCATGGGCACTCTGGCGTGTTACACAGATTCCCGACAAAAGACCGTCGGATCTGAAGTTGTGTGTGTCCTCAATTGATCGCTAAATGCCAGAATCCGTTCGCTTTTCCGTTTCGTATACGTCCATGTACAGATAAAAGCCCTTAAACCGTAAGCAAGCTGGCGTCCCATATATCTCCTAAGCTTGAGTGGTCGATCTCTTGAACTTTGTATCGACACGGATGCTGTGAAGTGGGATGTCGTCGGCGTCATCGTCACAGCGATCTGCCTTGGGTGTGCTTGTGACGGTGAAACCGTACCCCTTGACATCAGGCCTCAGGGCGGCATCACTAGGTGACACCATGGTCGCGCCCAACTCCTCGCTCGTAAATCGGGACTCATTGTCGTCGGAGGCCCGTCGGGAATGTTCGTCTTTGTTTGATCGTTCCGAGGTGGCGGCGGACTTGTTCGCAAAGTCCTCACGGGACGAGAGGCGCTCGCTGAAGTTTCCAGTCTTCTTGGAGCGCAGACCCATGGACGACGCGCCCCTCGAGAAAGCGTCGCTGAGGCTGCCCTTGATGCCCAAGGATCGTGCAAAAAACATCATGACCGGTCGAAGGGTAGGGAGGCAAGCGGAAACGATACCCGCCGACATTTCGATTGCTGTCCAGCCGACCGTTGGAGCCAGTGTGTAGGTTGGGTCGGTGGCGGAGTAGGTGAAAAGCACACTGGTGCGGTATGCAGACGCGAATACAACACTAGACGTTGTCAGTTGCCAAAATATCGATCTATACTGGGAGAGAAACGCACAAGAATCCCAAGCTGAATGCGAAAGTGAGACCAATCTTTTCGATCTGCTTCAGTTGGAGTTTCCAGATGGGCGGAATCGGCATGAGAAGGATGACAAGATCGGTGAAGATGGTCGAAGCCGCGTTGGCGATCCATGTGCCGACCTGGTTGATGCATCGTCCGGGAAGATGCGGGTACCAGAGCTTCTCGACCGGGACGCAGATGAAGATGAAGAGGAAAGTGATGCAGACTACCCACGCCATGACAAACGCGCCGACTCCCCATGCCATCCTCTTGAAGTAGGGAACGCGGAAGATGCGGTAGTACATCAGCAATAGACTCAGCTTGGTCCAGCCGAGGTTCCAGGCGTAGAGAACTTCAGCTACGACAAGCCATTTGGCCATCATGACAATATCCTCGAGGTCCACGAGGTCGGCGTGGATGCCCATACCGCAAGAGTGCATGGCAAAAATGAATCCAACAACGGCAAGGTTCCAGCCCTGTTCGCAGTGACATGTCAGAACTCAGGGACAAAAGTTGCTGGGAAACCATGGGTTGGTTGTACGTTGAAGTTTCAAGTCTAACATACCATCGAGAAAATGATCATCCAATCATCCCACCACAGCTCTTGACCCTTGAATCGCCGACTGACGAGCCGCAATACGACAGAGGCAAGGGCCAGCACGGTCATGGAAACAACAACTTGGATCATCCATGGCTGGAGATTGTTGGGGTTATAACCCGGCAGGCCCGGAAGCTGAGACTTCGATGACATGTCGACCTGCGGAATGCTTGAAGCGAAGAAGAAGTTGGGAAAGAAACAAACAAAGATGCAGAAATCAGGTCTAATATTTGCGGTTCTCGGAGCTTTTCAGACATATATTCTTCACGAATGCATGCTCCTGCTTTACGCTCCCACCCACCGTCCCGTCACCCCCCTGACGCTGATGGCAGAGGGTGGCTCGAACACGACAGGGATGGGGGGCTCTAAAGGGTTCCCAGCCGGCAGTGAAGTTTCGCGGTGCCTGAAAAGGCGATTGATCAACGAGGACTGCGGAGTAGCATCCACCTTATCTGCTGATGGACAGGCGATGGACCGCAAGTACGGTATCATCGCGTGCGTGAGAAGATTTTCTCTTGGGGCCCTGATGTTACGCTGAGGATTTTTCCCATCACAGCGCCGCTTTCTCCTTTCCAAAAATCAACCCGTTCACCCAAAGAACCGGTTCTCAGATATCGGCTGGCTCATCGATCTGAACAAGGCGTTTTTACTGCAATGCAGCCCGCCTATTGCAGCAATCAGCTTTGGTCACCAACAAAACCCAAATCTCCACCATCGACACCCCAATCGACCCTGGCCTCCCCTCTCCTCCCCTGTAACGACTTCGTCTCCCCGGCACCCGCGGCTTCGTCCCCAATCTGATAGTGGCTCGACTAAAAAGAGGCGTTGAGAGGCGTTGTCTAACGCGGGCCGCCCCCTTGCGCTAGACGAAACCAGTAGCTCGACTCCATCACGACGGCTCTAAGACCTTTTTGAGTGTTGATCCGCACAGCCTGACAGGTGGAAGCCCCTCTTCGCGAGGGCGCCAAAACCTGCGGTTCCAGATTCTCCACACCGAAGCACACGTAGCAGGGTCATGGTGACCGCGGAATGATTCCAGGCCTAAAGTTAGGCTGCCGGTCACAACGCCTCTCGCGACAATGAGCATATAGGGAGGTTGTCCCTGGGGACGCCAGAGAAGCAGCTCCTGCAGTCTAGTGACGCTGCATAATAACTAACACGAGAGCTCTTTTCTTCAGCACGGCCTCGTTCTTTTCCCTTCGAATCAGTGTCCAGCTGCATTACCTTTGATCGACCACCTACCCCGTCACTGCTGCTACCCAGTATCAGTTTTCAATATGGCTGCCCAGACAACTATTCATGTCCCCCACCTCGGTGGCATCACTGCCGGATATCGGCTTTCCGGGGACGCCATAGATTCGAGCAAGCCCACCCTTGTTCTCATCAATTCGATGTGCACAACTTCTTCGCTGTACGAGGCTCAGTTCAACAGCAAGACGCTTACAGACGCTGTCAATCTTTTGGCGATTGAGCCCCTGGGCCATGGCGCCACAAGCTCTGTCTCAGACCAATTCACCTATTGGGACACAGCCACCATGGCTCTGCAAGTCATGGACGCCCTCAAGGTGCCCAAGGCTTTCGCGTTAGGCACGAGCCAAGGCGGCTGGATGGTCGCTCGGATGGCGCTGCTGGCCCCTGAAAGGGTATTTACAAACCCCTCCCCCAGTGAACCCTCGTCAGGATCGTCACTCTGACCGAATTGCAGATCATCGGCCTGCTGCCTCTCGGCACTTCAATGGACTACGAGTCCGCCGCCTCCCGCGAGAAGGGCTGCTGGGACCCCAAGACGCAGCTCGCGCCCTTCTTTGAGAGCTGGAACAGCCCCGTCCCGACACCCGACTTTGTAGTCGACGAAATCTGGCGCGGCATGGTCGCCAGCCTGGGGTTCTCGGGAACTGTAGGACCCGAGACGCTGTCATTCTGGGATGCGACGCTCAAGGCCGTCTACTCTGGTGACGAGGGCCGCAGGAAGCTCCGCATGGCACTGCTGTGCCTGCTCGAGCGCGACGGCCTTTTGCTGCGGCTGCGGGACATCAAGTGCCCCGTGTACTGGCTTCATGTAAGTTTGGGCCAACCCCGGAAAACCTAAACCATCGCGCTCACATTGTCTTGCAGGGACCCGAGGACCCCGTGTTTGGCGGCGTTGTGCCTACGGAGCACATCAAGCTGTTCACCTCGTCGCCCGAGGCAACTTTAACCTTTGTTGAAGGTGCAGGCCACTACCTCAACGCGACAAGCCCTCGCGAAACCGAGGAGGCGATCCTCAAGATGGTCAAGAAGTACGCTTAGATAGGCAGATCAGTTTCCCGATCAGAATTGAATGAGACCTGATGCGATGACCAATGCATTTGCAATCTATGCGAAATTTTGTGGCTTGACAGGGTTGTGAACTGGCATCAGGTTTGCTGCAACTAGTATTGCCCATTCGATGATCCATGTTCGAGCGAAGGCCTCGTCAATGTGAATTTGATTCCGCCGTACAAAGTCTGAGGAAGAAAGAACAAATATTTATGTAGAAAGCCAAAGGACAGGAGAAAATCTCTCTCCGAGCGATTGGCACGACGATGGAAAGCGGCCAGTGCTGATTATATCTAGTGATGGTGTGATGGTGCTTTCAAGACCAGTTGCGTTGGTGCGGCATGACCCAGCTATGTATGCTCTCATCCCATTTGGGTACTCTCTGGTAACTTCTTGACTCGGTCAACTCAGCCTCAAGGACTCAAGAGATCATGCTGACAAGTTCGTCGCCCAATACGGCATTGTCAGCTTCTATTTTACCAGTGCTGCCTCCACCCAAGTATTGTGCTTCGCGAAACGACTTGGCGATGTCATTCGTAGCGACATCGGAGGGCGTGGGAGTCATCTGGCGATGCTTCACGCGCCTGGCGTCGGCTCAAGCTGGTTCAGACCAACGAGCACCCGGCAAATATAATCCATTTAGTACCAGCTTAGTTTCAAATTTCTCAACGCTCATCCAACTCAGGATTGCCTACAGATTAATAAAGACGTTATGACAACCTCAAAGCAACTCGCAGCGGCACTGAAGGCGCTGCACAAGCCCTCGTCGCCTCTCATCCTTCCCAACATCTGGGATTACGCTTCTCTGAAGGCGGTCCTCTCACTCAATGGCAGCGACACGGTCTCGGACCCTGTCAAAGCCATAGCCACGGCTTCCTGGGCCGTTGCCGAGTCACAGGGCATCAAGGACGAAGACCTCACATTCGAGCAAAACATGGCCGCAATCGGCCGGCTCGCGCCCCACGTCCAGGCCTCGGGGCTCCCATTGACCGTCGACATTCAGGACGGCTACGGGGCGCGCATCGAGGAGGCCGTGACGAAGGTCGTCGAGCTCGGCGCTGTCGGCGCCAACATCGAAGACAGCATCCCCGAGCGGGGTTTTGGTGGCGGGGTCGAGGGGTCGCTGTACGAGGTGGAGGAGCAGGTGGACCGGCTCAAGGCGGCGCTGACGGCCGCAGCCGCGGCGGGGTGCGAAGGCTTCGTGCTGAATGCCCGTTGCGATGTGTTCCGGCTTGAGCCTTACTGCGAGGCCAATGACAAGGCTGTTCTGGAGGAGGGCATCAAGCGGGGACGCGCGTACCTAGAGGCTGGTGCCACGACGGTGTTCTTCTGGGGTGGTGGTGGTCGAGGGCTACGAACGTCCGAGGTGGAGGTGCTCGTGAGGGAGCTCGGCGGTCGGGTTTCTGTGAAGCTTGGCGAAAAGGACGATTCCCTGACGACGAGGCAACTCGGGGAGATGGGGGTTGCGAGGATCAGCGTTGGACCTAGCCTCTACTCGATTGCCATGCGTGCTGTCGCCGAGGCTGCGAGGAATATTTTATCTGGCGGAGGGTTCAAAGGATGATCTACACATGCACGGCATCAATCACTTTGTACTTTCCAGATAGATTCAAATCGTGAAATCGCTGGCATCCACGGCATGACGCCTTTGGCCTGTCCTTTCCTTGCATCGTGCAGTGACCGTGAAATCACGCCACTACCATCTTCGTGATCATCACGAATAGCATGGATGGCAGATGAGCTTCAACGCTGGTGAAATGGCTGCCGCGCGATTCTTGGTCAATGCCTTTTTTTGTGTCACGTACTCTTCAGCACTGCCACATCGTTTCCTCCTATCGGTCGTCCAGCAATACATGGACCGCCACGTGTGAAGGGCCTCAAACGAGCCAAAACAAGCACATTGCCCAAATTTCGGGGTCGGGTTTAGGGGCCCAACGGCACGTTGTCCAATGCGGCAGTACTCATGACGACGCTCGCCTTGGCCAGCCACCGTTGGTGACCCGGAGACTGAGTGACAGGGGGGTCTGCTTGGAAGCTTGGTTCGGGGTGCCGAGCCCTGATCTCATTGGATTCCAGCGCTCCCCATCACCGCCGACTGCGTCATCAACCGCTGGCCAGCCTGGTGAGGCGGGGGGGGGGAATGATCGTAGAATGGGAATCAAGGTCATGCCTATCCATTCCAAGGCTGGGCTTCCTTTGAAAGGTGATAATTATATATGCCGTTGATCGGACGCTGGACTCTCGTGAATGCCCTTTGGGTTGATACCCAATCACTCCATCACCGCTATCACTGACAATTAGTGCTCCAGCCGGAAATCACAGAAAACCAGGATGCTGTCCGCAAACATCATCAAGCTTGCCCTTCTAGGCGCAGCAACCACAGTGCTCGCTCAGACGACGACATTAGCACCTGTCCTTCCGTCCAATGAGCCGGAATGGCGATCGGACGACACGTTTACCTCGGCGGTACTGGACACACACAATGTTTACCGCTCCGAGCACGACGCCGAGGACCTCGTCTGGAACAACACGCTTGCTGAGTATGCCGAGGAGTACCTCGATAGCGACGGCGATGACGATGACGAGTGTCCCGACTTCGAGCACTCGGACACGCCTTACGGCGAGAACCTGGCCATCGGTCACGCCAACGCGTCGGCAGCCGTCGAGGCGTGGGGCGACGAGCGCGACGAGTACGACTTTGACGACCAGGGATTCGACCAAGAAACGGGCCACTTTACGCAGCTGGTCTGGAAGAACACTACAGACGTTGGTTGCGCGAGGAAACTGTGTCGCGGCGGCGATTGGAATGGGTGGTATCTTGTGTGCGAGTACTGGCCGCGCGGAAACGTACAAGATCAGTATGAAGACCAGGTCAGTGCGGGACAATTCGAGGGGGCGGCCGCTGGCTTGATGAGATCGCACCAGACTGCAGCATTGGTAGTGGCTCTGTTGGGCCTGTGGGTCGTTCTTTGAGGGGGGGGACCGATTATTGTAACGACACTCATACGATGTACACGACTCATGAATTGCGCTGAATTGCGCTGAATTTTTATTCTTTCCTTTACACACCAAAGTGACTGCTCCCCGATTCAAGATCGTACGAGTCACATCCGCGATGGGTAGGTACGAGCTGTCGCGCTGTCGCCGATTCGCCACCACTGTGCCGGGTGATCCACGAGCAGCACACACACGAAGCCGCAATTGAGGCTACCTAGTCTGAAGAAGTATCAGTGCGCCGGAGAACAGTCATGCAAATTGAATACCAACATGGAAAGGGCAGATTGATGCAAGTAGCCAAGATTTCGTACTACCCAGGAGATGAGTCGACTTTCACATCCGCTCGCAAACCAGGAAGTGCTGGTGATTTACAGCGCCCGCGATCATCCTGTCGGATACGACGCGTAGCGTTGTATGGGGCCGAAGTGTCCGTTTCACCTGCCGGTAACCTCTGAAGGTATCTGAATCAGAGGTCCTTTGTTCCAATCAGCCAGAAACCTTGTGATAGGCCGCAGGGCTCAAGTCCACAGCTAAGAATGAGCCGAGTGGTCGAATACAATTACAACGGCAGCGTGATTCTTGTCACAGTTCGACTTGATTCTTCCCAGGCGGCTATCGTGCCATCCCTGCCCATGATATCCACTACAAACACGAGCTTTGATAGCCAACCACGCTGTTCTCGACGCTGTTCATGTACTTGTAGTATCAAGTTGTCCTTGATATAATACAGATTTTTAAAAAAAAAAAAAAAAAAAATGGCGAGCTTGCGAAACGTCGTCAGTGGGAGATGTAAATTTTCGAACAGTGGACATGAACACACCTCGACCCTGATTTTTTAGGTTTGTCTAAATAATGTTGAAATGCCGTACAGCCGCCACTGGTCGTCGCTGAGAGATAATCAACGATAAGGTTCTGATCGGATATATCTGTCATTGGCGTCAGTCCATGATGGGTGGCACGCCACACAAATGAAGCGATGGAGTCGCAGACAAGTTACGTCTTGTATGTGTCTCGGATCGTACCTTCTCGAACCTCTAGCAGCAGCTTGGATTCCAGCGCCTTACCAGCAGTGTCTGTTTACGTGGTGTGACTTACCATGGCTTCATTGACATACGTCTTGTCGATAAGTCTGGCTATTAGGGCTTCCACTCTGCTTTTCATAGCATATCTCATGAAAGGGGCCGTCAATTGTACCAGAAGACGTCAAGGTCTTGCGCCCTGGCGCAGATGCATAGTTTGGTAAGAGTATCACGCTTGGCTAGTCTTTTGGAAAAGCATGTATTGGACAGCTGCGACACTGACTATGCTTAGACAGCAGGCTTTACCCAGTCACGCTTCTCTCTTCGATTGCCTCATGACGATCGGCAAGGTACTGACAAGAGTCCCGGTGAACTAGCAAGCCAAGTCAGCTTGTAAGTCTTGGTTTGGGAGTATCCTGAGATCTTTAGGCCAGGTCTGCTGTATCTCGACTTGTGACCAGTCACCCGATTAGCCATTGTTGTTTTCGACTCTGGGCTTATTGCTTAATTTACCAAGAGAAGTCCCTTGTGAAGTAATTTTCTTTGGTACGAGTGTGAGTGCTTGGCACAATGCAAAGATCTTGTAACATGTGAAGACGCCTTTCGGAAGAAATGGTGACGGTCCACCTACAACCCCGGCTTCTCTGTCCAGAATATACAGAAGCTCATACCCAAGTTTGTTGAGGAAGCACTAATATTCAGAGATTATCTCGAGGGCATTGCGAAGTCGGACAAAACAATGAAGCCAAAGAACTTAGCCATGGTAGCCACGTGTGATATCATTGATTGGGCGGTCCTGTAAGACGATATGGGCCTTTTTAAGCCGACGTTGTCATCGACACTCGCCAGAGTGGAAGAAGTCTTTATAGTCAGACCTCAGTCTCCGCCGTCTTCACTCAGGCTCAAAGAAACGTGAGCTTGCTTGTGGACAAATGGGCACCGATGCAATGGGATAGGCAAATTCATCCCTTTTGCAGTTGGTATATCTGACAAAACAACTGCACCATGTATAATAAACATGAACTTTTGATCGATTTGTAGCTTCGAGACTATGATCATGCCAAAAGGCCTAGAACTACGGAAAGCCTCGCCATCCGCGCGAATATTGAAGGAGTATTACTCCAAGACCGCGCAGGGTGATAGTTTTGATCCAAAGTTTCTCAAAACGACCATTGGAGAGATCAAAATTTTCCTCTTCGCGGGTTGCGACACGACGTCACTGGCGCTTGCTTTGCCTACAGCCGTCTCTACAAAAACCCGAACAACCTCGGCCGACTCCGCGCTGAGGACGATGCTGTCTTTGGCCCTGATCCTTCAACGACAGCCTCCAAAATCCCAGCGGCGCCCCTTTCCTCAAACAGCTTCCCAATACAATAGCCGTCGTCAAAGAGACACTACGCCTCGACGCTTTTGTGTCCTCGGTCCGACAGGGTCACCGCAACTTCTTCCTGACGCACCCGGGAGCAAGAATGGTCTATCCGACAGACGCCTTCATGCTCATTCCGAGTACCTTCCTCCCGCAACGTCTCTATATCCCTGGCCAGACCACAACGCGTTCCGTCCAGAGCGCTGCCTTGCGCGCGAGGGTAACCCATTGTGACCCATCAAGGACGCCTGGCGGCCCTTTGACCTGGGCCCACGTGCTTATATAGGACAGGAGCTCACATTGACGGAGCTCGGGATTATTTTGGCCATGATAGCACGGAACGAAGAGACCGCGACCACGTATGCGGAGGAGGGAGCCGTATCATTCACCGGCGATGTCGCGTACTGGGCAGACCTGTGTGACAAGGTAATACCGGATCCGAGGGATGGTCTGCTGGTAAGAATAGAAAGAGGAAATACGTTGCCGTTACTGCGCAAATTGCAGACAGGCTCGCTACAGATGTATCGTAACGTTAGTAAGGATGGATATCCAACGGCCGGACTCCTTGCGTTATGGGATTTGTCTTGTGCGTTTCTACACGGATGCCGTAGAAGTAGTTGTTCTGCAAATCGGGTTGTGAACGGGCAATTGGGACTGAGACTGGGTGCTCGCCAGAGACACGGACATGACGAAGGTACCCTAGACAAGTGTTGCATGCATGAAGAGTCAATGGCGAGACTCTGAAGCCCCGAGTATGAAAGATGCCTCAAGAGCGGCCACGCAGGGAACCCCCAAGAAAGCACCGTAGGCAGTGCAGGCCTGCGAGTCTTCAGCTGTGATGGAACATGCCGGGTTTACATGCAAGCCATGTGGCCCGGAGAGAACTGAATCGTCAAGCTCATCGATTAGGCGAGAAAGCAGCCCATGGCATCGCCCCTCGACACGTGGTGAGGAGGGGTACTATCGCTTTTCCAGCGGTTCAAATCCAGCGGTGTGTGAGTTCGTCTCAGCTCGACTCCGTGGTCTGCCACGTGGAGCACCAATAAGCCGGCCCAACCGAAGACGCTTCGCATGAGCATGGTATGCCGGCCAGATTGCCGCATGTCGGCATCAATAGTTGAAGGATCGATATTGCAGAAAACGGAACCATTGCGGTATTCGCGACAGGCCCTCCGTCAGCTCTCTCCTGCAGGATGTTCAATGGCCCAAATTGGGAAGTGGGAACTCTCCACCGCTCCCATCTGAACTCATGCAAAGGAACAATTCGATTGTTCAGCCGAAGTCTCGGCCAACTACAACTGAGGGGAAGAGCAGGTTCCGATGCATTGTCTAACATCGGCTCATCCGCTCGCTTCGCCGCACTTTGCAACCCAAGAACCCCCCTCCTGGTTGTCATTTATCACCTTCAATGTCCCGTCGACGAGACGTCGCGTCCCAGGGTGGGGCCAGAATGGCATGCTGCCTGTCATCAGAATCAAGTCATTTTGAAATGAGCTTGGATTGCTATTGATACATGAAAGTTGCCGTATGGAGTAGTCAGTCCCCGCCTAGAGTCTCGTTCTCGCACAAGAGCAATTTGCCGAACCCAAACCTACATGGAACAGCGCCCAACGACTGAAGAAGAATCCCAAGAAGGCGTGCTAAAAAATCAAGCACGGGTGGCACTGACTCGGCCAACAGAGCACTATCGATCAGCTTGATGGCGAAAGTTTGCTCTCACATCCCGCCACGCTCTAGGGTCCAACGTAAACCAGACTCTTCCTCGGGGGGTGTGACTGGCACTGGTGACCGAGGTGAGCGCGGTTACCGCCTTCCCCGAGTCTGGAAAGATCTCTCAGAGTGATCTTGGTGGTGATCGCGGAGTCTTTTCGCGGGTTCGCTTGAGGTCGCGAGCGCCACGGCGGCTAAATGGGGGACCTGGAGCGGATCAGCGCTCTAGCGGCCCCGATGCTGTATGTGCTCCACGTGCTATTGACAAGACTAATAGCTGACTGACGGTGCTACAGAGGTTGACGAGACAGGGGGTTCGGATTGAGCGGCGGATTGAGCGGCCGCGGGGGTGCTTTCTCAGGCTGCCTGGCGGCCTTCAGAGTACCAAACAGGGCCATAAACCCGAGCAGTAACATAGCCCAGTGCTAGAGGGAAAAGGGCACATGCTGGGCTTCCAGGTAAGCCCGCGGATGTATGATACCCGCGCCTGAATCTTTTTTGGGTTTGTCGTGCACGAGACTAGAGGCAGTGCTAGCGAAGCACGGTGAATGTTCCAATGCCCACGGCGAAACGTCGATCAGGCCTCAGTTCAAGGCCTCACAAAGACAGTCGAACGACTGGTCAATTCATCGATCACAGTTCATCTTATCGCCCAGATCATACAGATTGACTTGATGATCCGGCCCCTCTCGCGCGAATCCACTTTCTACAGCCATCAACTAGTTTCCGAGACGTTCACTGACGGCCATCGGTCAAAAGATTATTGATCTTCATTGATCAATGCCACCCTCGGCGCCGAAGACATGTCGCCATCCATCAGCCCACAGGACTCCACGTGTACCCCAGTATCTTATGTACATAACAAGTGCGATGCCAAGCTGACCCTCGGTGGAGTCTGATTCGCTGAAGAATGCAAGTGACAAGGGACGCAAGGGGGGAGGGGGGAACAGTTGAAAGAGGGGGCAAATCTGCCTGTCTCTCACCTAGCAATGCTGTTGGCTCGTCGCAAGCAGGGTTGGCCTAACGTCCCAGGCGAGAAGAGTAAAACTGAGCAGCTCGCCCGGATGACCTGCCGAAAAGAATAAACAACACGTGCATGCGCGCAATCTGCATGCCAATTCCACGTGGGCAGGCCGAGATTACCGTAGGCGTGCTGCTAAAGGTACTGTTAGTTGTAGGAAATGAACAAATTAATAAAAAGAAATAAAAAATCAAGAAAACATACGAAACGTTCGATGGCATATTCCGTCGGAACCTGTCTTGCCTGTGCGCAGGGCGTTGTAGAGCGCAGTTTTTGCGCCACTCCCGCCCAGTTTGCCGTTTGTTTCTCGTGTTCCACACGCCCACAACTTTCTTCAGGATGATAGCGGACCTGAGCAGACGTGACGCCTGCCGTTAAGCTTCTTTAGGTTTCGTTAGGCTTCGCGGGCGGGTTCCGGGGCCGCAAGTTGGCCCCAAGGTGCCCTGCCGTTTAGCCTACTTTTGGACCTAAGCATCGCGACTTGCTCTTTCGCCCCTCACCAGACGCAAGGGACCTCTCTTGCGGTAGCCGCGCCTCTAGTAACGGATGCCATTCTCAGCGGAGAAGCGCTCAAATCCCAAATAACGACGAGCAGGTTGCCGCCACTCATGTCATCCCATCTGTCACTGTTATCGCGGGGAACCTCCCCCCCTCGGACTGTACTAATCTGTCAATTCCATCCAGGCTGATACAGAGCTCTAGACAGACGTTTGCGCCGGGGGCAAGATGCGTCTGTCGTCTGATTCGTGCGTTGGTACATTTATAACCGGCTGGGAGCGTTGTTCCATGTCGATTCAATTCGAGGCGATGCAAGGACTGGGAAGGGGGGTCGTCCCACGACGGACAGATCAAACCCTCCGCCCGTGGCGTACCTGGCGTAAACGTTAGGAAGCTCTAGAGCATCTAGCGCGGTTTTTCATCGTCTCGGCGGCATGGACCAGCTTCCTCTAGACCCGTTCCACAACAGCCCCTTATCCCAGTAGACTGGAGAAGGATGGGTCGCAGTGGAGCAGAGGGGTTTGTGAGCGGACGTTATAGGGCAGAAGTTTGAACCCCTGGACCGGAGATTGACATCCCACGCGAAGGGGTGTCGAGATTAATGCATCCTACCTTGCCCTTGCTTGAGTAGGACAAGCCTCCTTTTGCCGTACGAACACTGCTGAATCGGCAGATGTTGTCCGCCAAAAAGCCTGCCAACCTAAGCTTCCATTAGGTGCCCTCTCTCGTCTTCGGCTTGAGAGGTGCCGGCGGAGGGTAGAAGCGAAGCGACAGGGCAACGAACTGCCAACCTGGCCATCAGCTATTCGTAATCCGTCGCCTTCGCGACAACAAACCCTGCATCTGCCCCTCTATCAGTGGAGCAAGTATTGGACTGGGCTTCCTTCTGAATGCAGTAGCTGCATGCCATGTGGTATGCCTGAACCCACGAGCCGAAGCGACACGCGGCGAGTCGAGACCAACCTACGTCGTCGAGGACAACGCAGGGAGGCAAGTTCACCAAGGGCTGTCTACACCCCCTGGCCTGGGAATCGAGACGCTTCATTTAGTACAAGTACGGGGCGATCCCCCTCCACCTCCTCACGACTGGTCTTCAGAAGGCCATCCCTCTCACGCCCAACCCGGACAACATTCATTACTAGAGAGATCCTCCACCACAATGGTCTCCTTCTCGACCCTCTTCGTCGGCGCCGTGGCCCTTGCGGCTCAGTCCGTGTCCGCTGGCCCTACCAAGCCCGCGGGTCTCGTTCCCCGTACCTTCGAAGGCCAGAAGTACGGCTGCAAGTGCTACCCTGGCGACGCCTGTTGGCCCCAGCAGAGCGAATGGGACAGCCTCAACGCCAAGGTCAATGGAAACCTTCACGTTCACGTGCCTCCCGAGGCTGCTTGCTACAACACCTTCGATGGTCTGCTCGGCTCTCAGCAGACTTACGATGCGGCCAAGTGCGCCGAGGTCACCAAGAGTTGGACTAGTGAGACTTGGACGTGAGTCGAGAACCTTCTTGAACGACACCTTGGGAACAGTGATACTTACGATAGACCACAGCGTCGACCAAGAGGCCCTGAACATTTGGAAGTACTTCACCAACGTCACCTGCGTGCCCACGACCGACCCCTCTAAGTCCTGTACGCTCGGCTTTTATGGCGTCTACGTGATCATGGCCAAGACGAAGGACCACATCAAGGCCGGTGTCAACTTTGCGCGGGACCACAATCTCCGCCTTGTCATCCGCAACACCGGCCACGACTTTGTTGGCCGCAGCACTGGCTGGGGCTCTCTCATCATTAACACTCATTCTTTCCAGGACATCAAGTTCCACAGCAAGTGGTCTGGTGCCGGTGCCTACAAGGGCGGCGCTGTTACCGTCGGTGCTGGCGTTCAAGGTGTCACTATTCTCGAGGCTGCCCAGAAGCAAAACCCAAAGCTTACCCTTGTCACTGGCGAGTGCAAAACTGTCGGTCTCGCTGGCGGTTACGTCGCTGGTGGAGGCCACGGGCCCCTCACCTCTGCCTACGGCATGGCCGCCGACAACACGCTGGAGTTCGAGGTCATCACGGCTAAGGGCGATCTAGTCGTCGCCAACGAGAAGGTGAACGCTGATCTCTACTTTGCCCTCCGTGGGGGCGGTCCCTCGACCTATGGTGTCGTCACCTCAGTTACTTTCCGCACCTATCCCGAGGTCCAGGTAGCTGGTGGCCTCCTTGACATCAACGCCACTCTGACCAACGACGAGAACCTCATCTGGGAGGGCATCCGCATCTTCCACAAGTACGGCAACCACCTTGTCGACAACGGTCTTTACACCTACTTTGAGATCTTTCCTTTCACCTTCCACGCACGCCCGTTTGTCGCCGTCGGCAAGACCAAGGATGAGCTCGATGCCATCCTCAAGCCCCTCCTCGACGAGCTGACCGCCGCCGGCGTTCCCTTCACTAGCATGACCAAGGGCTACCCTACGCTCTGGGAGCTCTACAACGAGCTCTTCGAGGACGAGGCCGCGGGTCTGCACGCCCTCAGCGGCGGCTGGGGCATCACCCACCAGGACATCACCAACAACAACGACGGCATCGTCAAGGCCTTCCGCACGGTCCAGAGCCCTCGCGCCGATCTCCCCTACACCGGCGCCATGATCGGTCACTTCTTCAGGCCCCCCAACTCTGGCTCGACCGCCGCCCTCAACCCCCGCTGGCGCGACTCGACCAACTTCATCATCGCCACCATGCTGGTCCCCGAGAACGCGACCGCCGCCCAGAAGGCAGACCTCCAGAAGGTCCTGACCAACAACATGGACGGTGGCCTGCGCGAAGCCGCCCCTGGCGGTTACGCCTACATCAACGAGGCCGACCCTTTCACCCCCAACTTCAGCACCCACTTCTGGGGTGACAAGACGTACGGCAAGCTCAAGTGCATCCGCGACAAGTGGGATCCCAACATGGTTTTCTACGCCCAGGCCACCGTCAACACGGAGAAGTGGGCCGTCATTGAGGGCAACACGAGGCTCTGCAAGAAGCTTTGAGGGGAAGAACTGGCTTGATCGGTCATGTTGCTGCATTGGATAGCGGGCGTTCATTCATACTTGTTCTTATAGAAGTGATAGAGAGGGGCATCGACCCGATGCTTGATGTAATAACACGTGATTCGACGTTGGTTACAAAACATATTTCAGCGCTGCACTGTGGTTGTGATGTGATTCTGAGAATACAGCCATGAAGAAGACGTGTCTCCCGACTGAGCAAGATGCTGTCAATGAACAGTCCTCGGGCTCGTAACAATGGGCAGGGGACGCCTCAGTCGTGTGAGAATATCGAGATACTCGGTCGAGTTTGTGGCTGTCAAGATGCCATGCCTCACGTAAAAGTCGAGCATTACCGGCACGCAGTTTGCTTTAAACTCCTCCCTGAGCATAGCCTCCGTGACCTCTTCCACCGACATGAGCAAGAACTCCTCGACCTCATCGTCCATCGGCTTCGGCACCATCGTCTCAGGCATCTCTAGATCGTACACGTACAGAACAGTGGGGAACACGGCGCCCTTGGCATCATTCTTGTGGACGTACGTCACGGCGCCGACGGCTTGGGCGTGCTCTTGGACGTAATCAGTCGGCAGCGACGCCTCCTCGCCCGCCTCGGCGACGATACAGTCCCACGGCTCGTCAGCCGCCTTGACGCCACCAGCAACAGTCGTGTCAAGCATGCCAGGGTACGTGAACAAGTGCCGACTCCGCCTCGGCACCCAGATCTTCAGGCCCTCGGCAGTCCTCACGTACCCTGTCATGTGCGCCCCGCGAGAGCCAATTCCGAATAGGGGCGCCGGGAACCTCTCGATACTGACAGGGTAGTCTGCGCCCATGACGCGAAACGGCTCGCTGTGGCGTCCGTGGACGGACTTGAAGGTGTCGGCGTCCGCCACGATGGCATCGACCACCGCCTGGAAGGCTCGATTGCACCAGCTGCTGGGATCTACGTCAGAGTGCGCATCCTTGACCTGGACGAAGCGGCGCTCGTGGTTGACGACGAAGTCGCCTGTCCAGGGCAATCTCGAGACAGTGGCCGGGACGATGAAACCGTGGGGTCTTCTGTCGCCGGGGAGTAGAAGCTTGTACAAATTACCAAAGTCAAAGTCGAGTGGCACGCTGTCAGTCCCAACACCACGTCAGCCCTGGTCTATTCCGCAAGGGGGCGGACGTCTCACTTGTCGACTGTATCAATCAAGCTCATAAAGCTGGGAAAATTCCGAAACGAGGCCATGTCGCGACTTAAGTTGCCCCTGTCGTATACCAGGTAGTCTATGATGTTCTTTCGCGCCCCTTATATGAGGGAAGGAGAAGGCGCAAGTCTGGGCAACCAGACTGTGGCCCTCAGACTTTCTTTCAGAAGCTTAGGTAAGTCGGTTGGTTTTATGCAAGTTGCATGAGATGTTGTGTTCAAGAATAAAAACAACGATTCGTCCGATGATGGATATAGATTGGCCAGCACCACCGCCAATGGTTAATAGAGACAAATCGCAACGCTGTGGTACAATGATATTATAAAAAGGATTATGATCAACCAGGCACACCAAGCGCTCATGCATGTCACACAATCAGGAACGTCGTCTCGGGCCTCCGTCGCACGATTTCGCCGTCCATGATGCCGTCACAATATGCCTCACCCACAAATGAGAAGCACTCTCCGCCCTGCAGTGGCCGGAGAATGTGAGCAATCCTTGAGCCACAGATAACGACCACAATGTCTCCCTCTGTTGTACCTCCAGCACACATGCCCAGGAACCCACTCCGGGTCACAAACGGCCGCATTCCAAGGAGTCCAGACACAGCGCTTTGATATGTCGAGTATGGCTTTTGGAAATGTCTCAGCTTCGCATAATTAGCCATCTGCTCCTCGGCATCAGCGCCGAAATCATCCGTCACAGCGATTTCCAACAACGCGATACATCGATCATAATGAAATTTGGCGGCGGATGGCGCTCGGCAGGAAAATATGTCGTCGGCGTCGTAGAGGTCGCCGATCGGCACGCGCCACAGTGCCTCGGCACGACGCTGAGGGTCGTCGTAGATCGGGTCCTCTTTTGTCATTGCGAGCTCATAGAGCTGCTGGGCGTCGCGAAAGTTGCTCAGCCTGTCTTGGAAATCGCCGCCGTTCCATTTCGAGGTGACTTGTTCGATTGTGTCGACAATGTAGCCGCGGATTCCTAGAACCGAAGTTGACTCGGTAGGAACCAGAGTGACAGTGGTTTCACCACCAGCCATAAACTGGTGATCATCCACTCTGTCATGGATATGATTGAAGGGTTTCTGCAGCATGGGTCGCCAGTCGGGGACCCACGACGGCAGACGCTCCAAAGCTCGTTCTTTTGGGAACTGGGAATACGACAGTAGTTCGAGTCCTCCGCTCTCAATTATGGCCCTTGCCGCTGCTGTAAACGAAGGGCATGGATCATCATCTGTGTAATCGGGTACGATACCCAGTTGTCCCGCATCAACGGCCAGACCAAGAAGTCCGTAGATGCGATCTGGGATGTATGTGACCAAAGAAGTTCGCTCAGTGAAAAACTTCTTCAAGAGGGCAAGAAGGGTCTCTCCTTCGTCGAGTCCCTGGTTGAACCTTTGTCGACGCCGGCGAGAGCCCAGGATGTGTGCTGAGTTTCGCTGCTGAGCGGCAGCCAGAATCTGCAGTGTTTCCGGTTCCGGTACGTTGTCGGAAAGCCGCACGATGCTGGAGTCAAATACATGGCAGGCCAATGCAACAAGCTCAACTGTAATGGTTTTTGAACCGCATTGAAACACCGCTTCGCGACAGAGGCCGACCTCCTGGATGGTCCAGACGCGTTCAAACCATGATCGCTTATTCCAGGCAATCATGGCCTGAAGCAGAGGTTGAAAGGCCAATCTGCCTCGATCGACGAGGGCCTTAAAGTTGCGCCCGACTTCATCTGAGGGTGTCAAGTCTTGCAACATGGTCTGCAGCAGTGACAGCTTCTCCTTGTTGTAGTAACTCTCAATATCCAGGTCACGCGCTGCTTGGCCGATGTCCTGCCAACAGTCCATCATCTCATCCGAGCCGTCAGCAGAGGGTCCAAGCCACACGATGACCTGATCGGCTTTGCTGTAGATTTTCTCCATGATCTGAACCTGGGTCGTCTTCTCGATTGCGTCAGTTTGATTAATGCAAATTTGGTCGATCCATATCATCACGTCTTGTTCCTCTGAGCGAATGTGGCGGAGGGCTGTGTCTAGAGAAGCTGTGATGGGAAGAGCTGCGCCGGCGACATCGATCCAGTGCGTCCTGTCGCCGATGCCCCACGTATAGGAAAGAGCCTTGAAGGGACGCGGGCTTGCAATGGGGGTTTCGATCAGGCTGCAGCGCAATGGACTGGCGTATCGAAGCTCCGAGGTATCACCTCCTGCCCTGGACAGTTGCAGGATACGGATTTGGCTGCCATCGAGAGGAAGGACAGGGTTATCGTAACTGAAAACCATGGAGGGACGGCCATCATGGTCATGGCCGGGTACCATGGCGAGCGTCGCCGTTTGGCTCAAAGGTCGCAGGCCAGTGGTTGGCAGCGACTTGGACGTTGTGAGGTGCCGGCCTTTGATGCTTGTGCTCAACCGTGCCTCGCCGAGTCGTCCGCAACCAGCGCGACGGATCGCTTGTAATGATGCCGCTGAAGACAGACGTCGACAAGTGCGCAGGTAATACATCGCTTTGCATGGCAGTTTGTCAGTATGGTTGAAGGAGGAAATCGTCCATCAGGCTCGCGTCCGCGAGTGTGAACATCGGCATCCCGGCATCAGCCGCAGCCTACAACGGCAAGGCTCGTGTGATACATGCATGTTGATGGAGTCGCATGGGATTGAGGCTGGCAGCGAACGAACAGGCGCCTTCAGGGAGGGGAGCAGGCTCCGAATCCGCATATATGCATATCAGAGATTATGAACTGAAACGATGGACCCTGGAAAAGCGGCAGAGCCCCGGTAGTGCAATTTTCAGCTGACCATTCCCACCCCGGTGGAAAGGCTCCACGTCCACGGCCCAGGTCCCAGTCCGGCATTGCACTGACCGCCAAGCTCCTGTTGCCTGTCGAGATCCCCCCATCAACAACGAAGAACCAGGACCAACAAACACCAGCCGATTTTCCCAGTGACATACCACCCGTGCGGTGAAGCGAAACCCTACCATACCAGCCGAAAACCCACGATACCCCTCACTTTCTGCTCGCAATGTCGACTACAGAGACAGAAGGCGTCCAGCCACCGGCAAAAAAGGCAAAGCGCGGTCGAGTAAGTTTTTCACAACTCTTTCCATGCCATCCATCCCATTGCTTGAGATCCCTGTCCGCTCAAATTCTGACCCAAAAGTCTGCACAGTCCCAAACAGCAAACTCACCCAACGCCAGCCGCATCCGTGAAAACCAGCGCCGCTCGCGTGCCCAACGAAAAGAGCTCGTCGAAGACCTGCAGCGAAAAGTGCAAGAGTACGAGCAGCGAGGCATTGAAGCCTCTCTGGAAATGCAGCGTGCAGCCCGCGATGTGGCCATCGAAAACTCGAGGCTACGAGCCCTGCTCGCCCAACGGGGCGTCACGAACCACGAGATCGACACACACCTGCGGTACTGCGAGGATGGCATCCCGTGGTACAATCCGAATCAATACATGGCCTCCATCCCCTTTGCTCCCTCGCCGGCAAGAACCGAGACAAACTCGTCGTCTTCACCACCCCACGGCATGACACACGACCAGCCGCCCCTCGACCCTCTGTCGGTTCTGGCCAATGCTAGCACACATCATGACTACGTGTCCAGAGCCTTTGGTGAGTTCAAGGCTGCTGCGACGCCGACAAAGTATATGGCTGTGGAGCACAGCCATGCGGCTTTTCCCGCAGCTTCGCCGCACGAGATGTCTTGCAATGCTGCAGCTCGCATCATTGCCGACATGCAAGGGCATTCGGATGACCGCAGGGCCAGGACGGCGTTGGGCTGCGGTGCGTCCGCCCGAGACTGTGTCGTGAAAAATGTGACTGTGTTCCGGGCGATGGAGCAATGATGACAGACGACAAAGGACAGGCGACCGAGGATGACGGATGACCCGTCCACGACGAAGCGCCGCCCGCTGGCTCGCAGACAGATCGATACCAGTGCTGTACTGCTGCCAAGGCTGCTTCGAAGCCCGGCTGGCTTTGATCGACAAATGCTCGAGCGAGCTGGAGCGAGCAAAAGTTGCATCCAGCAGTGAACGACAGCATTAATAGGCAGGCAGGGCCCCCAGACATTGCCAATCGGACAAGGGCCTCATGAAGGAACTGCGCTGGACAGATTAAGAAAATGCCCAAAGAAGGCACCCACACATTGCCCTCCTATCAGTGCGGCATTGGGCAATGTGGCATGGCTTTGCGTCGAGAGACCCCACACAGATCTACGACGCATCAAGATCCATGCTGATGATGTTAGATTCCGTCAGAAAAGAATTCAACATCTCCTCTTATTAATTTTCTTAACTTCTGTTCATTTTCCGCTCCGTTCCGAGCCGCTCGTCCTGACTTCGCCGATCCGAACTGCCGTGCTGACAACTGACAAACGGGCTGCTGCCCAGTACGAACAACATGAAGCAAGAATTTTCACCCGGATGCATCGTGGCCCACCACACGTGGCTCAGCTCGCCGAGGACCTGCATTGGTCTAGTCACTTGCAGCTTGGCGTCTTTCTACCCGCCTTCCCGCCCAACCAACCCGTCAATCATCTCGCCCTGGGGGCACGACAGCCTGGGTGACAGGTCGGGACCAGGAGTCTTCTCGGTCGGTGGCAAGGACTGGCGATTGCGTGTCCGGATCCCTCCCATCTTCTAACGAGTTCGTGTTGATGCTCGCACGCAGAAGAAGAAAAAAGAATCCACCCTCGCTGAGTTCGACGTGCAACTCAGACATCGCGTGGTCCTTCTCCACATGTTTCGTCGCTAGTCCTTCGCGTCTCGGGAATATCGAGAATTCGCAATGAACCATACCGTTAACTAGCGATCCTTGGCCTGAAGGTTGTCGCCTCCAGCGGCCTTCGGTGATGAGGCACGACCGCGCGACCGACGCTCATTATTAACCTTTGCGCTCTTGGCCTTTTGCCTCACGAGACACACCTCTCCTGATGCCAAAGGCCCGACAATGACAAAGAAGTTCTTCGGGGGTGGGAGCCGTCCCCAGGTACGGCCCCTAGTCCGCCGCCACGAGACACATGTCTCCATTCCGCGAAGCGCAATACGGAAAGGCCCTTCCTAGCGTACGGATGGTGCACTCTAGCCCAGAGACGCGGTCGCTCCACCTAGGCAATGCTCAGGTAATAGGGACCGCATTTTATGCCGCCAGCGGCCGGGTCACGATACAGATCCGTCCAAACCACCGAGGCTCGCAGCCTGGACCTCGCCGGTCTGCGACGCCACTGAGCGTGGAAACCGCAGTAGTTCCTACCACCACCGTCAATCATGCGAGCAGGACCCAGACGGCATAATGGAGTCGTACGTCTGTTCTTTGAATAAGACCCTCTTCCACCCCGCCTCGTCACTTCTCTTACCACTTTCTCCCCCGCGATTTTGGGTCACCGGCCTTCCTGATCCATTGTCCGAGGGCCCCCCTCCTCAACAAGGTCCGACCCCCGAAGACGACTGGTCGCACGACCAGACCGACCTGAGGTGTTGAAGCCGACCGGTCGCCGTCCGGGCCATCCGAAAACGCTCACCTCGCCGAATGAGAGGCTAAGGTTACGAAAAGAAGAAGAAGAAGAAGACGACCAGCCTCCTGCCTACGATGGCGAGGTTCCCACCGCCTGAGGTCCTCGCCTCCTGGCCCGAGCCCAACTTTGTGGACCCCATCAACAGAGGTCCGGCTTTGATGATAGTCGAGCTCACAATCCTACCCATCGCTCTGGTCTGCCTGGCTCTTCGACTCTATGTCAGGTTATGCATCATCCGAAAGAGTTGGTGGGATGACTGGCTGATGGTTGGTGGCGCGGTACGTCCCCCCCCTGGCTCTTGTCATTGTCACATGTCAGTCGTGAGATGAATTTGGCTGATCTTTTCATCAGGTATTCGCTTCCGGAGTCACCGTCTGCGTCATCTTGGCGACCCAGTTCTACGGATGGAATCTGCACGTATGGGACTTGACGCCACAACAGATGCAGCAAGGCCGCCAGGTAAGCCGCATCACGGTGTTTTTGGTTTGGCTGTCGGCTGTGTGCTAACAAGATGCTGTAGATCTCCATTGCTGCCCAGACCATCTTCCTCTTCGCTTCTGGCCTCACCAAATTGTCCATGTTGGCCAGTTACCTGCGGATTGCACCTCTCGGCTCGGCATTCCGGAAACTCACTTGGGCGACCATCTACGTCGTCTTTGCACTGATTTGGATCTTCATCATCGTCCTCTGGACACAATGCATGTGAGTCTCGACCCCACTCCCGACACGCAACAGTTCAATTCCCCCCTGACATGCCGTCCACCTTAGCCCCGTGGCCCACTACTGGCACCTCTCGCCCTCGTCGGCTGACAGCTGCATCGGCGAGTGGCCCCCTCTCGCCGCGCAGGCCATCACCACGGTCGTCACGGACCTCATTGTCACGGTCCTCCCGATGCCGACCCTCTGGAAGCTCCGCCTTCCCGTCTATCAGCGTATCGGCCTCATGGTCCTCTTCGGCTTCGGCGTCATCGTCGTCGTCGCCGGCGCCATGCGCACCTACTGGACCAATTACGTCACCGTCCACACCTACGACGTCACCTGGGACGGCTTTGCCCTATGGATGTGGACTGCCATTGAGTGCAACCTTGGCATCATCTGCGGCTGCGTGCCTGTCCTCCGCCGCCTGCTGCCGCAGCGCATGGGCGGGTCGAGCGGCACCGGTGGACGAAGCACGAGACCCGACCCTGCGGCGCCGCAGACGATCGGCACGGCCGTCACGAGGCCGAAGAAGGGCCCCGCGGGCGCGACGGTCGCGGAGGAGCCGTGGGAGGAGCACGGGCTCGAGACCATGTCGTCGAGGGGTGGCGCGAATACGCCCGTCAAGGAGCCGCCGCCGGGGTGGCTGCCGATCAATGACACTTGGAATCGGGGCCCTTATGGCGTGCACGATAGGGTATGAAACGGCTAGGGAGGATGTAATGAATGTGTTGTGATTGATCAATCTCGAGTGTGTGCGCTGCGTGGTGTGAAATTTGGTGTGGCTGACCGACCTTGGGCCTGGTTCATCGGCTTCTTCAAGGTAAGCAGCCATGGTGGAGTTGTTGCCATTGGGAGGGACAGACGTGTGTCGTAGGCTTCAGTGTGATGTCAACGCTCTCCAGCGGCTGTTGGTCATTGAGATGGCTCCTGGGAAGTGTTGTCAACCGACCTGGGACATTGTCAAATTTTCTTAGTCTCCATCCAGAGGCATCGTGACGACCCACTTTCCGACTACCTAGTACCATCAGCTGAGGCTTCTGCACGCTCTGGACGGCAAGCCCGTGCTAACAGCATTTGTTTCTGGAGAACTCGTCAATCAGCCTGAAGACTCTGAAGCTCATCATTAGAATTGGCAAAGGAGTGTCGTTGCCATGCAGCATGGCGCATTTATCGGCAATGCCCTCTTTGCTGCAAACTACCGGGTGGCGATGAGTTCAGCTAAGGATGAAGAGAAGTAAGTCCTAGCAGCATTATGGGCAAGCTGAAAATCAGGAAGAAGCTTCATGTGCAGAGTGTAATGACACGGGGTCTGGTCACCTTGACCTAACAGCGGGCCAACAGCAGAGAAACGTTGTCGTGCGAGATGTTGAGTAGATATAGACGATGAGTCTCGGCTGAGATTAAGTACTACGATACTACGATAGTATATGTTAGTATATGTTGTGATTGATATGTTGTGATTGAAGAGTTTCCTGCCGCTGGCTAGACGCTGAACTGTGGGTTGGGCGTCTGGTTTTAGGGTGAGACCATCTACATACGGAGAAAGTCACGAAATTAACATCATAAGCATCAAGTAGGAAAAAATTGTCACCTACTTATTTGTTGAGTTGGGACTTCGAAGTTCTGTATTCAAGGCGATGAGGATATTGACCCTTCCCCTCTTCTCCAGTCGCTTTGACTCAGATGTACTGCAAGCAGCGTATCTAAGCCTGTCCCCGGACTCGAACAAGCAAAGCAACCGGATCAGCCGAGGCAGGATTCGAACCTGCTGCCCACCAGCAGCTTGAGGTAGCTACTGAAGATGCGACAGCCTACCAATTGGCCCATTGCATCAGCTCGTCTGTTTTGTTGACAAGGCCTTCGTTTGTTTGGTTGATATAGGAAGTGGCGCGTCTGCATAATGTTTGTGTTCCTTCCAGTTGTAGTTGAGGCCGAGGGTGAATGGTGAGTGGGCAACTGCTCTAACAGACTTTCGGCGCAACTGCCCGTTCAAGAGAACAGGCTGGGCAAGTCGTCGACAATCTTGGGATATTGAAAGACTTAGACTTCTTATTTTTCGGCCAACTCCTCACGAACCACAAGATACGGCCACCAATATCTACAACTCAGCGTCCCGACCAGCATCCGAACAACCATGGATCATCGCAAGTCCATCCACGAGCCGGGTGCTTTAAGTGGCTCCAGCACTCAAATTGGACTCGGCCTGAAATTTCCCAACATCGACCCAAACCCCTCGGACAGAGGTGGCATGCCAGATGCCAATGAACTGGCTTATCAGTTCGAAGGCAGCATGAGACTCCAGCCATCCGAAGAAGAGTCTATCAACGTTGCGCAGTACGACCTTCGCGTCAAACTCGGAAACAACGGCGTCAATGTAATGCCCGCTCCCGGACATCGTTTCTGGCAGTTCAAGTCACCGCACAATTTCGGCAAAATGCGACCGCGGGACGGCATGCGGTACATCGACCCCGCCAACGTGGACCACGTCTTCTCAGGCGGCCAGCGCACCAGCCACCTCGTCGACGCGTTCAAACTGAGCGCCGTCGTCGACAATGAAAAGTACAATTTCGCCTACATTGACAAGAAGATGGCAGAGATCATCAACGAGATGACCACGCACATCTCGAAATTCGATCCAAAGCGTCCGGTAGGCTGGATCAGATACGCCACCAACAAGGTGCCCGTCCTGCGCCGTCCGAGCGCCGACCCCTTCGTTACGCTCGAGCTCACGGTCCGGCTGGTCCGGGGCCGCCAGAACGGGCTCCGCGAGCCGCTGTCCGGCCAGGGACCCTGCCAGACGGCGTTGGCCGTCGATGCGTTCCTCGCCGAGATGGCGCGTCCGCGCGGCCTCTTCCAGACAGTCTTTCCCGACTACGGCGGTCTGCTTGATGGATTGGATGCTGAGGGGAAGGTGCTTGGAAGCATGGGAACGGATGGAAAGCCTGTCACGCTGGATGAAGGCCCTGCGCCTGTTGATTACATCTGGACGTCGGATGACGAGGGAGAGGGCAACGCGAAGGGCGCCGGACGTGGAGGGGACGTCGAGGACTATGGCGAGGGCATGGAGGATCACTTGGACGCGTTTGACCAGATGGAGGACGACAATGACACAGAAAACGTCCACAGCGGTTGGTAAAGAACAGAACTGATACAGAGAAGAGGTGCTGTACTCTACGCAACCTAACCGAATGACTACAAGAAGCTGCTGACCGCACGTGTATGTAACCACATCCATTATTCCTGTCATCATCATCTTTTACGACTTGAGTCCTTCTTTTCGAACGGTTTCCAGTTTCCAAACCATGGGAAATCCGACATGGCCTTCTTCACCGTGATCGAGCTGATAAGCAGCACGACGCCTAGCGTCAACCCGGCGCTCGGCGCAGCAACGACCGCCCACACCCACAATGTGTGCCCCAGCTCAGACACCTTGGATTGCATCGACAGCAGCGCGGCTATGAAGCTCAACGGCAGGAACAGCGTCGCCAGCCACGTGAGTCGGTGCAGATTGCGGTTGTCGGCCATGCTGCGGCGCGAGTCGTCAACGATGGACGTCTGCACCGCCAGCTGGGTCAGACGCTCGAGACGCTTCTGGAACTCCTCCATGGCGCCGAGAGCGAGGGCGAAATCGCGCTTGTACGGTTGCAGGACAACATCGGTGATGAGATCGTGGACGCGGCCGTCGTTGTTAGTCTGGTAGGCGAGCCAGGCGCGCGTATCAAAGTCACTGCCACGCATGGTTTCGATGTGCGAAGAGGAGTGGAAGACGCGGAGAAGCATGTCTGAGAGCATTTCGCGGAAAACAGGGATGAAGCGGCGCCATGCGTGGAGCTTGCGCATGCGGCCGTCTATGTCGTCGGGGTTTTTGACAAAGTGTTGGGGGTAGGCAAGTTCCCAATCAATGATATTTAGCCGGGCTTTGACATAATCAATGATCAGAAGCCACTCTGATGCAAGTAGATGGAGGAGGGCAGCCATTGGGATGTGAATGCGTGACGGGCATTCTTCAAATGACAGCTGAGGAAAACACTCTGGCTTCTGGGCCCAGTGAACAAAGTCGTCAAAAATCGACGTTTGCTTGGGGCCCTCCGGCAAGGGATCACTCCGCAGGGGATAGGGAGGTTTCTCCCAATTCTTGTATCCTTTCCACAGTGGCGCTCCTTTTTGTATGGTCGGATCAAGGAGAAGGATGGCTTGTTGAAGAAGGTTATTATGGTGAGTGTTGCAGGTCTCGATGTGCACATACCAGTCTCGGGCTCTCCGACAGAACCTCTCTTTTTGGTCCACAATGATGCCTTGGATCTCATAAAAGACGTGAGCGCGCCTGAATCATCCCACTTACACCCGCGGTTCTCGTCGTCATCTGCTCGACGCTCAACGTTGAACTTAATCTCCTCTCCACGAGCATCCTTGCTATAAGTCGTATCTTTTTGGAAGTACCGTGCGCGAGGAAACCTGATCTGGAACCAGCGCCGCTGTTCAAGGTCAACCTCGAGGGTTGCGGCGTCTTTCCAGGGATCGCGTGGATTATTCCAGGCATAGGCGTACAGATGCTCGCGGAAAAAGTCAGGTTCCACACCAAACTTGTAACCAAGTGCTTCAATGACGGTTTGCGAGAGGTCCTCTACAACGAAGAGACGGAGTGTAAGATTCTGGTCAGGCTTCAAGCCAGCCAAGCCCGCTTTGAGGCTGTCTCGGGTCTTATATAATGTGCACTGGGGCGGCTTTTGGTCCCTACAGTATTCGAGCAAGCATACGTTGGTGCGCAATAGTCGTCCTGCTCTCGGACCAGGGTCGTTTTCGGCAGCTTTCTCCTGCCACCGTGCTGTGACTGTGCCGATGTTCATAAAATCGGCTAGCCAACGTAAGTGTGGCCACTGGTGGTCGGCGCTGGAAATATCCCTCACATGAGTGTGATAGGGATCCCTGGTTGCTATCAATGCGAGTCCAACCACGTAGCCAAAGCGCAGAGCCTTTGCAGACGCAGCAGTGTTTTAGTGACGTACGGGTTCGGCTCCAAATTCATCCACTTCTCCCGCCATTCGCCTTGGCCGCCATAGGCATCCCCATATGGATATGGATTCACGCCCTCTTGTTTGATGAAATTGTATACATCCCGAATCACGGTTCCTTGTGGTGTGGGGCTGCTGTCCGATGTGGATTTGGCGCATGCCTCGGGGGTGCGAGGCATCTTGGGACAATATCGCTGGGCGTTGCTGGGTGGCTCACTGGTAGGACTTTCTCGTGATGATGAGGGAAAGATCAGATTCTGGCGCCGCGCAAAAAGGTGAGAAGGGTTACGGTCTTTCTTATTCCGTTCCGAAGACGAGCGAGCAACGTGGCGGCGGCTCTTCAACCATGTCTGCAGCAACTGCCTCGTGCCAAAGTCCGCGACCAGGCCATTTGATGGGGGTCGCACAGCGTATATGGCTGTTCAGCTCATGCTGGACGGGCGGGGGCTGACAGGTCGATTACGGCATGCCATTTGCCAGCCTTGTCGGGTGTCAGCATTCAACTTGGGAGCCGTCATGTCGACAAAGCTTTGGTCGAGATACATTGTTGAGCGCAACGTCATTGTAGTGCCGGCCTCGGATCAACTGGGCAAAGTGGATGTCGAGGCTGTGGAAGGCATGCGCCACCCTTCTTATGATGCCTGGCAAGAAAGCTTAATGAACACTGCCGCAGTCGGGGGGGGGGATAGAAGCTTGGGTGCTGTTCCCGAGAGATATGGTTTCGATGGAAATGGCCAGACCACTGATGACTAAGTTAGGCACGTGTTGACCAAGGGCATCAATAAGGAAAATGGGGGGACAAGACCAACCCGAGGAGCCTGGAATGCAGTGCAGACTCGGGGTCTCGAAGCCACGTCCTCCCAGCGAACGGTCTGCAGGGATGGCTCGAGCCTAAGGTACCTAAAGTAGCCGGCCCCATGAAGTGATCATCTGGGTCACACTCGGGAACCTGCAAGACCTTGTCTCGGGCAAGGAGAGATCGAGCGAGGTCCAGCGACGGTAGCCAGAATCCGAGCCAGAATATTTCCAGAATCCATGCAAGCCGAGCATCTAGTCATTCAGCTTCTCGCCTACCTAGTCAGGATCATCACGACAATCTCATCGATCCATCGTCGTGCCGCATGGGGTTGATGGCCTCTGATGGGTCAACACCAAGGCTGTGCTTGCTTGTCCAGGCGTCGGCCACGCGACTTGACGAGCCGAGGGGGAGGGGGGCCTGGGACCCGAATGCGATGTCTTGAATCTCCCTTGCCAGTTCGGTTTCCCTGGGCTGAATGCTGGTTCGAGGTTCAATTGGCGATGATTCGTGGTTCAGCGGGCAGCTACAGAGCCCCGAAAGCGAGACCGAGCATTGGGGATCCTTGAAGCGGCCCCCTTTACCTAATCAAACTCGGGGCGCCAAATGGGGTCGCCTGTGAGCCCGACCAGTCGCCGTCGCTTGCGAGGGACCCACGTTGCACAACTCTTGTGCGCCGGAACGCGTGAGAGTATCACTTCCGAGAAGTATTGCATAAACCTTGTCCTAGATATAGGTCAATGGTCACCCGACTTTCTCGTTGCCCATCTTGAAAATTATGGTACCGATAAACTTCCTGCTTCCTTATTTTTTCCCTGGTCTTTTTTAATTTGGTTTCTTAGAGGGCAAAGAGAGAAAAAAAAAAGAGAATAAAAGAACCACACACAACCCACCATACCCTTGAACCTAGGTGCCACAGCTCCTGAAGCCATGGCCGACGAACGACCAGCAACAAATACGACAGATGTCGATCTGGAAAAGGGTCACAGCAGGCCGAGTTCTTCTCAGGAGCTCAAGCCAAAGACCGAGCCTGAGTCTGATTCCCTCCACACGAATGAGAAGACTCTCAACAACGAACCAGAACAGGAGCCCGAACACAACACCGAGCCTCAACCAGTCGATGACCCCAACCTTGTCGACTGGGACGGCCCTGATGACCCTGAGAACCCCATGAACTGGCCCGACAGGCAAAAATGGCTCAATATTGGTCTCATCTCTCTGTTAACTTTTGTGACGTGAGTTCCCCCCCCCCTGCTTAGCCTCGATCCGATGTCTCTGGCTAACACGCTTCTCCTATCCAGACCACTGGTAAGACGGAACCAAAATCATCATACTACCGTGGCTCCTACTGACACCTAGTTTCTCTTAAAATAGGGCTCTTCCATGTTCGCACCTGGTATCCCTGCCATCATGGTGCAGTTTGGAGAAACGTCATCCATCACGGCCACCTTTGTCGTCTCTGTCTATATTCTCGGCTTCGCCTTCGGGCCCCTCATCGTCGCTCCCGTCAGTGAGATGTGGGGTCGTCGCCCCCTTTACATCTGGGGCAACATCTTCTTTGTCCTCTTCTCGGTCGGCACCGCCCTCTCCCAGAACATGGATATGATGATGGCCTTCCGTTTTCTCATGGGCGTCGCCGGCTCCGTGCCGATCACTATCGGCAGTGGCAGCATCTCCGATATCATGCCCGTCGAGATGCGCGGCCGCGCCATGTCCGCCTGGGCCCTCGGCCCCCTACTGGGTCCCTGCATCGGCCCCGTCGCCGGTGGCTATCTCATCAGGGAGACGAGCTGGCGCTGGGTCTACTGGCTCGTCTGCATTGTCGTATGTGTATTCCATCCGTTGTTTCTCCAAGTCGAAGAGATCGCTAACAGACAGAACACAGGGCGGCATCTGCATCCCGCCCTCATTCCTCTACATGAAGGAGACGTACGCCCCCATCCTCATCGAGCGCAAGGTCATGAAGCTGCGCAAAGAGACAGGCAACAACAACCTGCACAGCAAGCTTGACTCGGGCCAGAGCGTCGCCGACAAGTTCAAGATCGCCATCCTCCGCCCCGTCAAGCTCCTCTTCCTCGTGCCCATCGTCACGAGCATGGCCCTCTACGTCGCCATTGTCTACGGCATCCTCTACCTGCTCATCACGACCTTCTCCTTTGTCTACCGCGACCAGTACGGCTTCGACGAGGGCACCGTCGGCCTGACCTTCCTGCCCGCCGGCATCGGCATGATGATCGGCGTCGTCGTCTTCGGCGCCCTCTCCGACATGCTCGTCAAGCGCCGCATGGCCGCCGGCGGCGACCTCTTGCCCGAGATCCGTCTGACGCCCGCCGTCGCCCTACCCTGCGCCACCGTCCTGCCCATCGGCCTCTTCATCTACGGCTGGACGACCGAGAAGCAGGTCCACTACATCGTCCCCATGATCGGCGTCGTCATCTTCAGCGCCGGCCTCATGGGCGTCATGGTACGTTGCCCGTGCCCTGTGCCTCCTGCCCCCCAGTGTGCATGCCCACTAACGCGACGCGCAGATGTGCATCCAGAACTACCTCCTCGACACCTTCCCCCGCTACGCCGCCTCCGTCACCGCCGCCCTCGCCGTCCTGCGCTCCCTCGCCGGCGCCCTGCTGCCCCTCGGCGGCCTCGAGATGTATAACGCCCTCGGCCTCGGCTGGGGCAACAGCCTCCTCGGCTTCCTCTCCGCCGCCATGATCCCGCTGCCGCTCCTCTTCTACCTCTACGGCGCCAAGCTGCGCGCCAAGTCCAACCCCCAGCTGTGAGGGGCTTGGGCGGTTTTATTTTGTTGTTTCGCTGCATGTGCATTGAAGCCCGTTGTTCTTTTTCGGCCGGCGTTGGGGAGGGTTACTGGGACTCAGCATAGTATAGACGATCGCTGTCGGTAATTTGTAGATACTGGGTGGGCCGTAGCTTGCCTTCGAGGAGTTTCAAGACAGTCTGAAGGATGCTAATTTCCTGATAAATACATGTGGCTCAAAAGTTCTGGGCAGAGTGTTGTCTGGGAAGTTGGTGTGTCGTGAGCGTGACTAGTGCTTCCAACTGCGTCATCTTTGAGTTCGATAAACGTATACAATATGAACATTCAATGTGAGAGAGGGAATGAATTTTAAGCAATGGAAATTCTAGCCTTACATACACATGCTTTTTGACAAAAACGGAAGGACTGAGCAAGTATCCTTGCTGTACAAAACCGCTTGAACTGTGAAAGAAGGGAATCATACTTCTGGACGTGCGCATTATGCTTCTTGGCGAAATGTGGTGCCCTAGAAAGTACGGTCATCGGTTCTCCCTACAACCTTTTGCGATTGCTTGGCGTCAAGCTAGTCTCTTCACAGACCCTGGAAGGTGCCAAGTTGTACTAAGATTCCAGCTGCGGAATGGGAATCTTTCATCAAGTCCAATTGCTCGCTTGCTTAAAGGATGATGCCCGAGACCCGGCGACTTTGCCTCTCGCACGTTCTCTGAAATTGGTAGTCGTGCCTTGTGTTCTAGCGACGAGTCTACGATGCTTACCTGGGTTTCGGCTGCTAGGGACATAGCGCATTATGACCATACTTATGGCCTTATATGGGAGATGCCATATCGTATGAGAAAGCTCAATTTCGATGCCGTCATACTAAGCACGACATGGCAACGCTTGGTCAACGGAGATGCTATACACTACGTTTCAATTTGGCTGCTTTTGCGTTCATGGGTGACTGAAAATATACTTTCACCACTATCATTCATCCAGCACGGGCATTCCATGCTGGCAGTGGAAATGGGGATAGGCACCTGACCTTGTCAAACGCTTGGACAATAGGATGACGCGTGTGTTGTCACTCTTAGTTCGTGCCTCTGAGTATCTTTCTGTAATACGGGCAGCGACTGGTCCGAGCAGGCAAGGTCTTCAGTCACTCATTTGGTGGAATGATTCGAGATTCTTTGGAAAGATGGTCATGGAGCTGCTTTGACTTTCCATATAAATGTCCACTAAGAACTACGGAGCGACTCCAAAGCCCTTTGGACCAGACTCTCCATCTCTCGAACGGTGCCCTCTTGCGTTGTCTGGCCCGTCATGATATACAGAACATTCCCCAAAACACGGGTGTGAATATCCCACGCCCCTTTGCCGTCGCGAAGGCCAGCCTGAAGCCTAGCAGCAGCCTTGCTCGTGTATCCGACCCCGTCATCACTCCGCATGCTGATCGTAAGAACACTGCCCAAAGCCCAAGCGCCCGCGACCTTGTCGGACTGTCTCGAGAGGCTGTCGATGAACTCGTTCGACCACATGGACCAGGTAGTGCCCGAGGCGCCCGGACTGGGAGCGGCACCCAGCGCCTTTCCACTCGAGTTCTTCTTGGCCCAGTCCCACGCGCCATTCTCGTCCATGCGCTGCAACTGGTCTAAAGACTCCACGGCGACCTGGCAGCCGACCGCGTGAGCCGTGTAGCTATGCCCATGAAGCAGCGCGTCGCTCTTGTCGTCGCTCGTAAAGGCGTTGAAGATGGCCTCCGAAGCCAGTGTCGTAGAGAGAGGCAAAAGCCCACCAGTGAGAAGCTTGGCGTGAACAGAAATGTCGGCGGAGGTGGCGAGCAGAGATGATGAGCTGAAACGGCCAAGGCGGTAGAGGCCGGTAAAGACCTCGTCAAAGATGACGGGGAGGCCCTGCCAGTCGTGCTCGGTGGTGCTGGGCGTGGTGGCGTTGCCGAAGAGTTCAGGCGAAGAACGCACGACGTCGACGAGCGCTTTCTGATAGAGAGGGTCCCTGCTCAGTCGGTCAGCAAATGAAGGTTGGTGTGTGTGTGGGAGCGCAACTTACACCAGGATCATGCCGCCAGCGCCAAGAACGACAGGCTCCAGCATCAAGGCGCCGAACTTGCGTCCGCCCTGTTTCTGGAGTCGTTCTAACACGGACCGGAAATAGTTCTTGTACGACTCATATACCTTCGTCTGAGCCCTGTTGCCGAGATCGAACACATCGCTGAGAGATTCAAACTTTGCTCCATCACCGAGGTCCTCCTGTAGCGCCTCAGGCGTGTCGACGACCCACTTGCCATCGCGGCACCAGACACTGGGATGGTCAAACCAGAAGCCCTTACCCTTGTACCATTCTACCTTTTCGTTGAAGACGCTCGGCTCTGAGCAATCCATGGTGCCGATGGTATCACCGTGATAGCTGCCTTTGAGGCCGAGAATTTCCATCTTCTCAGAGGCGGCCCAGCCATAGCGCAGCCTGGCAGCGCGAAGAGCCATCTTGACGGCGACCTCGCAGCCGGTGCTCCCGTTGTCGGTGTAGAACACTCGCGTCAGCCGTGAGTTGCCCATGCCATGGAGCAGCTTCTCAGCGAGAGCAAGGGCAGGCTCATGGATCGCCTCGGCGAACATGACGTGGCCGTAGCGACCGGCAGCATAGGCAGCGGCCAGTGTGAGGCGCGGGTTTCCGTGACCGAGACCTTGGGTCCACCAGGAGGCAGAGCCATCGAAAGCCGGTTGTAGCAATCCACTCTCGTTTGCGGGGGAGGGAGCAGCGGCGGGGGTCAAGACCTGGAAAAAGTCGCCATTGGCCGAATCGATGACGGAGATGCGGTCAGGCGTGAGTAGCTTTTGCTGGGTGAAAGGGTACCAGATATTCTTGCTCGCACTCTGAGGCATGTTCTCGAGGCGCGCAATGCGGTTCTTGCCCCGATGATCCAGGTCCTTGAGGACGGCGTGGGCAGTTTCGCTAGAGCTCTCGCGCTCGTAGTACGCTAACAGAGCGCCATGGTCGTACTGAGGATCCTCGTGCCGTTCCGGCGGGGCGGTGACCGTCTCGACAGGAATGCCTGCATGTTCTTGGAAGTAGTCCTTGAGGTACAGATGGTTCTCGTACGTCGCATCCTGAAAGAGCAACACTGCCTCAACGTCCAGACCACGTAATTTCAGGGACTCATACGCGGCAATGGTCTGTGAGATGCCTCCAAGCTTGGAGTCGCCGACGAGGACAGTAGGTAGTCGAAGAGGCGCATAGAGATTGGCTTGCGGGGTTCCCGTCGGACCGGGTGAATGCACACCTCCGGCCGTCTCAAGAAACAGCCATCCAGGACCGAAGGCGGCGTTTCTGAGGGCGTGATCATGGATGGACCGCCGGAGAGCGTCATCTGAGGGAATGTCCTGCCAACCAGTCAGACCAAGTTTGGATAAAGCCGCAACGGAAGTGGTACCCGGCCGGACAACCTGGCTGCAGTATGCGGGCTGCACGGTACATCGTACTGCACGAGTGTCTCTGCAGCGACGGAGGGAGCGAAACGCTCGATGTGTCTGCGAGCGTGGTCAGGCTGAGGTGGCCCGTCTCGCCGGACCTGGTGCTGGGTACTTCTGCAGACCAGTTAGATTAGAACAAAATGGCGGATCGACAGATGAAACATACACGAACTGTCTGCCTCACTGGCCGGACCCGTGGACACAGGCTTCAGGTAGGAGGTGCGTTCATGGTTGTAGAACTTGGTCGCGGCATTGCAGAGGATCGTTGTGAAGATGGTCTTGCCCACGTCCGTGTTGGCGCCGTACACCTGGTGCACGCGAAGGTGCCGCCACAACAGGCCAGATAAGGGTGCCATCACCAGACCTTGAGGCCAAAGGTAGAGGCGTCAATGGGGGAGCGGGGACGTGTCAAGATGTTGCTTAGCTCCATGATGTGTTGAAGGGCATCGAGGCCCTTAAGAACGTGCCTGATGGGCGAGGCTGTGCGAACGGCTTAGGGAAGGTGATGAACATGTACAGGGGGGTCAAACCTTCTGTAGCCGCTAAACCGACCGACGGCAAGCCACTTCGCCTTACCTCAGCAATTCCCTCAACATGTGCGACGCCCAGGCCCAGACCAGCATGCGAATATATGGGCGCGACGCAAAACGGAAAACCTCCCGTGTTCAGCTTCTTTTTTTTTTTTTGTTGAGTCACATCTTCCGCCGCGGGGTGCACCGTCAACATGTCCTCGTCCTCAAGCTTGGAAAGAGCTCTGAGGCAGCGGCTGGAGGAAAGGAAGTCAAAATCACAACTACGCCGGCTGACCTCCTTCCCCTCGACGAGCGTCGACTTCTCCTCCAACTCCTATCTCTCGCTCTCTGCCGTGCCAGAGGTTCAAAAAGCCTACATAGCACACCTTGAACAGCTGATCGCGTCGAATTCTCGAACGTCCATCCTGGGATCCAGCGGCTCCAGGCTCCTCGACGGCAATTCGAACTATGCCGAAGCGCTGGAACGCGACGTTGCCGCATTCCACCATGCTCCTGCCGGTCTGCTTTTCAACTCGGGCTTCGACGCCAACGTGGGCTTGTTCAGTTGCGTCCCTCAGCCAGGAGATGTCGTGGTCTACGATGAGCTCGTGCACGCCAGCGCCCACGACGGCATGAGGATGAGCCGCGCCGCCCAACGACTGCCGTTCAAGCACAACACCGTCTCCCCAGCGGCGCCCCACACTCTGGGCCATACCCCGCCAGCACGACAAAGCCTCAGTGAGATCCTCGCAGCATTGACCCAGGGCGCGAACGGTCGAGAGGTCAGGGCCGGGACCCGGAACGTCTTCGTCTCTGTCGAGGCCGTCTACAGCATGGACGGCGACGTTGCGCCGCTGCGGGAAATCGTCGACTGCATCAAGCAGCACCTGCCCCGCGGCAATGGTCGGCTCATCGTTGATGAGGCGCATTCGACAGGCCTCTTCGGCCTGCAAGGCCGCGGCCTGGTGTGCGAGCTCGGGCTCGAGCGCGATGTCTTTGCGCGCCTGCACACCTTCGGCAAGGCTATGGGGGCTTCAGGGGGTAAGTGCTCTCTCTCTTCCTTTCTTAGTTCTGACCCAGAAAGCCGAGTGCCGAGCCTCTGGGGAGGGGGGTGGGACCCCTGACGCTAACGAATGCACGCGCTTGCAGCCATCCTCCTCTGCGCGCCGGTTGTCAGGGAGTACCTGATCAATTACGCGCGTACCTTGATCTACACGACGGCCATGTCGCCGGCGAGCCTGGCGGGCATCAGGGTCACGTACGACTTCGTAGCCACAGAGATGGCCGACGAGTTGAGGCGGCGATTGAGAGAATTGATCGGGTACACGCACGGCCTCTTTGTGTCAATTTGCGCACGCTACGGCGCGGCCCCGCGACCGCTGGTGCGCATTGATGCGGGGTTGCCCTCGTCGCCCATTATCCCGTTGTTGACCTCGCATCCGCGCAGTTTGGCGTTGTACTGTCAAGAACGAGGCTACGTCATCCGTCCTATTGTCGCACCTACAGTGCCGAAAGGCAGCGAGAGGGTGCGGGTCTGTCTACATGCTGCCAACACGAAAGAAGAGGTCGAAGGTCTGGCCCACGTGGTCGAGGAATGGGTGCTCAAGACACAGAAGGAGGGCCTTCAGGAGACCCAACCACCAGTGCAGAAGGCTCATCTTTAGGTGGCAAGTAGTCGCATCACGGCTCGAGGTCTGGCTTTGCAAGCCGCAATCAAAAATTCTTGTTGGAAGCATTAGCTTGTCGCACTCTTTCCAACACAAAAGAGGGATGGTAGACGTGAGAGATAGGTGGGCCAGTATTGGGCTCTTGACGCGATGTGTGCAGGGCGGGGTTAAAAAATTAAACTATTCGCAACCAGAATTTAATCGAGCATGGAATGCATTTACCCCAATGAGACGAGAATGACGATGTCCTCTGATGCATCCCACTTCTTACGCAGGAGATCGATGCGGCAAGGTGAGTCACCCGGCACCGCAGGCTGATAAGGGGCGTTACTGTAGAGCTGATGAAAGTCCGCCCGTATCCCAAAAAGGGGCTGTACTCTACACGAGGCAGCTGGCGAGGCTTCCTCGACTCATAACGGTAGCCCCTTGAAGGCTTCCTGGAGACATGTCACATATTTAAAGATGGCAAGGGTTGGCACTGAAAGCTCCTCGGGGACCCTCCAGGCACAAACTCAATTAGCACATACCAAATCATTGAAGGCCAACGTCACAATGCGGCGCCCACAGCTCCTCACACCGACTGAATTAAGCAGGCTGCGAGATCGCTCTGACGAGAATGACAAGCTAGCCACGTGCTGGGACCGCAAACATGTCGGCATTCTTCTGTTCGATTACTCGGCCCCGCCCATGAGCTACACTGGCTATCCGATGCTCAGAGTCTCACTTTTGAAAAGAGGCGTTTCGAAGACGCGCCACGCCTCAGGATGGTGCGAGTCGGAACGCGATTTCACCTTCATCGGCAACGTGACGGATGCTCCGCCGCGAGACTACCACTACGGCAAGAGCTCCACATACGAGCAGCCAGCGGCTCTGATGAGGGACAAGATTAAAGCGATCCTCGCCGAGTTGAGCGAAAGATACGCCACGCTCTGTCTGTGTACTGCGCGGCCGAAGCAATTGGCCCTGGGGCTGCAGAAAATTGGCCTCACAATCCCGAAGCAGTTCGTGGTTGTCGATCTGGTCAGGGTGCTCGAGTTCCAGGCCGTGCCAGATGTCATCAACAGCGTGCTGGCCGGGGAGGAGGGGTTCGCGGCGCGGGCCAACGACGGGGAAATCTGGACTGGACCGGGGCATGGCGCGGACTGCTCGCTAGCCTCGGTGTTGCTGGCGCTCGTCGGGCCGTTAGCGAAGAATTACACCGGCGACTGGAAGAGGATCGAGCGGGAGGCGGTGGCGGCCAGTCGGTTGTTGGGTGGAACGGGACTCAAGGTCGTTGGCGAGATGAACAAGATCAAGGGTAGATCGTCGAAGCGAGGCAAAAGAGAACCAGACGCCTGAGCTGCCATGCGATAGACCTCAAGCGCCTCGAGCCATCTGCCAGCATCGGTCTCGATAGATAACCACGAGGCATGGGCCGGGCTCGTCCCGAATGCAACGTCCGTTGTCGATCTGTGATTGCTAGTTGGCCTAGTCGGCTGGTTGATTAAGTCCAGAGACCCAAATCAGCCAAGGAAAACCACTCGGCCTTTCGCTCCGGATGCCGACATAGGACAAGGCACGAGCGCCATCGGTGTCTGGGGTTTGATGTGTTGGAGGGCGCGGCGGCCACCCACCCATGACAGGTCCAACTATGACTGGCGATGCTGTTGCCGGGAATGTCGTGATGGGCCGGCACGGCTGGCACGTGGGATGATGACTCGAGATCTGTCAAGGGGGCAATAGGTGAACCAAGCTCCCTGTGCTGTAGGGTGGTGCTTGGGTAGGTAAGGCACCTTTCTGGCCAGTGTAACCCCCCACCCCGGTCGAGGCAACGCCCGCCGAGTGGAGATAAGGAAAACGGCCCGGACATGGGGGAACTGGTCCCGCCTGCATTTAGCAGGGCCAATGGAGTGAGCGGGCCTCTGTAAGGCGTTGTGGGCGTGGGGTCAGTGGAAGGATCGGGGGGTGGATTGGGGGACATTTTGGGGGAGGGAGGAAGGACTGACAGGGGAACTGACTACTTACTACTGGGCCCTGGTGGCACTTGCCCAGGGCGCTTCGACCTGTGAGGCAGGCACCCCTCGGCCGCCCACCCTTGCCCCCCCCAACCTGCCTCGCTCTCTATGCGGGACCCCGCGTTCCCACCCGTGCTTGCCCTGACTTGTCGGTCGCTCTCGCCTGTGACAGGACCGACGGCGCGAGCTGTGCTCGCCATTCTTTCCTCATCTTTCCCTCCACTGCCGCAACTTTACCTCGCCTATTCTCCCGCCTATTGCCTGACCCCCAACCTCGATCTCGACCTCGCCCTGGATCGTCTCTCCCTCTTCGGCTCCCCGCAGCAGCCCTATCGCTTCGAGATTCGCGGCAACTTTCATATCCATCATCGCGACGACATTCGAAATGCGCGACTAGGGCGCTGGTCATGGCGACCCACCAACCCCAGTCGGGCGGCGCGCCCTCCGCTCACGGCCACCCAGGACCCTCACCAACAGACGAGGGATCACCAAATCCTCCCGAGTCGTCCAAAGAGTCCACCACCTCCAGCTACCGACGCGCCAGTCGCAAAGGCGCCGTAAAGAAATTCAGCTGCAGCTTTCCCGGTTGCGACAAATTATACTCTCGAGCTGAGCATCTCCACCGGCATCAGTTGAATCGTGAGGCGTCCCCACCCGGCTTGGAAACGACTGTGACCTTCACGCCTCTGTTGCGCCGCCGTCTCGATTGACCGAGCCCGCTTGACTGACATTGACTTGCAGATGCGCCCAAGGAAATCTTCCGTTGCGAAGAACCTGGCTGTGACCAAAAGTTTGTCCGCGCCGATCTCCTCGCTCGACATAAGAAACGTCACTTCACATCCTCCTATATACCCCGGAACAGAACCTTCAGCTTCAAGTCATCACATCCTGAACTTGCGGCCACTTCGAGCGCACCAGCAGCAAACATACCATCCACTGCCGGGTCTGCCCCGCGAACGCAGTTCCCGTCACATACCCCGAGTGGACCTCACGATGCCGCCATCTTACTGACGCCCGACTCGGAGCCGGCCCCACGACTGGTTCAGCCTTCGAGCTGGCCTCCGCCGCAACCTTCCATGCACGGCTTGGACGTGAACATGGGGTCGAAGGCGGCATATTATGGAAGGGAGGCGGTAACCATGGCCGCCGAATCATCAACCATGTTGCCCTTCGACAACGGCTTTCAAGCGGATGGACATCTATCCGAGAACTTCGCCATGTGGCTTTTTGACGCTCAGGCTGGCTGGAACGAGCTGAACGCTGTTGCCAACATGCCGTTTCTCGAAGGCGGCTTGGAGTCGACGTTCAACAACAACATCAATTACGACTACGAGTCACTGACAAGCCGCTCGCAGCCAGATCCCACGCCGCCGCGCCAAGAAAATGACGACCTTCTCACGGAGCACCGTCGAGAAGAGATTCTGTCTTGGTTCCGGCTATTCCGCAGTAAACAGCCCAAGTACGAGGCCTCAATCACCCGAATCGTACAAGAGAGCGGCGGTGACGTCCCCGGCCTCAGTCTCGACATGATGCGACATTGTCTGCACACGTACTGGGTCGATGTGTCCCCGCGGCTGCCCATTGTACATCAGCCGACTTTCTCATGCAACCGATGCCCCATTTTCCTCGTCATGGTCATGCTTGCACTCGGCGCTGCATCTCTGAGGGCTCGCGACACGACGAGCACATACGTCGAGTACGGGGGTTTCGCGGACGTTATCATATCGAGCGTTCGCTGGGAAATCGTGACTGCCGAAGACGCCAATCCGCCTGTGGCTCTGTGGGTGGCGCAGGCACTTCTGCTGCTCGAATACTATGAGACGCTGTTCTCTTTCCGCAAGTTCCATGAGCGGGCGCATATCTACCACTCCGCGACCCTGACTCTCTTGCGCCGGGGCAGCCCCCTCATCGGCAAAGCGGGCAGTGAGTCACCGCCTGAGGAAGCGCCACCGTCGGGTGAAAATGACGGCTCGTCAGACTCGCGAACATGGTGGGTGCGCTGGGCTGAGACGCAGTCCATGCATCGTGTTGTTTTTGGAGCCTTCATGATGGATATCATCCATGCCACCATGTTTGGCCATCTCGCCGACATGGCGCCCGATGAGATCCGCCTTCCTCTACCTTGCGATGACAGCCTTTGGGCGGCGCCGAACCCCGACAGCTTCCGGAGCGTTGACAGCACGTGGCGTATGTATGGCATCAAACAGATCTCTTTCCTCGAGGGGCTCAAGTCTGCGCTTCACTGCAACCCGGTGAAGACACATTCGTTTGGTCGCATGATCATCATGTGCGGCCTTCTCAGCGTTGGCTGGCATCTCTCTCATCGCGACAGCCAGATCAAGTGGCTCGATCGCCCCACGCGCACATCTGAGCACGACACATGGCGAAGGACGATCCTGAAAGCTTTCGATATTTGGAAAGAGAGCTACGATGCCGATATTGGCCTGTCCGAAACCAATCTTGGGGAGAGCCATGGTAGCGCGAATGGGCCAGTCCAGTCACCATCTGTGCTCTACCATTTCGCCCACATTGCTCTTCAAGTCGATATCGTGACCTGCCAGGTCTTTGCAGGCGCAAAGCGCCTGGTCAACCGTAAGATTTCGACGCGCGATTACAGCAACGCTGTTGCGCGTATGAGAATCTGGTCGAGCAAGGCGAGCACGAGACATGCCGTGCTGCACGCGTTCAAGCTGCTTCATCGTGTTCTGGTGGGAGGTTCCCGCCGGGGGTCGGGGTACCCTCCGCTCCAAGACGCCTGGTATTCGTGCCGCAACGAGGCAGACCCCCACCGCCCGTGGTCACTTTACTACGCGGCGTTGGGTATATGGTCACTTGTGCGGGCGTTGAACGGCGGGCAGGCACCGCCGCCATATTCAGGACCATATTTGAGCACCGCTACGTATTTGACCCGCATCGCGAACCTCTCTGAGCTCACAGAGGAGACGGCAAGGGGGTTGGGTGATGGGTTGCCTGACTTGCTACGATTATTGCAGGCGAGCTTTGAGGATGCGCATGCTGAGCTGCTCCATGAGGCGGCTGAGCGACTGAAGACTTGTAGAGAACTGATGGCTGGGGCCGGGACATGACGGATAGATACACGAGGTTCCTCTCACGACACACTATACACCTAGAGCGGGTTACATGTTCGATTCCGGATTTTTTGGCAGGCCAGGTTTCTTTTCCAGGCTCGTTTGAAAGGGTCACGGAGGCTTTTTATGACGGGAGACGACTGTGGTCTTTTGACGTTTTTACTGTATTGGGCTGGCGGAACACTCTAGAGCAGATATATCCTTCCTTCCTGTCTAATGCGATTTTCTTCCCCTCGAGAATCACTCTATGAGCTCTTCCCTGCCTCCGGCTCCGCTTTTGTCTCTTCGACCTCGACCTCGACGCTGCCAACGCCCGAACTCAAACCTCCCTCACCATTGTCGCCCTCCAACGCCCTCGAGAGGCCCATGAAGTGATCCACAACATCCTGCTTCTCGGCGAACAGCGCGCAGTCGAGCGGGATCTCATCCTTGTCGTTGGCCAGGGCCGGGCTGGCGCCCGCCTCGAGCAGCGCCTTGACGACGGACAGGTGTCCGCGTAGACACGCCCAGTGAAGCGCCGTGTTGGCAAACTCGTTGGCCTGGTCGAGAGCCGCCTTGCGCTCTTCGGCGGGCAGCTCTGCAAAGTGGGCCAGGATCGCCGACACGACCTCTACGTTTTCGCGTCAGTATTGACGTCTCATGGCATGACATCACATCCAAGACATTCGTTTCCCCCTTTTGCAACCGTTTCTCCCATTTTCACAATGAAGGCGCAGAGACGTATTTCCTGATGAACGGGGGTGCGGGTCCACTGACCTAGGTTTCCGTTGCCGGCCGCCATGTGCAGACATGTCGCCTTGCTCTCGTCGCGCGCCGCCGTGAGGATGGCGGCGGGGGCGACTGATTCGCGGGCTGAGAGGGTGGCCAGGGCCTCGGCGAGGTCGGCCTGCTCGCCGGCGCGGGCGAAATAGATGAGGTCGTCGACCTCGTCTTCTGTGAGGTTGGGCGCCATCTTTGTGTGCCGGGGTTGGTGGAGGAGGAGAGTGGTGGAGGGGTGACTGGCGCGGGAGGGCAGCGACGGGCAGCAGCAGCTGATGGGCGATGAGTTTGGGGAGTGAGGCTTCGAAAATTTATGTGGTCCGTGCGGAGGGGTGAAGTGGTTTCCGGTGAGCTCGGTGAAGGCGGGGTAGTGGCGGGGTAACATTCGGTTCACCGTTCCTCTTACCGAGGCTGTCCTACCATGTGTACATTAGTGACGATGAAAGTTTGCTTTGGACCTTTAGTTGAGTGATGTGAATGGAGAGTACATTCATTACTGGTAATCATATCCACCGTACTCTCCCTGAGTTGACACCAAGTCGAGAGTCTATCATCACGGACACCTCAGCGAGGACTCTGGCCAAGTGCTCCCAGCCACCACCCCTGACCCCCTGAACCCCTGAATCGCCGACTATCAGCCATTGCGTTCCCGGAAAGGTCGCGACCAAGTTTCCCCTTCACAATTGGAGGCCAGCGAGCGCACACAGTAGGCTACGGTCGAGCCATCTCGTCAGGTCGCCCACGTCATCCACAGCTTGGATCTCACCCTTTACGCCGAGGACGAGCATAATCTGCAGCTCGCGTCTGTACTCCAAGTCATCAATGTCTGCATTGTCTTCGCCGAATGAAGCGAGAAGTTTCCTCGCACAGCGCCGATCCCGCAACGACAATGGCGTGACCGCAGCGGGCTCAGCTGGTAATTCTCGTGGCGCGCCCTCTCTGTCGCCAACTGCACCTCGTTGTCTATCAGGCATGAGATCGGTGCTTCGAATGCCGAGCCACTGCAATCGAGGCAGGACAACGTGGCTTTCGTGGCTGAGACTCTGCGATCCGTGTTTGTAACATTGCATAATACGCAGACCGTCTGGATCAAAATCGATGAGGCAAAATATCGGCATGTCGGGCTTCATGGCCTGGATCGCGTGAAGGAACGATCTAGTGACGAGGTCTGGGTAGCCTTTGCCCTGGGCTTCAAGTTAGCAGGAAAACTCCTTTGAAGGTCGGGCTGTGCAGATTACCGTGACAATCACGCCATGACCTGCCCCTGACTTCCTCCAGTATTGCTGTACAGCCAAAGGTCGGAAAGCGGCTTCCTTTTCGATGACGAGAACCCATTTGGTCGATGCAAAGTTCATGCCGACGACGTCTCTGACCGAAGGGATGAGAACACCCTGGTAAGTCAGCACTACGATAGATTGGCTCAAGCTCAAAAGCGTGCGCCATACAGTTGAACCAGAGGACATGTCGACCCCTGTGCCATTCTGGAGGTGTATCTTGACGGGTCCTGACGCAAGACCCTTACCGGCAGCAACCTAAATCAAATGAGCGCTACGCGCAAGTGTAGAAGCACCGTTCAAGACCAACGATATTCAGGTCATCTCGGCCAAGGTTCAGCGTGAAGGCCAAGTCGTCTACCAGTTGATCCACATTGGCCTGACTGCCGAAGAGCTCAACGTCTTGGTAAAATATGTTTCTGAGATCGAGTCAACCCCTACCAAGGCTCCCGCGAGAACAAGCAGGAGAAAATCACCGTTTGGTCAGTATGATGCCGCCAACCAATGCTCGATGCGAAAGACTCAGGATCTTCATCACCCGGGCTTGTCGACGACACCCCAGTCAGTCAACCTGCGACCAAGGCATATTGACAAGTTCATGTTTTTGTTCATTTTTACCAAATTTACTGGCTTCTCGCGGCGTGCTCCCTGGGAACCGAAGAAAACCTGCGCTGGCTCGGCTGGTGCCAGGACGTCGAGCCTGATAGGGGATGGAAAGAACACGGCCACGGAAGAGGTCGTCTTGCACTTCACGGAGAATGCCATCGATCTTTGCAATCACAGCTGCCGCGCTGTTGTGATATACATTGGGACTCTGAACAAAATCGACATCTGATGGCTGGCGACCCTGCTCAGCGCGAGTTGTCAGCGATCGGTCAGGTTGGCTGGGCGGCATGCGACGTGTAGCCGTTGGGCCGGTGCTCGTGTCCATCGCTTGTAGGGGAAGTTGCTCCGCCGAATTTCGACAGCTGAGTCGATTTGATTGCGCGGTAAGGCAAGACATGCAAGCCTTGATATCGAGTACGACATGATGGGGACGACATGCCGTCGGCATCGTGGGCAGTGAAGATGGCCCTGCAGGAACACACCGTGCAATGGACCCCACTGTTCACACTGTACAAGGCAGCCACAGGCAACAAGAGATTAAAGATGTGGGGCTCAGGGGCACCGATCGATTGACCAATCAGTGGGACTTGCAAATTTGTGCTGGGAACGCTCCACCCAACCACCACCGCCGCCAAGGACGAACTGTCGAACGACGTGACGACTACAGTGGTCAACTAAACATGTGACGCCAGCTACCACCCCGGGCCCTCCCAGTACACGCACGACTCGCATCCCGCGGGACCCCTTGACGGCGTGCATCGGGCTGGAGGAAGAGTCCGAGAGTGCCACCCTACTACATCTTGCGAGGTGCACTGCAAACTGCCAGCCCCCGCGCCCAATTCGACATCCAAAGCTCGACTACCCGTCAGTTGATGCACCATGAACGGATCTATGAAGAACGGGTCGACGAATGGCTCCCATCGAAACGGGTCGGCGAATGGCTCCCATCAAAACGGATCGTTGAAGAACGGATCAGCTACCCATGACGAAGAGAAGCCGCTGCTTTCACGCAAGCGAGTCGCTGAAGCCATCGCCGAGCAGCCCTGGCCCAAGAAGCCGAGGATTCTCGAGAAGACCGATGTCACGCGATGGAGGCTGAATGACGAAGATGGCCGCCATCGCTGGGTCTACGTCGAGGACAACCAGGCCCTGAAGGAGTGGCCTCAGAGCTACGCAGAGAAGTACTTCCTCGGGCTGCCGCTCGTACGTCCACCCCCCTCCAAAGATTCTGATCCCGGCAGCTAACCAGCTACACCAGGGCCTGCCCGATCTTCCTCCCCCCGAGAGCCCCCTCGATGCTGCCACCAACGGCTTGACGTTCTTCGAAAAGTTGCAACTCGACCCCGGCGAATGGGGTTGCGAATACGGTGGTCCCATGTTCCTCTTGCCGGGCATTGTCATCACCTGGTACGTGACCAAGACGCCCATCTCGACGTTTCACGCTACAGAAATCAAGAATTACCTCTTCGCGCGGGCCGACCCGGAACTCGGCGGATGGGGACTGCACACCGAGGGAGAGAGCACGGCCTTTGGCTGCACCCTGAGTTACACAGCACTCAGGCTTCTGGGCGTGGATGCTGAGGATCCCATCATGGTCAAGGCCAGGGCTCGACTCCACCAACTCGGAGGCGCCACCAGCAGCCCACACTGGGCCAAGTGGTGGCTCGCCGTGCTGGGCGTCGCGAGCTGGGACCTCGTCAACCCTGTACCCCCCGAGTTATGGTTGGTCCCGGACTGGGTGCCGATCGCCCCTTGGAGGTGGTGGGTCCATATCCGCCAGGTTTACTTGCCCATGTCGTACATTTACTCGAGGCGGTGGAGCTGTGAGGAGACGGACGTGACGCGGCAGCTGAAGAATGAACTGTTCGTCCAGCAGCACGCATCAATCAACTGGAAGGCCCGCCGCAACGACATTGCGACGACAGACAATTATCACCCCAAGACCTGGGTTCTCAACACGGCCAACTGGCTCCTCGTCAATATTTGGGAGCCGTATCTGAAGACCAGCGCGATCAAGGAGAAGGCCGAAGCGTGGGTCAGCGAGCTGGTTGACATGGAGGATGCGAACACGGATTATGCAGGTCTGGCGCCGGTGAGCAATCCCATGAATGAGATTGTGTGCTACATTCGCGATGGGCCCGGTTCGTACTCTGTTCGACGACACACGGAGCGTCTCCACGATGCTCTCTGGATGAATGCCGAGGGCATGCTGTGCAATGGCACCAACGGCGTGCAATCCTGGGACACGGCATTTACAATCCAGGCCATCATGGCGGCGGGGCTTGAGAAGGACGAGAGGTGGCGGCCCATGCTCAACAAGGCGCTCGGGTTCCTCGACCGACAGCAAATCCGCGAAAACTGCAAGGACCAGGAGAAGTGCTACCGACAGCACCGCAAGGGCGGTTGGCCCTTCAGCAACCGGGACCAGGGCTACATTGTCAGCGACTGCGTCTCGGAATGTATCAAGTCAGTCATCATGCTGCAAAAGAGCGAGGGGTACCCACAGCTGCTTGATGATCAGCGCATCTTCGACGCCATCGACGCCATCCTGCTCTTCCAGAACGACACGGGCGGTGTGGGTACCTACGAGAACAGGCGGGGCGGGAAGTACATGGAGTACCTGAACGCGGCCGAGGTGTTCGGCAACATCATGGTCGAGTACGACTATCCCGAGTGCACGACGGCGTGCCTGACGGCTCTGTCCCTGTTCAGGGAGTACTGGCCGGAGTACAGGGCCGAGGAGATCAAGGTCTTCTGCGACCGAGCCGTCAAGTGGATCACGTCGAACCAGACGGCCGAGGGCGGATGGTATGGCAGCTGGGGCATCTGCTTCACGTACGCCGCCATGTTCGCGCTCGAAAGCCTGGCGGGCGTGGGCGACGTATACGAAACCAGCGCACCCTCGAGGAAGGGCTGCGATTTCCTCGTGGGGAAACAGCGATTTGACGGCGGCTGGTCGGAAAGCTACAAGGCCTGCGAGACGATGAAGTGGGTCGAGCACCCCAGTGGTTCTCTCGTCGTCCAGACGGCGTGGGCCGCGCTGGCCTTGATGGAGGCAGAGTACCCAGACGTCGGGCCCATCAAGAGGGCTATCCGGTTCATCATGAGTCGGCAGCAGACCAACGGCGAGTGGCTGGCCGAATCCATCGAAGGCGTCTTCAACAAGAGCTGCATGATCACGTATCCCAACTACAAGTTCACCTTCCCCATCAAGGCTCTGGGCTTGTTTGCGAAGAAGTACCCAGATGAGGTGATCCATCTGGAGGAGGAGGACTGAGGACTTGAATGAATCGATATCACGACGGAAAGAGACATAAGTAGGACTTTAATAGTAATTAACACCAAGTGTACATAGATGACCCGAACTGCTATTATGACGGAAAGAGACATAAGCAGGACCTGAGTATGAACGAATACCAAGTGTACATTGATGGCCCTTGGGAATGGCCCCTGTCGTTGGACTTGACAGGGAGCTGCTCCTTTGGTACTGCCAGGTGTAAAGGCGGTCAACATTCGTCGTGAGGTCCAGGCCACAGAGGCCCTCTGACGCGGGGGGCCGAAACGGCAGAATCAAGATGCCCCGCCATAGCTTCCAGAACCGTCTCCAACTTTGGACCTTCCAATCCTCCAACCTACCTACCTACCCACCAATATTTGACAAGCTCAATTCTGCTTGCCTCCCAGTTCATCACTGTGGCCTAAACTGCTTTCCAATCTGACGAACTTCTTACACGTATCCCCAAAGAATAGCTTCCACCACAATGTCGACTACCGCCGGCCAAGCAGGCCTCGCCCTCGTCGAGGCGAAAGACTACGCCGCTGCCCTCCCCAAGCTCAACACAGCCCTCGCCGGCTCGTCATCCCCGGCATGGCTGCTCGCCCGCTCCAGGTGCCACATCGCCCAGGCCTCCTACGAGCTGGCCCTCCGCGACGCCGAGGCCGCCTACCTCTCGGCCGCCTCCCGTGGCTCCCGCCCCCTCATGATCGATGCCCAGTACCGCCGTGCCGTCGCGCTCTTCCGCCTCGGCCGCCCCGCCGACGCCGATGCCTGCGCCCTCTGGTCGATGAAGCTCGCCGAGGGCATCTCGATGCGCGACGCCGCGAACCTTGTGCCGAGCCCCGGCACCGACTGGCGGCCCAGCCGCGCAGCCCACCTCGCCGAGATTAAGGACGTCACGGCGAGGAGCGGCCAGGCGGCCATGACGGAGAAGAAGTTTGGCGCCATCTGGAACACGGCCGCGGCGCTGCGGGCCCAGGTCCTCGCCGCGCTAGAGAGGGTGCCCGACGGCGACGACAAGGCCCGCCTCGCCGTCGCGCTGGTGCCCGTCGAGCGCAAGCAGGAGGACGCCGAGGAGGACCAGCTCGTCAGGGAGGCCGTGGCCGAGAAGAAGGCGGCCGAGGCGGCGCAGCGGGAGAAGCCCAAGGAGGTGCGGGCCGACTTCTTCCAGAGCAGCGCCAGCGTGTCCGTCACGGTGTTTGTCAAGGGCGTGCCGAAGGATGCGTTCCGCGCCGAGTTCACGGAGGACCTGGTACGTTTTCTTTCTTTTTTCTTTTTTTTTCTTTTTGACACATCATCACAGCAGCGGCAGATGCATTCATTTCGAGTCTTGCTGACAATGGCAAAAACAGGTACGCCTCAGCCACATCCCCGGCCACGAGCCCTGGTATGAGATTCCCCTCTACGGACAGATCGACCCCGCCCAGTGCAAGTTTACCGTCACGCCCAACAAGGTCGAGCTCAGTCTCAAGAAGCGCGAGCCCGTCAAATGGGGCACCCTCCGCCGTGCGGCCGATGCGCCGGCTGCCGCACCCGCCAAGGTGGCTGCTGCTCCTGCGCCAGCGCCCGCGGCCGCGGCCCCTTCGTCGTCCCGTACGGGCGCCAAGAACTGGGACAAGGTCCTGGCCGACGAAGACGACACGGAGAAGGAGAGCGTCAACGACTTTTTCAAGACGCTGTACAAGGGGGCGACGGACGAGCAGAAGCGTGCCATGATGAAGTCGTTCACCGAGAGCAACGGCACCTCGCTGAGCACCAACTGGGAAGATGTCAAGACGGGCAAGGTCGAGACGGTGCCGCCCGAGGGCGTCAATGTCAAGAAGTGGGAGGCGTAGGGTACTGCACATGCCAGAGTGGAGGCCAGGTGCAGCCAGAAGGCCGGAGAAAGGAGGGCATCAACCGCTGCAACACATGAAGCTTTGATGCGAAGCTCGAACAGGGCACCCATCAGTATAGACAGGAATACGCCTGCCTAGATCATCACGAAATCACGACGTCATGCTCATTGTATGTGCCAGCTCATTGTGACTTTGTGGACCTCCTCTTGTGTATTGCATGCCAACTTCTTAGCCCTATCATGATGGAATAGATCATGCAGCAGGGCTCCCTACGTATACTGGCACCAGGGCTGAGCTCCCAAGCACCCGCATGCCCCGACATCTATTGGCTCTCCGACCAGGCCCGAATAGCTTGCTTCCTGGCCTCCAGGAACTCAGGCACGGCGTAGTTCCGCTCCACGCGCTTGATCGTGCTCCTCCACTCGTCGATCCCGACGTACGCGCCCCGCAGGTGCCGGCCGCCCGACGAGGGATCGAACGCCGTTCGGCCGTGCAGGACGCGACGGTTGTCGAAGACGACGCAGTCGCCCTCCCGCAGCCGGCGGCGGATCATGTTGCCGTCCTCCTCGAGCATGTGCTGGAAGGTCGAGGCGGCGGCGTGCCAGGCGGCGAAGCGCGTCCGCGCCGCGGGCGTCGTCGGCGCGCGCAGCGGCGTCTGGAAGGGCGGCGACCACCAGACGTCGGTGGGCAGCGCGCGGTACAGGCGCGGGGCGGCGTCGGCGGTGTCCCGCGCCGACGCCGCGCCGGCGAGCGCCTCGCGGGTCCCGGCGTCGAGCGGGCCCATGCCCTGGAAGACGGGCCGCGCCTGCTCGTAGAAGAAGCCGCCGTTGTCGTAGTGCCAGCCCAGGTCGGTCTCCGCGAGGGCCGCGGCCAGGTCGGGCGTGTGGACCATCATCTCGGCCGCCGTGCGCATGGCGTCGCTGAAGAGCGACTCGCCGCCGACGGCGTTGTTCTCGAGGCAGTGGAGGAACTGCAGCTTGGGCGGCGAGTGGAGGTAGAGCATGTCGGAGTGCAGGCCGAGGTATTCGCTCGTGTAGGCGACGTTCTCGGCGCGCGGCTTCGACACGACGTCCCACGTGTTGCCGTAGAAGGTCTCCTTCAGGCCCCCGAATTGCAGGGCCATCGTCTTGACCGAGTCGTGGTCCTTGGGCACGCCCGTGATGAAGACGAGACCAGACTCGGCGAGCTCGGTGACGGCGGCTGCAAAGTGGCCCTCGCCGGCCATCCAGTCTGCGTACGAGACCTCGCGCGGGTACAGCGTCCTGCGGTTCCATGTGCTCGCCGTTGGGACAGCGTGGTGCTGCAGCACGGCCAGATGCCGCGACGCGAACTCGGTCTGTAGAGCCCCCCGGAGCTGCCCTGATGTGAAGACGGAGGTGTTGATGCCATCGGCAACAAAGCGGGGGATATTGTTGCGCCATGTGATTTCCCAGTGGCCCTCGCTGTCCTGTCGGACGGACTCGATCGCGATGTCGACGGGAATCTCGCCGGTGGCAAAATTCTTGTTGCCGGACGAGGGGCTTGTGCTTTGTGGGCATCGGTCGCGCAGCCAGCCAGCAGGCACCTCGGTCGGAGGTAGATCCGGGCCTTCGATCGTCAGCAGGGCTGCGTCCGCCGCAGAAACACGGCAGACAACGGCAGCAGCTGACTGTCGAGCGGCCGCTTTGCGTCGCTTCAACGATGCGGGCACGAGGGGCGGGCTCGAGGCAGACGTAGCCGTTTTCGGGACACTGCCGGTGGCCTCGCCTTGCCGGAATTGCGAGCTCGTGTGGAATGACGTTGCAGGGGCAGGACATTTGACGCATCGAGGGGTCGGTGGTGTTCGAGTGATCAGGCCATCTGTGTGCCGCGCGGCAGCTCCTTGGACGGCGCGCAGCGCTCGCGAACGTGCGTACATGGCGTGTTTCTTCGAAATAAAGGTACAAGAAAGACGGTCAAAATGGCACGGCCGCGAAACAGAAGATCATGAGAAACGGGCAAAGGAAAAAGGCGACGACGAAGAAGCCCCAGCTCAACCGACAAGCCGAGGAACATGTGCGATGGAAGCCGGGAGAGCTCCACGGTCGGAGCTCCACAGAGGGGTAGATCGATCGTCGAGAGCTTGGACTTAGACCTGATAGAGGCATAGTCTATCTATATGGTTTATATGTAACGATGCTTACTTGAGTACATGCTCCCACGCACTCACCATCATGCGGTGGCATGCGTACCCCTTCTTCCTCTTTACAGCATACCGTCATTTGTCATGAAGAGTCTGTTCCGGTCATTTCGATAGAGTCTCTTCTAGTCGTTCTCATAGAGCCTCTTCCATTCATTCTCTTAGAGTCTCCCCAAACACCTTTTACTCCTGGATCTCGCCCCAGATCCAATCACTCAACGTCTCGTTCGTTCCAATCCAGCTCTTCAAGCACGCCTCCTTCTCCAAGATGAGGTCCGCCACGAGCCGTCCAAACACGACGCTGCCCCAGTCATTGAGATGCGTGTTGTCGCCCTCCTTGAGGTTCCACTCGTCATGAGACCGCTGCTCGCCCACCGCCTCCACGAGCGCCTTGCTGTTCTTGTAGAGGTCGATGAACTGCGTCCTCGTCTCCTCCGCCGCCGCCATGGTCCTCACCCTCTCGTTCCTCAGGCTGTCGTCCGTCACGGCGCCCTTGAAGTTCCGCCGCGAGAGCGGCGTCACGAGGATGGGCGTCGCGCCGAGCGCCTTGATCTCGCCGGCCAGCGCGCCGAGGTTCTCCTGGTACATGTCGAGCGTGATGTTCTTGGCCGGCTTCTGGTCGTTGTGCCCGAACTGGAGCGTGACGTACACGTCAAAGTCGGCCGCGTGCTCGCGCACCGCCGTCGTGACGAGGTCCCAGTGGCCGCCCGAGACAAAGTCGACCGTCGTGCGCCCGTTGCGCCCGTAGTTGGCGCCCGTCGCCGGCGCCACGAGGAAGGAGAGGAAGCCGTTGCCCCAGCCGCCGCCGCCCTCGGACTGCACCGCTGTCGTCGAGTCGCCGGCGAGGAAGAAGGCCGCGGGCTTGGTGGAGCAGACTTTGGGGCACGAGGGCGCCGCCGCCGCGAGAACGGGCAGGAGGGCTGCTGCCGCGGAGAGGGAGGCCTTCATGATGACGATGGGGTGCGTCTGGGCCGTTTGATGAGCGATGCGAGAAGGACTGCCGTTCAACGAGAGCATCGCTGCTCGATGACTGCAGCGACCGCTGGCTTAAATACGTTTCCTCGCCATCTCGGGGTAATGCGCGCCTGTCTTGACGAGCGCGCAACCATCGTCGAGGTAAACTGTCGATAGAGATCGCCCAAATGCCGTGGACGCTCGCATCGCGGATGGGATCAATTTCTCCGTCAATGGCGAGTGGCCGATGGCCGCTACTGCAGCGCCCTGAACCTGGTAATGTGGCTGCTTGCCGGAGCTAACAACGCGATTTTGCCTGTTCGAGCGTCCGGCTCGCGATGACTTCCTTCAATCGGACCAGCGGAACATGCCCATGATGATCCACCGTAACGCGGGGTTGGTGTGGGGTACTTGTGGAAAAACAAGCATACCTATTTCGCCGTCTTTCACAGAGCCCTGGGAGAGTTCACAGCAAATCGTGACAGTGCGCCTTGTTTGGTTCAAGTTGATACAATATTCAGACATTTCCTGATTTGCCTTGTTCGCCTGGCCGATACCAAAAGGCTCTCTGGTTTACATTGGTGTTCGTCCACGGAGTACATGGTGGTTTTTCAGTCGCCCAAACTTGCACCGCATCATCTATTGCGATTGCTCGACCACCGCCTGACCATGACCTCCCGGATCTTGTACAACTTGAGCGCCGCCGCCGGACCCTGCTCGAAGGCCTTGTCGAAAATCGGCGGTGGCGGCACGTCGACGTAGACCAGCACAAGGCTCTTGTGCACGTGGGCGAGGACACGCACCACGCCATGCAGCCAATGCCATGTCTTTTGTGGCACTGCATGCTTGTTGTCCTTCCACCACGCGTGTGAATAAGAAGGCAAGATGATGACGCCAAATTCAGCGTGATCGAAGACAGGGCCCTTGGCATACAGCATCCAGTCCATGCCAAATTTGATGCCCGGCCGTGGGACCCAACCGAGCGACCGGAAATGATGGTATACCGCGTAGTTGAGCAGGAAACTGTCGTCGGGTAGCAGTGCTGTCGGCGGCAGAGGCGGGAAGACGGCGTTTTGGCGGAAGAGCGTCAATAGGGAGGACGTGTCGATTGGCGTCTTCGTTTGGGGATCCAAGACCTTGAGAGTGCCGAGACCGAAGCTCAGGAAGAGCGCTTCCTCGCCCGTCAGCTGGAGGTGTTCCTTGTTCAGGATCTCATCTGTCGCCTCCGGCATCTCGGGAACAGCTTTGTGTCGTAGAGAACCATTGGGCCACACCGCGTCACGTTTCGCGCCGTGCGGTGATCCATTGGTTGTCTTGTCACATATCGAGGCATGGCTTGGACTGGGAGGGTCTGAGTGCTCGAACGTAGCCGATTCGACGCGGGGCGAGAACCGCACACTCTTGCGACGTTTGACCGTCTTGCCCTCGTCGGGCGCATTGTCATCGGGTGACGTCGCGTGGCCGTTGAGGTCCTCTCCTGTGGTAGGTATTGACGAGCCGTCCACAGCGTGTCCGTTTGCAGACTGTTGGTGCGGCGGGGTGTCAAGTGAGCTTTCACTGTCATCAGGTATCAGGTCTGCAGCTGCAGCAATGGCCTCTGCGGGAAGAACGGGGTGCTCAACAGCAAGAGGAACATCGAGAGACGAGTTGGGCAGCGACAAGAGCTCCAGCGGCCCAGTCGGCGGAGCCTGCACGGCAGCAATCACGGCTGGAACTTCGGGCTGGGGCACGGATAAAGTGCCGGCAGAGCTGCTATGTGCGATCGCGAGCCGAGCTTCTTCCAGTCGGACTTGGCGGATGGCGTCTTGCTCTGCCCTCGCTCTTTCCCACTTCATCTTGATACGCTCCTCTCTTCTACTCGTGGTCAATTCCTCGCTAACGTGCGTCTGCACGAGGCCGCGGCGGACCTTTTCTCGCTTGAGCCAGTTGGGCTCGCTTCGGCTGAGGTTGCCTTTCCCATAAAAGCCCTGTTCCCACAAAGCTCGGATGGTTTTATCATCGTAGACATGAACGGAACCCGATTCGGGTGACCAGACGGCTTCCCATATTACTGAGGGCTCAATTGGGGGCGGGGAAAGCACCTGGCTCGCCCACGCCCAGGCCAACTGGAGGAGAGATACGGGGTTGTTCGGGTAGAACGAGGGCAGTGGAAAGGTCCTGATCGGCGCCGGCAGGGCGTAGATCTGATGCAACGGGGTCGTCTTGGGCCGCTGGGGCCGCGGTTCTACTTGCGCAGGAGACGCTGTAGAGGACTTGACGCCATTGGCGGCAGGCTGAGGTGCCGGGGACTGAGCTTCAGCCATGGCTATCTCGCTTCATCTCTGTTCTTTGTGATCGTTAGCTTGCGGTCCTTGATGCGATTCCCAAGTCGCTGCGGGAAAAGTAAGCCGTGGACAAGCAGATCATATGCATCAGATACCGTTGTAGTCTATATTGTTTTGCCTCAGCGAGGCCAATGAAGGACACTCTAAGCACAATAAAAAAAAGGTGTCATCATCGTAAGATCTGGCCGAGGCGCACGACTTCGCGCGCCAGACCGTGTGCCGCCAGGCTTCAAAACCCTGAAAACAAAACGTCATGACTTACTCAATTGAGGGAAACTGGCCCCATGGGTGTTATGGGCAATGAGTTAGTGCAGACATTCGAGGACCGAGCCCGATATCTGATGCCTAAGTACTGGTTGATGGGAGAAGGAAGAGGCAGGAAGGAAAAGGCGAGGTCTTCGCAGATTTTGGAGTCGGCTTTTCTAGGTCCCCACAGCGAGGCTGGCAAATCACAGGTGCCCTAATGGGTCGAGCTTCCAGCGGGGTCGGTCCAGGGCGGAAAAACACGGCTCGCCGATCTCTGCTGTAACTAGGTACCTACCTAGGTAAGGTAAGGTATCTTAAGGTACGATGAGCATTATTGACCTTGGACAGAAGGACAGGCCGGCGGTCTGTCATCTCGCCAAGTGGGGCACCCATTTCGCAGGTCCTCACACCAACACCATCGGCTGTCCATTTCGCGTGAGAGTTTCGCATCGTATCTGATGCTACTTACTCCTTTGTTCCTCGCCATGTGCAACCGTTGCGTTGCCCCTCCCCAGAGTCGGTGACGTGGCAGATATTGACGACTAATGACTTGAACGACTGCATGAATGGCGTTTCCCTGAAATCGATCGCCTTGCCCCCCCAGATCTTATCCAGCGCAACATCATGCTCGACCTTTCGCTTCTCGTTCAGGGAGCTGCGTACCTGGCGGGAACATGGAGCGTCTTCATCTTTCTGGTCCAGTGCATTGGTAATACGAGGATGTACGTGAGAGCTCAGTTCACCAAGCCTTTCCTGTCCTCATCCCCATTGACACGAGAATAGCTTCACAAAGTACGCCTCCCGGTCTCGTCCAGCTGTTTCCTCGAACCTACCCTCGGCAGATGTGCCACACATCACGATCATCCGTCCTGTCAAGGGCCTAGAAACCGAACTCTACCAGTGCATCGCCTCCACATTTCGCCTCGACTACCCGCGCGACAAACTGACCATCCACCTGTGCGTCGCTGACAAGTCCGACCCTGCCTACGCTGTCCTCGTCCAGCTTGTACGAGACTTCCCTGGCTTCGACGCCCGAGTTCTTGTCGAGAAGGAAGACCCTCTGCTCCATGGTTCTGACGGCCACGTCAATAATCTGGGTCCAAACCCCAAGATCCGGAACATCAGTCGGGGCTATCGTGAGGCGAAGGGAGACCTCGTCTGGATAATCGACTGCAACATCTGGGTTGGGCGGGGTGTGGCAGGGCGCATGGCGGA